CTTTTAAATGTATGGCACCAACCACTCACAACACTGTACTTTTTAGCTTTCCTAACAAATACTGATATATATTTCAAGAATCATAACATTGCAGTGAAATTAAGTGCAGTTCTTATCTGTCTTAACACATGAAATCTATGCAAAGTCCCCCAGTGGTGGTCCTCTATAAGCCCTCTACTGGAGCGGAGCCTGTGAGCTGATAAAAGGAGCTGTGATGAATATAGTACAGCTGACTGGGATCTCTCATGTGTAGATAATGTACAGAGAAAAGGGGAGGGGTGCTTTCTTCTATGGGCTGTCCTGTTTGCACTGGGTCATTACAAAGTACACAACTACAAAGGGATGCTCCATGCTTGTTTTACTCTCTACATCAGGCAGAGGGTAAAGTGAAGTACTTTCCTAATACAGCTTACTACTAGAGCTGCAGCTAATGATTATTCCCGTACTAGTCAGTGATAAAAGTTTTGATTAGTCGGCTAGGCAAATGATTATTTTTTCTATGTATGTTACTTCCTGTACACTGAAACTTTCAAAGGTGCATTGTGTAACTTTTCTGGTGGAGGGTCCGCCAAATGCTTTTCTCCATGGAGATGTTATTGCTTTATCTGGAAAGATTCACAGTATGACATTAAACCTTTCTATCTTCATGGAGACTAAACCAGACCAAGTTACAGGTCAGATCTGCAGAGAGGAAACCCCACTCACAGTCAGAATGCCTGTTTTTCTAGATATTTTGAGCTATGAAACCATCTGTAATTGAATAAATGTAAGGTAGAGCTGTTTAATGTCATTCAAGGCAGAGCAAAGACATATCCATAAAAAACAGCAAGTAATGGACCGCAAACAAAAACGTTACATAGGTCACAATGTGCACTTATAAAATATGTTATCAACCAAACTGTGAGCTACAAAGTGGCCATAACTGAAACCAATTGTGGTCAGATCTACAGTAATTTTGTACATTTTGTGTAACTTCAATCTATAAGGTAAATTTATAGGCACATCACGCTCATGGATTCTGATGCATGGCCATAATATTGTCTAAATGTTAATATTACCAAACTTACAGGTCCTACAGTGAAATGCATATTGTGTGTTATGTAAAATTTCGAAATTAGGGAGAAAAAAAAAGTTTTTCTTAAAGTGACCAAACAAAAGCATTCAAGACAGTGGCCATGCACATTTCCATGCCTATAAGGCCACACACTGATGGTTAAAAGTTATTTTTTCTCCCAGGGTTGCAGTTACAGCAGCCGCAACTTGTGCCACTTTTCTGTGCATTTGCAGTCACTGTGAACAAACAACTGATGAACAAAAAGTAATCAAACACATGAGAATATTGCCAAAATTCAGGTTTTCAACTTTTTCGTTATGACTAAACACAAGGAGCTGGTTCAGTGAGCCAAAAGCTGTCAGAGAAATGCTGACATGAAAGCAAAATGGAACTCCATATGCTGCTTCCACCTTACAGGCTGCTTTCCATAGTTAAGCAAAATATATCTATATAAAAATAACAACAAACATTTTGGAGACAAAGGATATTATATTTTCTGATCTATGCTATAATCTTGTTTCCTCATCACAAACATATCTGGAGGTGTTTTGTTTCATTCACAGGTTTAACACACAAACCCTGCATATTTAGGCTGTGTTGAAATCTACCGCTTCATGACATCACAAGGTGGAACAGAGCATTTTGCGTTTTGGAGATGTAGAAAGACTAATAATAAAACATGTGTGAATGAAACAAAACACACCTCCAGGTATATTTTTAATGAGGTGACAGCATTATAATAAGACTTAAAGGTTGTATAGAGGATTTTCCAAGGAACGAGAAATCCAGCGACTGTTTGTCCTTTTTCAAATGTTGCGCATGCGTGAAACCACCCCCCCTCCCCTACAGCTCCCTACGTAGAAACGCCTCCTCCCGCCTCCTCTTTACGCCAGAAACAGGTTTGTTTACAGCCGGTGCGCTGCACATGACTTGTAAACAACTAACTACAGTGTTGGTTAGGCAAGGCGGAGAAGTGAGGAGCGGGGGGAGCGGGTGTGCGGACATTTCGTTCGCGGACGAGAAGTGAGGAGCAGGGAGAAGAGCAGGAGCAGGAGAGAGGAGAGAGGAGAGGGGAGCGGTGTGCGCGGAGATTCCGTGCCCGGAGAAGTGAGGAGCAGGGGGAAGAGCGGAACGGGCAGCGGGGACAGGAGCAGGAAAGGGGTGCAGAGAAGAGTGCGCGGAGATTCAGTGCGAATGAACTAGCTACAACACGCAGCAGCAAGCGGACTCTTTCTTTGCCTTGAAAATTACATTTTCAGACATAGGATATCGCTTTCGTGTCCTGAAAAACGTTTGTCTAGCTCTTGGAAATAAAGTACGTTTTCATAATAAGCAGAAGTGACCTGTCCAGGAGTAATTTGGTGACCAATGCGTCAGTCTTTAGACCCTGCGTCTGCTTCAGTCGCGCCATCGCTGGAATGAATCTATAAGAATCACCTTAGTTTGGCTTCGCTGCTTTTCCCCTTGTCTTCTTCTTTCAGCGACCTCAAAAACGGACTTTCTTTTGCGCCTAACTGCTCCTGGATTCTTGTCTGCCATTGCAACAAACTTTGTGCTAACTGCGAGGAAGATATAGGTCAAAAAAAGCCGCTAAGAACTGTTGCGTTGGTGGAGTAAACAGCGTCTGTGCGGCTTGCGTCTGTGGACTGCGTGACAGGCGTACGTAAACCACGTACTAGCGGCGCGCAGGCAAGTCAGTTACGCTAGAAACGTAGGGAGATTGATTGACAGCCTGTCAGCTAACAGATAACGAGGCAGTGTCGTTATCTATTGGCAAATGTTTAGCAGGCCCCACCACGTCCAGAGTTGATGAATTTTTATTCTCTTTTTTTTGGTCATCATAATTACAAGGCTACTGCACCTCTATAATGCTATCATTGACAACTTGAAACTAAAAAAAAATCCTCCATACAACCTTTAAAGCTCAAAAGAGTAAATTGTGCATAGTATAGGATCTTTAATAAAATAAACATCTTTGCTCATATGAAAAGGGGTCGGCCTAATTATATTATTAGCGAATATGACCACTGTCACTGCTATGTCTGAATCCAAAAACGCTAATCAATTATGTGTTGCACGTTAAAGGTGCACCGTGTAACTTTTTGACTGGGGGCCCATCACCTGCTTGTTTCCGTGGATATGTCATTGCTCTGCCTGGAATGTTCCACAGTATGACATTAAACAGCTCTGTCTTACATTTATTCAATTCAAGTGGTTTTATAGCTCAAAAATACCTTAAAACATGCATTCTGACTGTGAGTGGGGTCGCCTCTCCACAGATCTGACCTGTAACTTGGTCTGGTTTGGTCTCTATGAAGATTCAGACAAAGCAATAGCATGTTTATGGAGAAAAGCATATCAGAAAAGTTACATAATGCGCCTTTAATTAACCAATGGACACTGGACATGAGCATTGTTTAGTAGAGGACTGTAGCTTACCTGAATTTGTAGTTTTCTTCATGCTCTGTGGTGATTGTCCAAGTTTGTTGAATAATACAAAGATCAGCTGGAGGATGTTTGGTGTGTGAGTTTCCCTCTCTCGTGTGGCAGCGCGTGTTGGAGCCGTGCCGTGTTATTCCCTCTACTTTATGATAAGGACTAAGACAGGACTCATCCACGGATCCATCCATGACGCAGCGCGTGAACGGCGAGGGGGCGTGTCTTCCCTTCACACTCCACTTAAGACTCCAATTATGCTGGTGGTAAGTGGATACCAAACAATGCTAATTTTACTTCCCTCCACACCACTTCCTCTACTAAGCTAGCAATTTAGACCCAAAGACTGATCACTGTAAGATCTTTAAAGAATAATGGAGAAAACAACAACTACTAAACAACAACAACAACAAAATAAAATAAAATAAACAAACAAACATTATCTAAAAACATGGTAAGTAAGATTTGCCTGCCGCTTTTCCATGTAAGTCTACTGCTATTTAATGACAATGTCCATAAATAACCCGGGAAGAGTCCACGGAAGTGCGCTTCTCTGCTGCTTTCTACTGGTGGAAAGCGGAGTTACACAATGCGCGTGTAGCAGATGAAATAGGCAGGTCACGGCTTAAATGTACCACGTACTAGGCCACTGTCTAGTATATACGCTACAGTGGTCGTATTTTGTCAACGCGTATTCGAAACTAAAAACAGGAAGTGGGCAGTGGTTTTGAATATACTTGTAAAATTCCTTCTTCTTTTCTTTCTTTCTTTTTTTTTTTTTTTCTTCGCAGAACAGGCGCGAAGGTGACCACCGTTGTAAAAGTCACTTAATACACGAATGCACAAACTCGCTTCACGTTTCAAATACAGTTTTTAAACATTTATGACGAAAACAACAGTCCTGTATAAAAAGATTGACTGATAAAGCATGATTAATTTCCTGCACTTTGTACTCACCACAGATGCATCTGCTCAGACGCAAAGGTCTGATCGAAGTGATAACATTTAGTTATTTTTACAATGACAGACATCATAAGTAGGGTACTTAACCATAAAGAAGAAAACCTAATTTAAAAAATACAAAGAAGTTGAAAAACTATGTACATATAGGCTATGTTGTTATACTTTTCAGCTTTGTGTTTTTTATCTATTTATTAATTTTTTTTATTGTTATTTAGGTTATACTGCAAACAGTAGGCTTCTTTTATTCCTACTATGTCTAGCCGACTACAACACTCAGTGCAACGCTCGAAATGAAATGTTAACCCTATTTAAATATTTCATTAAACTTAGAGAAACTTTATTGATCCACAAGGGAAATTACTTGGACGCAGTAGCTCACCCATCACAATATATTATAATAACAAAAATTATATAAACATATATGTACAAGTAAAAATAAAATAAATAGTCTGCCACTCTTTTCTAATGAGATATTTAATAGTAAATTCATATATGTAATAGATCATATTTAATGCCTTGGATCGACATCAAATGTAATAAGGTGGCATAACACGTTTACTTTTTTTTTTTTTTTTCCAGTCGCTTTTGAAGTCTATATTCATGTTGGCAAAACCTGATCTTCATTTTCAAACATTAACTCTCAGATCAAAACTACAAAACACTTTTTTGCAAAGATCCAAGTCCAAGACAGTTCAGATACCAGCTGTTGAAAAGCACAGATTTTAAATATTTGCTTTTTTTGTTCTCTAAATTATATTTGAACCACAAACAGTGTCCTTTTTACAAGTTACAAGTTTCAAACATTCTGAATTGTTTTGTGTCTGGTGTGAATAGTTTTGCAATGTACACAAAAGATTTATACTTTTTATAGATTTATGAAAAGTTTCAGAAAATGTGCCAAAGCGATTTAAAAAATCATATGTAACCATATGTCAGTACATTCTATAGTCTATAGTTGTCCATAGAAGATCCTGCCATTGTTCAGTTGATCCTGAAGCCATTTCTTGTCATAACTTCATAAACATTTGCGTGGGAATCTCCTGATTCTTCACTGCACATCCATTTTTGTACCTGTTAATACAAAAGATATTTATGAGTATATGCCACAGATATTCTCATTATTATATCAGCAAGTTAATAGTTTCAGTATTTGATTTTCAGTACAACTGAGCCTCCACACCTCAAGCACATAGGTCCTTTATATATGTGTGTAAAATAATGCCCAAACAGAGCTATGGACACAGACTGTAACAAATCTGAGTAAAGTCATATATAATACACAAAAAATACAGTCTGAGCTATTACTAGCCTGCAAGCTTTTTGTGAATCACATCTCTGTTTACCTTGGGAATGACACAGAGGGTGAAGATCATGGTGATGATGATGCTGACGACTGCAGTAATGACAATGATGAGGATTGGAGCATATGTAGTTGTATTCCTAGTTGTAGCTGTTGGAGTAACTACTGGTTTCTGGGTTGAATTTTCTGTTTGAGGAAAGTATAATTTAGCTACAAATCCACAAACACAAAGCTTACCTCATATACAAACCTTTTATGACCACTCTGTATGTATCACATGTATCGTCTCTTTCTTTGAACTTGACGTAAATGCAGCGGTAAAATCCAGAATCACCAACAGTCACATTGAAGATTGTAATGGTGTGCTTCTCAAATGATCCATCCTGTTTAATCCTATGCTTATCTTTTAAATTGTAAACAACAAAGTTGTCTTCATAGTGGTAGTAAGCCACCTTCTCGTCGTACTGGTAGAGATACATTCCTGTTCTCTGTCCTTCAACACATTTACTGCAATTCATGATAAGGATTTCTCCAGGTGTAAGCTGCAAAACTTCAGAGGCAGAGGCAAAGGTAAAAAGACATATCAGAGCCCAAAGCAGCAGCATCTTCACCTTGAGCAGCATGTAGCAATGTGACAAACAGTAACATGAAACAACTCAAAAGACCTCAGATGAGCTGGGTTTCCTGTACGCATGAGAACCTCCAGATTTCTCTTACCAAGCTACAGAAGCTGTTCAACAATGATTTATGATTGGCTGTGGGTGTTGAAGTTTAGGAAATGAGCATTCAGATCAGAGAGAGGAATTTTAGATTTAAACCAACTGCAGTGCAACCTGGGAATCTCTCATGAGAGACTGGTGTGAGGCTTATTTTGCTTTCTGATTGGATAATCGTCTTGACCGAAATACCCAGTGTTTTTATAAGAATAAATCAGCATTAGAATTATCATTAAAAGCTATATTTGATTTGAGCGTGTCTACCTCGTATCTTGGGACACAGACAGGTCAAGTGTGTGTGTGTGTGTGTGTGTGTGTGTGTGTGTGTGTGTGTGTGTGTGTGTGTGCGTGCGTGCGTGCGTGCGTGCGTGCGTGTGTGTAGTAGAGCACCCTCTAGTGGACGATCATGTATTTGAGTGAGTTTGAATGCGCTGCTGTTTGGCAGGTCTAGCAGATTTTTCTTTTATACATGGTTTATCAAACCTGTTTGGCAGCTGCATCTACCGGCTGTTCCAAAAACAAAAACATTCCTGTCTTTCTTTTTTGTTTGCTTATAAATATACTCAAATAGCTCATACATGCTCAATATGCAATCTGAAACTAAAAGTATTCATTAGAAAATGCCCAAATATTATATATGAGTATATATATATATATATATATATATATATATATATATATATATATATATATATATATATATTAGGGCCGGGCACGTTGACACATTAACTTTGCGTTAACTATTCCATTCCATTCCATTTTCTTCCGCTTATCCGGGGCCGGGTCGCGGAGGCAGAGTCTAAGCAGGGACTCCCAGACTTCCCTTTCCACGCACACTTCCTCCAGCTCTTCTGGGGGAACCCCAAGGCATTCCCAGGCCAGCCGAGAGACATAGTCCCTCCAGCGTGTCCTGGGTCTTCCCCGGGGCCTCCTCCCAGTGGGACATGCCCAGAACACCTCCTGAGGGAGGCGTCCAGGAGGCATCAGGAAAAGATGCCCGAGCCACCTCAACTGGCTCCTCTCAACTTGAAGGAGCAGCGGCTCTACTCCGAGCTCCTCCCGTGTAACTGAGCTCCTCACCCTATCTCTAAGGGAGCGCCCAGCCACCCTGCGGAGGAAACTCATTTCGGCCGCTTGTATCCGCGATCTCATCCTTTCGGTCATTACCCAGAGCTCATGACCATAGGTGAGAGTAGGAACGAAGACTGACTGGTAAATCGAGAGCTTTGCCTTTCGGCTCAGCTCCCTCTTCACCACAACGGTCCGATACAGCGACTGCATCACTGCTGAAGCTGCACCGATCCGCCTGTCAATCTCACGCTCCATCCTCCCCTCACTCGTGAACAAGACCCCGAGATACTTGAACTCCTCCACTTGGGGCAGGGACTCCCCACCCACCTGGAGAGGGCAAACCACCTTTTTCTGGTCGAGAACCATGGCCTCGGATTTGGAGGAGCTGATCTTCATCCCAGCCGCTTCACACTCGGCTGCAAACCGCCCCAGTGCACATTGCAGGTCCTGGTTCGATGAAGCCAGCAGGACAACATCATCTGCAAACAGCAGAGATGAGATCCTGTGGTCCCCGAACCGGACCCCCTCCGTCCCCTGACTGCGCCTAGAAATTCTGTCCATAAAAACAATGAACAGAACTGGTGACAAAGGGCAGCCCTGGCGGAGTCAGACAATTTGAAACAAAAAAAAATCCTCCATACAACCTTTAATGATTGTCTGGTTCAACCATCAGAGACGATCATGGCAATATTATTATTAACTGAAGAGGGAGGTTTTTCTTCCCACAGATGAGATAAATAATAGGTATAGAAGGCTTCAAAGACATTTTTTGTACTTAATTAAAAACCCTTTAATAACTTTGAATCACAAATACAGAAGAATTTCCTTTCTTATACAGTACACAGCCTCATGACCGCCAAGGCTGCCACTTTCTTTTCCCGACAGCCGCCCAGGCTGACAGCTCGTCCACCAGAAAAATTACATGGTGTACCTTTAAAATTGATTAATGTGAATGATTTTAGAGACAAACTATAAAAACTGGGCCACAGGTCACGTGACTTTTATGGTCAAGATTGTGTATAAAAACACACCCTCCACCAGAAAAGTTACATAGTGCACCTTTAAAATTGGATAATGTGAACTATTCTAGAGGCAAAAGTGTAAAAACTAGGGCATAGATCTCTTTGACTTTTATGATCAGGAGCACGTCAGGGAATGTTCTGCAAAGTTTTACGAATGAATGTGAAATTTATTTTATTTTTCCTCATAGTAAATTGTGTGCATTCCTATAGGTAGTGCTGTAGCACTGATAATTGTGTTTGACATATCAATGGAATCTGGGTCATGCAGTGTATAACTGATAGAAATTTCATCACAATCGGACTAAACATGTGCGTATAATAATTTTAACAATATTTTGGGGGGGATTCTTTGCACACCTGCTGGCCAAACGTGAAAAATGCCCCATGTCTGTAATATATATATTTTTGCTTCTAATCATGCATAGAATTTAATCCCTGAATTTGGTCCAAATCTGATAATGCTGACGTTTCACGTCTATGGTACGGGGCACTATAGAGTTCACTTTTCATGTACTTTATAATATGTTATATTTAGGCCGTGATCAGGTATTAGTGATTCAAATCTCAATACAATTAGACTAAGACTGTGTGTGTAATCTTTTTTTTATTTTTTTATTTAAGGGAGTCTTTTTCGCCCCTGCTGGCCAACAGTGAAAAATACACCATGTCCGTAATAGACTTTTTTTTTCTTGTAATCATGCATAGAATTTAATCCCCGAATTTGGTCCAAATGCGATATTGTTGAGGTTTCATGTCTATGCTAGGGGGCGCTATAGAGTTCACTTGTATTAGACTTCATATGTCATTACATTCAGGCCTGGATCACACAATTGTGATTTGAATTTGAGCTCTCTAGGACAATGCTTGTGGCCGTCACAGGTCACCGAAGAAACAGGAAATGAAGGTATTTTTCACCGGCATGCTACGGTCAAACCGTAAGGAGTATCCCCCCAAAAACTGAACATGTTTGGGAGTTTATGTCTGTAGATGTGACATGTCAAATCTGAGCTCATTTGGACCAAATCCCGGGGACTCCAATATGGCCGACTTCCTCTACTTGCACCCTCTACTTGCTCCAACTGATTGGAACACCTGCAGCAAACAGCCACATTTTTGTTCTTTCTGCATGGCCGACTTCCTGTTGGTCATAGAGGCATGTTCCAATTCATCTTTTGGCTTGTCTCATTGTTCTCTATCACTGTCCCGAATTTCGTTTCCCTGCGACAAACTTTGCCTGTTCCCACTCCCAAAGGGGTCCAATTCTAGGCGGCGCTGTTGAGTCAGGTCACTTTGGGCATTGTCGTAATGCCCATTTTATTGAAGTTTTTGCCGGACCGATCGATCTGATATCCGGGTGTGGGACTTTTCGTCAATGTTCAGGGGGTCAAAAATGCGATCATTTGGTCGGAACATGAATAATTAAAAAAAGAAACCGACGAAGAACAATAGACCTCACAGGTTACTACGTTACTGGCTCGGGCCAATAAAGGTCACAAAATCAATAGTGTCACGTTTTATATTGAAGTGGGTTAAGCACAATGTCCCCTATTTCCTCCTTCCATATAAGGCCTTGGTTTGGCAAATACAAGCAAGTTACATAAACTTATAACAGAAAAAAAAAAAAGAAAAAAATATCAGGAACAGAAACCTGAGAGGAGAGTTTCATTATGAGACAAAGCTTCTTGTGGCATTTGAAAACAGCTTGTCAAATATTTTTAGTTGCAAAGAGTTGCGAGTTCTACTGAATTGTACTCGGCACAGATAGAGCAATGGGGTCTTACACATTTACAGTACAATGTGAATATATTTAGAATGGTATAGAATCTTTCTTCACAGTGATTTGGATTCACACGCTGCAAAAAGCAATAACTATAGGTTATTAAATTAAAATGACTTAAATTAAGAGCATTTTACTTTGAGTAGATTTAACTTGACAAGTATAAAATTATCTACCAATGGAATATTGTGTTTATCTTGATTCAAACATCAAAGAGTAAAGAGTTGATGTTTATCTTAAGTGTACTTGTTTCTGTGTAGACTGCACACCTGACTGGGCGACAGGTGCGTTGGAGGAGAGACACTTAGCTGTTTTTAAAGAAAACTCCCGCACACTGTCTCACTCTTGATTTTTCTTTTACTGGTACGACATTTCGGTCCCTCAGACCTGACAGCTCCTTCCGCTCCCCTTATATAAATAAAGAAACTAACCCCTCAAGAGTCATGATCCAGTCATAGCCGTGAAAAAACATACATTTACAATTAGACCCAATAAGTATAGATCAATCTCTTGTGAATTAAAACACCTGGATAATTATATTATAAAAAATATATATAAAGTTAATTATCAACATTTAAAAAGTGCGTTTCATTTTACAGACAAAATTTAACATGAACCTCCCTCACGGCTCAGAGGGAGGGCGTATATATGCGCAATTCATTTCAACACTAATTTCGTAACATTCCATTAAACAGCAATTCATCATTTAGGCCTTTAAGACTAAGAGTTTGAGTGAAAATTCATAGGCTTCGCGTCTTTTTAGCGCCCGATCATGGTCATTTGGTTAAAGTGAACAGCGTCCGAAGAGTCAAGGTCTTGGCGTCTTACTGCGCTTTTGTGCTCGCTTATGCGCGTTTTCAGTTTTTGTATATGATCTTTCCAACATAAGCGAGAGCGCACGTGCAGCAGGTAAACCATGTGAGTGGGCGCACATGTAATGACGCTCCTAATGGGGAACTTTTTTCCAGTAGAAGGGTAACAAAAATGAGACGTCTTTGTGGTGTCGTGGCACTGAGCGCAACTACCACATCTATAATTGCCCTTAGGAATAGAGGCGAGGAGAGTTTGCGCGTTCGGTATTTCTCTGTCGTGGGAGAAGTCTGAATGTACCAAAGCAACACAGATTTGGGACAATTCTGGGTCAGTCTTTAACATGCGCCAATGTTTTAAAATGATTTGATATCATGGTTTGGATAACGCGGCAGTGTGCACTTCTTCTACCCAATGTGCAGAGTAACCTCATTCCATGAATTTTGTTTTCATCACCGCAGTTTTTTCTATAAAATCCTCTGTAGTTTGGCACAACCTTCTGAGGCGGAAGAATTGGCTTTTAGGAAGACCTCTTTTTAAGGGCGTTGGGGTGTGCACTCGTGGCCAGTAGGAGAGTGTTCGTATCAGTTGGCCTTTGATACAGTGTTGTACTTAAGAGACCACCTCTCATTTTCTTTTTTTTACTGTATTCGCATGTGAATTTGAGATGAGGTTTAAATTAATTAATCAAATTCACAAAGTCCATTACTTGATCACATTTGCCTCGGAAAACACAAAATATATCATCAATATATCTAAATATATTAGGATATCTTTGTGATAAATGTTTTTTTCAGGGTTAAAGATGTATTGTACTAAATAACCCATATACAGATAACTGGCATAACTGGGTGCGCATGTAGTGCCCACGCTCGTACCCGACACTTGTTGGTAAAATATCTTATTAAGAGTGAAATAATTAAATTTCATAACAAAGGTCGCCAAGTTTAGAAGGAAGTCTGTCGGAAGCTTCTCGACTGTTCACGAGTTTGTAAAAAAAAAAAAAGTTCATTGCGTCCAGTCCTTCCTCATGTGCGATATTGGTGTAAAGACGTGACATGCGTCTTCAGGGAGATCACTAACTCATATTTTATTGATAAAGTCTGTAGAGTCTTTCATATATGCTGGCATGTTCTTTTATATAAAAATCCACATGTTCCGACAGAGGAGCTAATAATGAGCCGATTTGTGCTAAGATAAGATATCTTTAAGAATTTTTGGGAGTGTATAGAAAACTGCTATAACAGGATTTTTGCAATACAGGAATTCGAACTATGATTTAGTCACCCACTCATGTGATAATGTGATCTCTAAGCACTTAAATATTTCACTTTGAAATACTGAGGTGGGATCTGATGGCAGTCTTTTGTATTAGGTAACATCTGATAACTGTGCAGTATTTCTTCTTCAGATTAGTCCATGTCTTGTATGACGGCGTGTCTTGTATCTTAAGTGTAGCAATATACATTTTCATTTTTTGAGTATAAAAAGTCTTATTCCATTGGTAGACAATTTTAGTTGTCAAGTGAAATTTACTCAGATCATGATAAAACATTCTTAATTGAAGTAATTGTACCTTTTTAGTTGTTTTTGCAGTGCATGCTATTAAAATGAACATCTACTCTCACCCTCTATGGACGATCATATAGTTGAGCGGTTGTTTGCTTGTAAATATACTCAAAATAGCAAATACACGCTCAATATGCAATCTGAAACTAAGTATTCATCAGAAAATGGCCAAATATTATATATGATATATATATATATATATATATATATATATATATATATATATATATATATATATATATATTATAATATTGGTATTTATTTGGTAGAAGCATTAGTCGAGGTGGTAACTGTGTGAATATAATATATAATATAGCCGCAAGCGGCAATGATCGGCCCTCGCGCGTGCTTACGCCGCGCCCGGCAAACGCCATGCCTCACACTGACCCTAAACTTAAGGTTTAAGCCTAAACTTAAACCTTACCCTAATCATAATCCTAACCATAGCCCCAACCCTAGCCCTAAATATCTTAATCTAACTCTGCAATTTTCAAAATTTGGCAAAAAAAACCTAAAATCCAAGATGGCGGACTTCCGGTTTGTAAAGGGGCGTGGTCACAGTATACATTTTTGTTCTTATTGCCATGATGCATCTGGATACCAAATTTGGTTTGGTTACGCCAACATTTGTGTAAGGACGTCCCATTGGCAAGGATACAATTTTGTCACACATGTCATTCGTATTCCCTAATGCATTTTTGAGTCGTTTGGGGGCGCAGACGAGCCATTTTATTTCTGTTTGGTAAATGGAAATAGCCAAAACGTAGGGAAGCGCGAGTTTTACCAGATGGCAAAATTTCCAGGACTTTTTATTATTGTTTAGTGGGTGAAAAATGGGTGAGTTGGTTAGGGAAAAAAAAAAAAAAAAAAAAAATAATAATAATAATAATAAGAATATTCTGATGCGAGAACAAAGTTCCGCTTTTTTTTGGCCGACAAACTATACATTTTCGGAAACTTCTACGTGATGGCGAGGGTCCCTGGTCACTACGGGCGAGTCACGTCGCGCCATTTCACTTTCAGGCCACTTGGAGCATCGCTTTGCGATACTAATAGGCCCTTCGCCAGCCTCTGGCGCTCGGTTCTAAATATAAGGTAATGAGGTAATAAGTAGTCAGAGTTAAAATAATAGTGGTAGCTGCATTGTGTTTGTTATATGTAGCCATTGTTTCAGTGTCAGTGAGTTGTCTGGTTATTATAAGAAACAAAGAAATGTTAACTGACTAGTTTTATGACCTCAACACGTGACGCTTAATGATTGTCTGGTTCAACCATCAGAGACGATCATGGCAATATTATTATTAACTGAAGTGGGAGGTTTTTTCCCACAGATGAGATAAACAATAGTTATAGAAGGCTACAAAGACATTTTTTTTGTTTTTAATTAAAAAACCTTTAATAACTGTGAATCACAAATACAGAAGAATTTCCTTTCTTATACAGTACACAGCAGCAACAAAAAACAGTAATTATTAAGATCACCTGATACAAAATCAATAGTGTCTCATTTTATATGAAAGTGGATTAAGCACAATGTCCCCTATTTCATCCTTCCATGTAAGGCTTTGATTTTGCAGACACAAGCAACAGTTACATAAACTTCTAATGTCAACAACAACAAAAAAAAAAAAAAAGGAATAAAAATTCGGAACAGAAACCTGAGAGGAGAGTTTCATTATGAGAAAAAGCTTCTTGTGGAATCTGAAAATAGCTTGTCAAATATTTTTAGTTCCAAAGAGTTGTGAGTTCTACTGAATTGTACTTGGCACAGATAGAGCAATGGTGTCTTACACATTTACAGTGCAATGTGAATATATTTAAAATGGTATAGAATCTTTCTTTGCAGTGATTCACATGCTGCAAAAAGCAACGAGCAAAGAGTTGTTGTTTTACATATCTTAAGTGTAGAACTATACATTTTCATATTTTAAGTACAAAAAGTCTTGTTCCATTGGTAGACAATTTTAGTTGTCAAGTGAAATTTACTCAAATCATGATAAAACATTCTTAATTCAAGTCATCTTACCTTTTTTTTTGTTTTTGCAGTGCAAGTTTTCAAAATGAATGTTCTACTCTTAAAATAAAAAAAACATTTTTAAATAAAACTATATTCAACACATGAGTAGCACTGTAATGCGCTCTTGTTTTCTCTCTTAGCCAATAAATTTGCTGATATAACATTCTGTCAACACAATCTGACAATTCACAAGAAGACAGACAAACACCAAAGCCAAAAACTTTACAAGAATAATGTACAGTTTAAATCTCCAAGAACACAGAGATGTGAATAAAGCTACCTATTGTAAAATTTGAAAATATCAGATATTTACAAGTAATTTTTACACACAAATCACATTTTCAGTCAAAAGCAACAGATATTGAACACACACACACATATATATATATATAAACAAAAACAAAAGCTTAATTTAGAGCAGTAGATCCCTGGGTGAAAAACCAGTAAAAACATTTAAGTGCTTAAGTACATATACAAAAATATAATGACTCCCACAGACATACATACCATATTTCCTCCATTAGGTTAACCACTGATTTCTTTATGAAATCAGTGCAGAAGTGCTGCCATTAGCTGTGCTGTCACCTACTCCAACTACTGTTCCAAAGTGAACCATTTTCTCTAGACTCAACAGAGCAACCTTTGACCCATTCACTGAGATTATGAAACATGCAGTTAAACAAGGAAGTGTTCATTTATCGTAAGTAGCTCCAGAGTACAGTGAATTTTCCTAGTACGTGGGTAAGGGTAAGGTGTGATCATTGTTTTACATAAGATTAATATATTAGCTTTTGTCTTTGTGGCTGTAAGTTCCTCATTCACGGGTCTTCATACATTCTATTATCTGGAAAGAAAATTTAATTAGTACAAGTGAAAAGTGATTGACAGAAACACAATATAATACTAATAAATATAGGTAGATAAAACTTTATTTACTCTAATGGTTCAATGGTTTTGCCTCATTTATTATCTTGAAACTGTGTATGTACATTTTTATGTAATAAAATGAAATGACATATCGGTCATTGATATAGTAAGCTAGTTTCAGGATTTTTCAAGACTGTTATTGCAATTTTTTTTTTTTATGTGACAAACTTACTTTCATCAGGAGTACCAGCATGTGTGCCATCTAAAAGAAAGAGATGTAGTAATGAGTGAAGCAAATTATTTTAAGATTTATCATTAAGTTAAGACAGCATAGTCCTAAAGTATTCAATTTAAATTATTTTTGAAGTATTCAGTTGGCTACTAGGTCCAAAACAGAAGTATTAAAAGAACTGTATGCAAGAGGTATATCTGTTAACAGGTAAGAGAAAGTGCTGAGCAGATGCTGAATTTTGAACATGCCATACTATACTGAAAATGAGGAAAAGAAGTTGTATGTGTCCCATTAAGCCACTGGCAACCCAAGTTCAGCTGTGATTGTAGATTTTTTTTTTTAAACCAGTTACAGCGCAGATTAAATGTGCACTATGTAACATTTGTGGTGGTGGGCAGAGCCTTCAGCAGAAAAGTCACATAGTGCACGTTTAAAGTAAAGAGGCAGCTCCATCCCTTAAGACTAAGTGAACATACTCATCAGAGGCACTGCAGAGAGCCTTCGGGCCTCTGTTAAAAACACAAAATAAAACACATTTCATTTTTGATTTGTTTACTGCTGGTTTGGTTTATAAAAACATTTTTATGCATATCTTTTATCATGTATACTACCATTATGTAATACCACTGGTTTTATACACAAAATCACCAAAGGATATTTTGTTGTTCAATGACAACAAAGCTCTTTGGATTCTGCTTTGATATATGTATGAGTTGAAGTTTGGAAAACAGTTTGTATAGAAAGTTCGACCTAATTTTCCAGGCTATTCACAGAAATGCATAGTTGTCACATTAGACAAGCAGACTGGTCCATCCAGTTCAACAATAACGAAACCCTGTACTTTCCCAAATCACACATGGCAACCTGCCAAACACGTATCCTTTTTTTACACAGTCACAACTGTTTTGTATCCTCTTACATGTTAGTAATAGGGAAGTCAACTGTTCATTTTTGAAAAAGGCAATATTAATATATTCAGTTACTCACTTTGTTGCCTCCTTCGAGTGAACAGTATTGCCATGAGCAATCCAACAATCAGTGCACCAATGACCACCACTGGAGCCACTATTTTGGTCGGGTTAATACCCGCGTCGCTACCTGAAAGACACAACAAAAATATAAAATAACAAATGCCCTTATTACAAAAATCAATGCAAGTGTTTCTGACTTATTTATAATAGATGCCCTTCCCCCTGTTCATTGTAGATAAACATAAAATGCATCTGTGTGTAATGTTAATTAGGAAAAATAACACATGTTGGACTTGGATAACAACAAAGGCATTGCTTTCTTTTTTGACTATATTGTATATGTAAATATAGTGAGTGACTCTGGAAAACAGTAGCTACACAGATGTTTGTCATAGAAAAGTTTAAATTTAAACTTTTTTTGAGTGTGCAAAATTTTGTCAGCACTCAGCCACTATAGACTGTGACGGTTATAGATATGGTGGTTATGCAACTGATTCTCATTTTACAGCCTCGGGATCACGCACAATGGAAGAAAAGGACTTACCTGTTTGTTTTTCAAGACTGTTTGTCTTGTCAAATTCCCCTTGTCCTTCTTTGACTCCTTTGGCATTGTACACCTCACAAACAAATTTTGCATATTGCGTGTCGGCTCCAAAAGACAGTGTGCTCGTCAGATCATAGAGGCCATTTTGGTTCTGTTTCACTTCCACTTCAGGGTTCTTTAGCCATTCATAGCTATCCACCTTCCAGCGAATGTTGCCTTTAGGATATCCACCAAGGGCCGTGCAGGTCAAACTGAAACTCTTATCAGGATTTATTTTCTCAGGATCCGAGCGAATCTCTGGTGTGCTGTAGTTGGCTGTACAATAAAACAACCATATTATAATGGACATTGAACAGCCATCGTATCTATCACAAGGTACAGTGTTATAAAGTACCCATATAAAACACGTACACCAATCTGGCATAATATTATTTACAAGCATTTACTGGTAATCATATTTTTACATGTGCATATGACTTTTCCCTGAACAGTGACCCCTGAAACTAAAAAAGCAGAAGTTGTCTAGTTCTGACAATTGCACCGATTTCTTTGTGAAATGATTTGTATTCTGAACTCAACATATCAGCTGTTCAATTCAAATGTTTATCCAATTCCAACTATATTTAAAGGTGCTCTGTGTAACCTTTCTGGAGAGGGTCCACAACCCGTGTGTTTCCACAGAGATGTTAATGCTTCAGTTTAGTATGCTGTTAAACTAGTCTTACATTTATTCTACTACCACTGTTAGTTATTACCCAAAAATATCTTTAAAAAAACGAATTATTCTTACTGTGAGTGGGGTCACCTCTCAACAAATCTAACCTGTATTCTGGTTTACAAATATCCATGGAGATTCTTAAGTTTATGGCCATACTGTGGAACATTTTAGGCACATTTCCATGGAGACAAGCAGGTGAAGGACGCTCCATCGAACAAATTACACAGTGCACCTTTAACTATTCAGAAAAACAGTTTCACTCACATAAAGCAGTGCCAGATTAGTGTACATTTGTTGTTCAAAAAAATAAAATAAAATTCTTACATTTGACTTCCACATTGACTTTTGCCCTGTTACGTCCAGCATTTGTCACTACATCAACCTCATATTCCCCATCATGGGCCAAAGTGGTCTGGGTGATCAGTAGAGACACATTCTGGTTTGACCCACTCCAAGAACGCGAAGCAAGTTGAAATCCATCTTCTTTTTTTAGAGAGCCATCAAAGAAGTTAACCAAAGCGCTTCCATTGAATTTCCAAGTCAGTACTACAATCTTAATTGGCTCAGTGATTTTGCTGTTAGCTTGGACATTACAATCCAAGAGGGTGCTAGAGCCGTACTGAGCGACGATTTCAGGCTTCTGACAAGTGACAGTCACAAATACTGTGGACGAGAACATAACATAAAACATTTGTTCGTTTATTTAGACAGCTATCTTAAAATGAAAATAACTTACCTTCTCCAGTTTGTGCCCCAAGTACTCGTGAAAAGATGAAAAGACACAAGAGTAAAATTCCACTGGAGGCCATGTTTGACTGTCAGAGAAAGAAAAAATAATTAGATTGCATTTCTTAAACCCAACAATCTCTACAACACATCTTTCTATTTGGACCCAGCATAACTGTGCAACTCTAACCTTTTATCTGGTTTGAGCCTGACAAAAGAACAAAAAAATCACACAAACAACAGTGTTAACTAGAAAGCACTAATTATAATATGTAAAACACACAGCCACACTATAGAAAGCTGCAAATGTAACAACTAATACTAGTACTGAATTCAAATCTGTTGGCTTCTAATTGACTTAAAGCTCCACTGTGTAACTTTTCTGGAGAGGGTCTGCTACCTGTCTGTCTCTCTCCTGTCTCCATAGAGATGTTAATGTTTTGGTATGGGATTAAAACTAAACTGTCTTGCATTTATTCAATTACAAGTGTTTAAGTGCTCAAAAAGATCTAAACATTACTTCTTACTGTGAGGGTGGTCGCCTCTCTACAAATCTAACCTGTAATAATTTGTTTTGCAAGTCTCGATGGAGATTCACAAGTTTATGGAAATACTGTCTAGGCACATCTCCATGGAAACAAGCAGGTGACAGACCCTCCACCAGACAAGTTACACAGTGCAGCTTTAAGCCCGAAACTTGTGTGACTATTTGCACATAGGGTTTCAGTGAATTTGCTTTGTTTAAAAAGCATTAAGAGCTTTCTGTTTTACTCTCAGTGCAAGTAAGTGCGCAGTCATTCTGAAAGAGAAAGTTCAACCGTGAAAGTTCAAGTCAGACACACACAAATTAAAAGATTGAGAAATGGTTAAATCCATTCCATTGCATGCATTTGATACATATTCTTAACCAAAACCAACAACCCCCCCCAAAAAAAAAACTAAACTCTTATCCCATCTAGTCATAACAATCAAGCCCAAACGTGTCCAGAAGGCATCAGATTTAGAGACATTTCCACATATTTCCAAAAGTCAGGTTAGAACACTTTTGTAGTAATTGTACTGATCAGCAGTGGTGGAAATTAAAGTAAAAGTACTGTACTTAAGTAAAAATTTTAGGTATCTGTACTTTACTTACAGTAGGTACATTTTAAAGAATAGATACTTTTTACTTTTACTTCACTACATTTGAGAGCAGGTATCCGTACTCTCTACTTTTTAAACTGTATTTTTTAATTATTGTCTAAGACCTGTTGAAAAGGCTGAAGGGCTTTTATTTTTATGTATTTTTAAGCTTTATTAGACCGCAAAATATGCATGAAATACTTTTACGTTTTACTCTTTAAGTACATTTACTCTTTACTTTAATACTTTTTCATGTGATACTTTACTTGCTCTGGTATCTGTACTTTTACTTAAGTAACAATCTAATCAAATCAACTTTATTTCTATAGCACATTTTATAAACAAAAACTGTTTCCCAAGTGCTGCACATAGAAAAAAATCTACAATTAAATAGTATAAAAAGTTATAAAAACAACTGTGTAAAAACAAACAAAAAATAAAACTATAAACTATGCCAATAAGAATAAATAAACAGACAACAGAGGACCACACAAGTCGTGCTAGTGCTAAAAACCAGAGAATAAAATATAGAGTACTTCTTCCACCTCTCAGCAAAAAACTCATACTGGGTCACTTCACAGTGTAACTGTGGTTCTTGCACTATTTAAGCTTACACAAGGGAAAATTTAAAATTTTGGGGAAAAAGAAAAAGTTTTTTGTAGACCTGCTCTGAACTTTGCTCTAAATCTTTCACTTCTCTCTGTAATCCAAAATTCCAAAGAGGTCAAGTACCAGACATAAAATTCCTTGTATGTGACTGTCATGTCTTAAAGATGCATTGTGTAACTTCTCCAAGGGTCCATTAAATGCTTTTCTCCGTGGAAATGTTATTTCCTTGTCTGGGATGTTCCAGAATATGGCATTAAACAAATATATCTTGTATTTTTTCCAATTACAGGTGTGTTTATTTCTCAAAACCACAGTAAAACATGTATTATTACCGTGAACAAGTTCACTTCTCTACAGATCTGACCTGTAACTTGGCCTTGCCATGTGACCTGCTTGTCTCCATGGAGATAGTTAAATGAAATGCCAACCTGGAGAACATTCAGAGGAAAAACATTAACATCTACATGGGATTAAGCAGGTGGTGGACCCTCTACCAGGAAAGTTACACCTTGATAGTTTAAAAGTACTGATAAATAGACATGCACATCCAAGAAAAAAAAATAAAAATAAAAAATCTCTTGCGTGAGATTATCATGTTGTAAAATGAAAATTTCAATAGAATAATAATGACCAGTCCAGCCCATAGACGGTCTAAGTTCCAACCAGCTGCAAATACAGGAAGTTGCGCCGTCAGATTTCGTGACCAGGGATTAACAATGCAATGTAACGACGTGCATTGGCCTAATTCCGTGCATGCGTACAAAAATACATGTGTATTTTAATTGAATAAATGTGACTAACTGTACCATTTATTTGGTGCCAGTGTTTAATTGAACTATTACTGTCAAATTATTTAAATAAAATAAACAAACTCGAGGTCAATATAATCGCATCGAAGAAGTATGAATTACTCCAAATTTAAGTCATAATAAAACATGGAAAACCCGCGTAGTTTGCATAGAGGACTGGCATACGTGGACAGATAAAACAGGCTACCAGAAGAAAAAGCTACTGTTTGTCTCACGAAGATCTGTGAAATGACCAGAGGCAAACGAGAAGCAACGTGAGAAAAGGACAGGGACTGGTTTGGGCATAAGAGGACGAAGTCGAAATGAAGGCAAAAGTTAACGCAATCCAGTCAGAGTAAACATGAACTCACACATAAAACACGGATACGTACACGGAAGCAACAAAGGACTATCGCCTGTTTTAAGTATGTAGTAGCCATGACTTAAATATAAATAATATAAACTGAACGTAATGTTTCTACTAACCAGAATACACGCTCCTCTTCAGTTGGCTATGGCGGCGTCTGGCTTGAGTCTAGTCGCGGGATAAATATGTAACACATACTTTCACTTTCGGAATGACTAGACCCAGTCACATTGCCGGTGGTTTTTGCATTTAAGAAAACAAAAAACAAAAAAAACAAGAGAACAATGGCCAATTTAACTATCCATCTTACTGATCTCACAGTCTATGGCATGGACCCCTTCCCAGAACGTAAACTGAGCCGCAACAAGCAGACGACAAAATCAAACACGTTGCAAATAAGGTTTATTTTTGCCAAAACGTGGTACAAGGGTGACACCTGGGAGTTGAAGGCAGGTATGATCAGTAATAGCCTATTAGTTTCCGGAGTTTCTTCCGGACTGAGGACATGAGCAGTTAAGGTCACTTAAAATTTAAGTTTTTCCATAACACTACACTAAAACAGCCAACAGCGTTTCATTGAAAAATACAAAACAAGCAATTCAAGATAGAATACAAAAAGGAGTTTTTCTTTTAGGCTGACAATATTGGCAAATTTACAAGCTTACAAGATTGTAAAGCCAAAAGTAATTGTTTTTCCCCTTATGTTCTTAGTACGATCAAATTGAGAACCACTTTGGCAGTTTTATCTTAAAAACAGTTTTAAAACCAAGAAAAAAAAAAAAAATTCATGCAAATTTACAAGAATCGCACAGTAAGAATCTTTAAATTTGATGATTATGTTGTTTTATCACATTCTCACAATACATACCAGATTGCATGCAACGTGTAGCACAGCATAAAAAACCCAAATAAATTCAGTTTGATTCTGATCACCTACAGCTTGTGCTCTTCCACTGACGTTCGGGCACATATAATAAAAAGAACAATACTAGTACAGTACCCCTCTTGGTTTGGCACAGGTGACTTTGAATTAAAAATAAAAGACATACATAAAGTGCTTTTAACCAAAGAAATTAATCAGTAGAAAAAAGTTATCATAAGAGAGGTATTGAATAATGCACTTCAGGATGTAAACAAGGATTTCACTATTCCAGGACCTCAGAGTTGATAACTACAGATACAATGAACACAGAAATTAAACAGAGGTGGACGGAGGTAACAGATGGCTGTGAGGTTTTCATCCCAGAATAAGGCTGGATTTGCCCCCTGGAGGGTTTCTGCGGCCGGAGGGGAGACCTGCACCAGGCTCTTCGGCTGGAGACACTTCAGCCTGCTGCTCAGAGCTCGCCTCAGCACTGGCACCATTCTCTGAAAAAAGGTTAAGAATTTATATTTTTATGTCTAGCTGGGTTTATTTGACAGAGATACTCACCAGTATCAGCACAGGACTGTTCCTAAAAACAGAAAAATATGTGAAATTATGACAGACATAAATGTTGATTAAAAGCTATTATCAGTATACTTGGACTTTACAACAGAAGTGTATTCACAGAGAAAAGTTTGTTCATGTGCATTCTTTCCCAGATCAAATGCAGACTTTGTATTATTTTTTGATCAAATTGTTTTTTGGCAAGTGAAATGTAACTTGTTGAACTTGAATGCGGAAGTAACAGGCACATAGTTAAGACGGTTTAAAAAAGACAAACAACTCTGTCATGGCCTGTGATTTATCATCCATAAAAGATGCAGATATTTGTGTGTGGTGACAAAGTGTGTGGACACAAACCCAATCTGAGTCCAAAATGGGTATGGTTCAACCTGGTATAAAACCAGAATGGGTTTTCAAGTTCCTAAGTACTGAAAAGTCATCTCATAGGATATGCTTACAGTAGCAGCTGAGTTAGCGGTGGATTGGTCTCTTCTTCTCAGTGGAGCGGAGGACTCTCCACAAAGCACACCAGTGGGCTCCCCACCTACAAAAAATATTAAATTTGTGTTTCAACACAAGTAGGGATAGATTGATATATTGGTATGCCTCGGCACTGAAAAAAACACATTGGTCAATCTCTAAACATAGGTGTGTTTTATAATAATAAAAAAATCTACAACTTAATACTGAATCCTGTGCTTCAATGTTGGAAAAAACAAATTGTACTTTTTCAGGAATAAATTATACCATGGGACAAGCCCAGATTGAAACATCTGGGCTTGTCCCATGGTATAATTTATTCCTGAAAAAGTCCCACCAGAAGAAATGGATAGAAATTATAACATCTAAAAGTAAAAGCTAAATAATGGAAACATTAAATCAGTCCACCGACTTCCTTTTAGAAACCTTAGAATTGCAGCCTCAGAGGGGCAATTTATTGTTAAAAATAACTACCTGACATTTTGAACCCTAATTATACGTACGTATACCTACGTATTACCCAATGTAATTTTTTTTCTTATTTAATTGCAAGTAAATACAGACTAGGAGGCAGAGAGGAATGGTGAAAACTGAACATTTCTGAGCACTCAGGCCTCAAAGGCAGGATAGGACTGTAGTAGTTAATGATAGGAGGACATAACAGGTTTAAAAGCTCATACTTGTTATTTTTACAAACTATGTCCTATTTAACCCTTGTGATTTAGAGTTGAACACAAATCCGACATAAACAGGATCATAAAAAAAAAAACTCGGGTCACTGAGACAATGCCTTTCCTCCTTTTCCTCCTCACAAACAATTGACTCCCTCTTATTAAGTATTTTTCCATTGGTCTGGAATTTTTAATGTTTCACTTTCATCAGAATACAGTCTCTAGGGGCAATTACTAATTTGTCTGACTTCATGCTTTCTCTTATGCTGGATGTTGCCATGCTTTATCTATAAACTGTACCTGGTGGGTTATTCCTGCGATTGGCATAGGGGTCCTCGGGTTCAGCAAAGACACTGGAGGCCATCTTGTTTACTCGAACTGGTTTCTCATCTTCATTGCCAAAAGAAATATTGGATCCACCACCAGGAGGACGCAGAACCCTGAAAAAAAATCATAATAAATGATTCCATTGATCTACACTTTTAGACCAGTAAAATATGCCCCACTGCAAAGTCCCATTTCACTTTGAGGTTATGTACTTAATTCAAAGTAGTGATATCTAAATTAGGTCACTCCAGTTGACATTGAGAATGATCTTAGATTCAGTAGGCTCTGACAGTGTAGTAATATACCATGTAGGAATGTTTTGATCCATTAGTCAACAACAGAGCCATTTCTAATCTCCACTTTGTGTTAAAAATCCTTGAAAGAGTTGCAGTTAAACACCTTTGTCGCCTCCTATGGGCTAATAATTAATTTGGAGTTTGTCAAACAGGATAAACTGCACCACTAGTACAGCACTCTGTACTAACCCAGAATCACACTGGACTGGATTATGGAATTCCCTGCACAGCTGGTACAAAATGCAGCCACTGGGCTCTTAACAGAAACTAAAAGAAGAAAACACATCTGTAGTTCCCTTCTTAATAGGAACTAAAAGAAGAGAACATGTCACCTCCGGTGCTGCAGTTCCGTCACTGGCTTCCTGTCAAGTTTATAATTAAATTAAGAATTTAAAAAGTCCTCCTGCTGACATATAAAGCATAAAGGGCATTGCCCCATCCTATATGCAAGATGCTATAGTATGATATCGATATCATTCAAAAAGAGCACTTTCTCACACTCTTTAAATGCTGGAATACTGGCGGTTCCTACAGCATAAAAAAACCCCCACTGAACTAGTATTTAAATAGGTTTAAAACATTTCTCTGAAATTGTTTATGGCCAGCTCAGTTTGGAGCAGAAATATAACCAAGTTTTAGCTAAGATGCCTTAGGAGCATCTATGCTGAGGGAAACATGGTAACTTGAGCATTATCTTCTGTTTCCTCCCACTTTCCCTGTCAACTACATTCACTTTTCAGTTCATCTGTAGACTGTTCATTGCCATTCAGAAGTTGTTCCCTACCCCACTGTTTCAGATGCTGTTTCAGAGGCCTGACCACCCGGTGGACCCTAGATGTCCTTTATATGCTCTGGTCCTGTTCTTTTATTTACCCGGACCCTCCACTTCCCTCGCCTGGCAAGACGAACCAATATCTGCTCTGGCCATACAGATTTGCACTTTATCTGCAAATAGATGTGCACCAGTCCCGGACTCATCTGCAGCCTGCCCATCCATAGTAGTGGATCTCTCCTTGACTGAGTTTCCCCTCAATGTTTCCCTTTTCCCCCACTCTTTTATTTTTTTTCCTTGCAGAGAAGTATGGTCTAAGGACAGGATTCGCTTGTTATGTATTTTGTTCAATCTGTTGTAATCTGTTATTCACTAATGTCTGTTTCAGTTTACGTGATTTTCTAACCTGTCGGCAAAATCAGCTGATAAACTAAGTGGCAGTTGCTGTTTCAGAGCTTTAAAAAAATAACTTGAATTGAATAATGGTTTTGGGCCGATGGTTGTGTAGGATGTGAATAACCGATTACACTAGGCCCCACCCAAGGACGGACCAGGCAGTGGACATCTCGGATCGCTTTCGATTTAAAACCAACAACAGACAGGCTCCTGCCTCCGTACACAGGCGATGTGGGCGTCGGCGGGATTCACAGACTATGGATGCAATTGTACAAAAGGAAAGAAAGGGAGCGCACATGACGGCCACAGTCAGGCATCTCCCCATGATGGAGGGAGATGGTGAGGCTCATGAGACGGCATTTATTGGTGCACAAGAAGGAACACACTGTGCCTTCACCGGGTCAAACAAAACTAGGATTAAGGATATCGATGTTTTATTTACTGAAACCATTTATATATAACACAATACATCGTAACAGAATACATCGAACGTTTTGTTACCTGGAACTGCTTTTTGCACCGGGCTCCATCCCTTTAAATGTTGTCGTCGTCGTCATTTTGCACAAATACCGTGTATTATCTCTCTATCTGACTCTCTTGCATGCAGCTGCACTTCACCTGCTCACCATAATCTCTTGTTCACCAAAGAAAACCCGCTGATCCCGTGCGTATGGGATTTCCGAGTGTGGCGGAAGTGAGATAGTATTGTGCCACATATCCGGTCTCTTTCACAACATACAATTTATTTTAATTGAAATAACTCATTACATTGAATCTGTAGCCCATCTAACCAACAGAACGGTCTATCAATAATCAATAGGCCTATTTGCTATATAGTGATTGACTGTTATTTGGCTTTACTCTTCGCCTTCTTAATTCAGGCCGTAAGAGTTCATACAAAACAAAGAATCCAAAAATTAAATAAAAAACACAACTTTAATAGGGCATGACCTTTTTACATAAAATACCGCATTAAGCTCAATCCATCATAATACAAACAGTTATTTTTTTAGTCTAATCTGATGAATTAATTAAAAATCTATAAATTAGTAGAGAGCAATTCAACTTGAAATTTTACTATGGATTCTTGTGATCAAGTAAATCTTTAACCCACCTTGATCAAAACATTTTTCTCTTGGTTATAACGCTTTACTGTCCAATCTCACCTAAACACAGTACATTTGTAAAGGTTGTGTTCACAATGTAAAATTTTATGTCAAAATTTAATTATTCAGGGCCTTCCACTGTGACTCTTATGACAAAAATCCACTTATGGAACTTGTTAGGAATTGGGTCCTCACTCACTGTATTAACAATATTAAAATATCTGTACAGAATCATAACTTATGATGGGATATTATTGACACTTAATGCCACTAGAGTTAAAAAAACAAAACAAAAAAACTTAGTTCATGTACCGAGAGAAATGTCTGTGTTTTTTAATAACAACTTTTCAAACCCCTGAACGCATTCTTTTTAATTTAAACTACAGGCTCTTTAAAAAGTGGTGATACCAATTGAACTGAACACGATGTTCATCGATTACTTAATTAGTGAACAATGACAAGTAGCAGTAGCCCTACTAACGAACAGAGCAAAACATTTTTTAAACTAGCAAATATTGTAGCAATACATTACTTTGATTCAATAAAATAGGAGACCAAGTGGAAAACAACCTAAAGAAAGGTGTGGCTCCTTCATGCTAGGGCTGCAATAACTGATTATTTCAGTAGTCGCCTAGTGGTCAGCAATTACTGCTGATTAGTATGATAATTTCTATTGTACATTGAGACTTTCTAAATACATTATCAAAAAAATAAAGGTTGCAACATTGACTGAAGGCTTTAAAACTGAGAATATTTACTAATGTCATGCATTTTTGACAAAAATCTGAAATGCATTTCGTTTATCTTTTGACATTTTGATTTAATAATAGCACTGTCTTTGTTATGAAAGGTCTTTTTATATGAGTTTAGAATCTGTATAGTATGACTGTGTTTATTTTTTTATAGGTCAACTAGTGACAATTAATTGCTCAGTCATTGCAGCCCTACTTCATGCCATGGAAGGTTCTCAGATTTTCATAGTGAACGCTGAGAAGAACAAATGTTAAAGGATGAGTAAGGGAGGTAGAAATGTTTGAAGGAAATGGTCTTCAAAGTAAAGAGCCTCCTGTTTGCTGCTGGAAAACATCGATTGTGTCTTCATCTTCCATTTCAAGCTGTAAGAAAAATATTTTTTTGAGAATCTGTTCAAGAATCCCAGCAACACTAACAAATAAAATGTGATAATGTAACTAAGTAATGTCTTTCCATACAAAACCAGAAAAGGTTGTAATGACAAGTATGTGCTAACTATCCTTACTGATACATGAGTGTCTTACAATTAAGTTATCTTTAGCTAGTTTGGTTATAAGTTGCTTTAACAAGTGCTGTGATTAAGGTTCAATAAAAAAAAAAAATCAAGATACATTTAACAGTGCATGCATTAACATGACAAGAAAACCTTGAGAATACTGCAATGTGAGCTGCTACATAAAAATAACAATGTTTGAAGAGGACTTAACTTTAGGATTAGTTTCATAACATTATACACTAATTATGACTATGACAAACCATCAAACAATGTTGCATTGAAAAAAAAAAAAAAACATTCACTGAAACATAATGTGCCCCTAAGGGCATTATTACATTTATTTAATTAAATGTATTTAATAAAATGAAACATTGGCTTACCTGTGAAGGGGTATCTGTTTCATTAATAGGCTGTCCATCAAATCTAAACCTTATTTGGCTAATGGATAAGCCCTGTGTAAGCAAAGAAGAGAGTACTGAGTGTACAAATCCGATGTGTTAGTTAGCAGGCTCATTTACTACCTTCTTTGCATGATTATGTGATTTACCTGTCGTTCACAGTAAGCTTTCATGAGTTTGCTGAGTGGAGTGTGCCTCTTGATTTTGAACTGCACAACGGACCCATCCTGACCTGCCACCTTCAGGTTGATGTGCTCATTATTTTCTGTTTTGACACCTTCCTAACGTGTGAGAGAAAGTTAAAGGTTAGATTGGAGCAATATTGAGCAACGCATCGCACTCGTAGATAAACCAAAACCACACATGTCGATCATTCATTCAATCCTTTTTAGCCCCACTATAACTGTGTTATACTTTGTCCGCGTAGATTTGTGACTCGTAAGGTCATTACATATACATACATTTACTAATTATCAGATTTATCAAAGACGTCTTATTCTCATCCATGTTTAGGTATAAACACACATTAGCTCTCAGTTAGCTAACACTATGCTAACTTTGTCAATGGAATAATTCTTGTAAAGCTAGCAAATGCTGTAGTAAATGATCTTTTGTTCACTTTACAGTCTGATCTTGTACCTCATATAAAACCAATATACAACTAATTATACAACCAGACAGGGAACATAAATAAATATTACCTTTGGTTTTTCATCTGCCATGGCTTCTGTCTAGCTACTGCTGCTGTTGTGACTGAGCTGCTGCGCATGCGCACAGTTTCAGCGCGCCTAGCTGCCGCAGCCCGCGAGCAGATACGGTCTGTGCGCGCGAGCAGATACGGTCTGTGCTCGTGAGACCCTGAACAGGTCCGTAGGCTGCGAGGCGGTGAGCATAAGGAACAACAGGCTACTATATTCCCGGAGCTTTTCCAAATCCCATTTCCATGGCATGCACTGACATTTATCTCAGTTTGTTAGGGCCGCAAAAAACATATTGCAATACAAAAGTACACCCCTAGGTGTCAGCGTAGCAGAAATGTTCAGCATATATATATATATAGAGAGAGAGAGAGAGAGAGAGAGAGAGAGAGAGAGAGAGAGAGAGAGAGAGAGAGAGAGAGAGAACCTTTCTGTGTTCATTAAATGATCAATCTTTCTTCAGTGAAGCATATTTATTTTAGTATATTGAGCATAATTTGGGAGGGTTTTAGCTTTCATATGAGACATTTCTAAAACCAATCGATTAATTTAAAGTCAGGTTATAAGCTTTTGTTTCAAACAAAATGGATAAGCGACAAGACTTTTGTCAGGGACTGTATAAATCATTTTCTCAAAACAAGGCCTGAATATGCTGAGGATTTTATGTTACAGTCCAAGGCTTTAGTTTTGGGCCTAAGCTGGTCCAAAAGTGGGCTATATTCTAAACGTTGGCTCACTTTTATGGAGACTGCTGGTCTCTCTTGGCCATATCTATATATATATATATATATATATATATATATATATATATATATATATATATATATATATATATATATACACACATTTCTCTTTAAACATTTCTATTAACTTTACAGGGTTAAAAGTTAAATTTCATATTAATTTCATTGTGATGTCGTAAAATTGTTTGGGGCTTGTCTTGTGAAATGACACTTCTAACCCGAACTCTTCTGACTCTTCTCATTGCAGATCTAAACTGTTTTACTAAACTTTTAAACTAGTCTTCACAGGTCCACGGGCTGCTGTTTACTGCGGGTATGTCTGCACTTACTAACACACTAACTCTGTACAAGCACGGGCGGTGGGTCTAATCCAGCCACAGAGGGCGCTGTGTGTGTCCCTCCCCTCTGTACCAGTCCCCCAGCCTGGATAAATGGAGAGGGTTGCTTTAGCGTAAAACCTGCCTCTTTTAGCCTGATCTTAAAGTGTGTATGACAGGTTTTTCAAATTATTTTTCTTAGTTTGGTGATATTTACTTGTGGTGAATATTTAGCATAGTTTTACATCAGTTTTGTGTTACTTTCTGGACAAAAGTTGAAAAGAAAAGCACAAAAATATGGATGTAGTGATTCTAAAAAGGAATACGGCTGTTATTAAAACTTTCAAATGAAGGGATAATTGAACTATTGTGTAATTTTAGACACACCTCTTTTTCACAGTACAGTTGCCAGGTAAAAGTTATAAAATTGGCTCTGTATCTGCTGTCTGTGTCCAACCAGGAAATAAAATTAGAAATCTTCATAGATAAAATTGCTAACATGCCATATGCACTTTAATATATTCACTGTACCAACTTAAATCTGTTTTTTATCTTGTAGCTTTAAAGTTATATTTATAGGTTTGATTTAGTCAGTCATTAGAAAAATGCCTCCTGCTGCTAGAATAAAAAGTACATGTAAAAAGTACAAAAAAAACCAACAAAAAACATGCTTCTCAAACAAAATTATGAAATGTGGGGAAATGTGACGGCTGTGTTTTACAGAGGAGAACTTAAGAACCAAGTAGCCTGTGGCACCATCTGCTGGAGAAGGAATACAAAAACCAGACCTCCGGATTCACAATGTTCAAAAACAGAACAAACAGAAATCCCCGTAATCCAGGTGTCCTTTTTTGATTACTGTGACCAGATTTGTGATTTATTGAAATTTCAAATAAATGTAAATTGCCTTTGATTTCACTTTTGAGTCTCAGTGCCTTATTTTTTAAAAAAGTTGAAAATGACAGAATTAAGGTTTTCTTTACTAAGTCCCACTTGATTGTTTTATGGGATAGGCTATTTAATAGTTATTTATTTATTTATTTTTTCTGAAAAGTTATAAACCTGTCCTACCCTAGTCAACTGACCCAGACCCCGTTGCTATGGTAACCGGTAGCTTGTCTCGTTTTCAGGTTTTTCTGTCATGTAGTTTGTTAAACGTGTTGTGATATTCAGATCTTTTTTTTAAAAAAGCTTTTTAATATTCTATTTTTAGCTGAAGTTTGTACTTTTGTCTCATAAGAGCTCAGTTATTGAATAAATGTCTGTGAGCCCGGGCTCGTTGTCCACAGATGAGCCAAAAGCAGAAAGACATGAGGCGGAGAAAGAGGCGGAACTTTCACCAGAAGCACCACAGTGGAGCTATGACACACACAGGTACAAATACGACCGGAGAACCATCCTCCATCTATGGAAGTGTAAGATCTTATTACAGATCCATGCCTCCATGACATTTATCAGATTATTACACTCACACGCAGCTGTACTCAGGTTAGTCTCGGTTCTGCACAAGTTTTATTATCCAATGTTTTGTAGTTTCTGTTATATACGAACATTTCTGACACCTGACATCTAGTGGCAATTTTTGCCACTAACAATATATATTTAGTGGCAAAAATTGTACCCAATTGTAATTATACATATTTTCTGCTTGGAGCAGAAATGTTTTAAGACTGAGAGTTCTGATCACGAAGGTTTGCAACTAAAAGTTCGAGACAAAGGTCAAATCTCTCACACTGGGGAGGAAGAGAATGGAATGTGTAATGTGCTACTGCTGAACTTTATGGTGTCTGTGATCATAACAAGGAGTGTGTGTGTGTGTGTGTGTATATGTATATGATGACACACCACTTGGTGATGTTTTCCTTGTCATTCAAATATTTCATTGTGTTGCATCACTGGGGGCATTGTCAGTGAATAAGGGCAATGCTTTCCCAAAGACAATGTAAAATACATTACCATAACTACAAAGACCTGATCCATGGACTAAACATTCAAAAGCTTTGAATGAGAGTTTGTTTGGCAGTAGGCTTTAGTAGAGTCACATTCAGGTTACAGTTTTAACACACAGTTTACAGCTGATTGGTTGGTAAATATAAAAATGACTTGACTGACTTACTTGACTGAAAGTGTGAAATCTCCAGGTGTACGTTCACTACAACAAATTAGGAAAGCTCCATTGAAGGTTCATTTGCTGAACAATTCCTCTGTGTCCTTTTTTCTCATACATCCATGAAACTAGCTGTGTAGAATTTAACAGTGTTAAAAACAAACTATATATATTAAAAGTTTATCTTGGGTGATGTAAGAATATCTTGAAATTAAAGTTGTCTAAATTGAAAGCATCTAGGTCTTGGTTTGTTTTTTTGTTTGAGTGGGCTATAATACTACCAATAATAATGCATGTCGTGGTGACCAAACATGAGTAAAAATATGTTAAGATGTGGGTGTGTTAGATGATTTTTTTACTGAGCTTTTCAGGAAGACTAAAGAGTATACATGAATTACTGTGTAAAATGAACAGCTAAATAAGTTAATTCATTACTAATAACTAATTACTCTGTATATAGTTTGAGGTATATCTTTTTGGGTTAGGAGGGTATCAGAATTGTTTTTAAGTGTAACAAACAGTATTTAAATATACCTGTGTGGTTTAATGGTGATTTAATTCTTGGGAATATAACCCTTTTCCCCATCTCTTTCAGCCTTGTACCAGTCATCGCACTCTCCATGCTTAGGATTTAAACACAAAAAAGAGGTTTGCTACTTGATTTTCTGGTGCTGGTAGTTTTAATGCAGCAGACAGAGAGATAAGCAGACCCCTGTTAAACATTTTCCTCTTACATTAATGTTAAATGTGCATTGTGTACCTTTTCTGGTGGAGGGTCCGTTAAAATGCTTTTGTCCATGGAGATGTTATTGCTTTGGCTGGTATGTTTCACAGTATGGTATTAAATCTTTTGATCTTCATAGAGACCAAATCGAGTTACAGGTCATACCTGTGGAGAGGCAACCCTGCTGACTGCTATTCTAGGTATTTTTGAGCTATGAAACCACCTGTAAATGAATAAATGTAAGGTAGAGCTGTTTAATCTCATACTGGGGAATGTTCCAGGTATAGCAAGGACATAGTAGGTGGCATATGCTGCAAAGTTACACAATGCAGCTTTAAAAGTGAAAATAAGATAACAAATTCTCACTTTCTAAATGTTTCACTTGAGATTAACAAAATATGAAAACAAGGAAAAACATTCTTAAATGCAGATCACGATAAACTAGTGTAATCCCTTTACAGCCTACATTTTTCATTCTGTGCCTCTCTCAATTTTATAAGCAGTAAATCTTTATAATCTTTTAGTTTTACCTCTCTGGGCCCACTTGTAACCACTGGACAATAGCCGTCACTGAGGCAACAAATATTTATTTTGACTTCTGCTGCGGAATATGCTTCAAGTAAATTCAGACTTTAAATGCACCAGCTGCAGAGGAGGAAAAATCGATTAAAGTCACATCAAAAAACATAATCAATAATATTTGCATATATTTGATCAATATAGTCAAGGTGCTTATGTGGCGCTATCTTAAAACTTTCAATTGAAAACAGTCTTATACCTTTATTTATATTGGTTTGAACTTAACATAGCAAATAATTTTAAAACCATAACTGGAACAAAATGAAACACTGTAGATAAGTACACTAAAATGCAATGATGACACAGGAGGAGAGACCAGCAGTAATCAATAACTTACTCGTTTTATGTCAACTTGGAGAGAGATGGTGTTATGTTTTGATAAATGAATTAACACATGACCAGTCATTTAAAACGGTTTCATGAGTCAGTGGAAAAGTAGGTCACAAAACAACACATCCTCTGCAGATGACGACATTGTTTACATTTACGAACGAGAAACTGAACATTCTTTGGCTGCCGCATATGCTAGTAGTATCTATGGTTATTATACTATATTATGTGTGAGCTACTCCGCCTAAATAATTTCTATTGTGGATCGCTAAAGTTTGTCTAAGTCTAATGGTGTAATTACACCGTTTTGTGGGAAGTAAATAAGATTTCACTCTTACTTTGTGCCAGTCTTCTTGTGGCCTATCACCGTCTCTAACCTCAGGGACCAGCGTCACGAGAAATCATGAGAAAACAGTTACAGTTGCAATTTTATGTTGATAGTGTTTATCTGCACTATACTTTTTAATTCATTTGACATAGATTGTTTGCTGACTTAGTTATTTGATTTTGATTTTGATTTTAATTAGTCCTCTTTCAGTAAAGCACCTTGAATTAATTGGTGAAAAGTGTGCTCTACATTTAAACTTGCCATGCCTAAAACAGTCATAATCATTTGACTGTAAGTTAAGAAATCTCTCTTTTCTTTCATTATAGCAGCCTACTCTTTCTGTTAACACTTTATTTTAGGGTACACTTATTAACATCTAACTACCTGCTATTTAGCATAGTTGGAGATGGTCATTAATTAGTATTTATTCAGCCTTATTAATGTCTAATTCCCCATAAGTTTATTCTGCTATTAGTTAGACATTTACACTTTCCTATTAATATACTTGTCATTACTATGATACTAAGCCATTTTTGTCCATGAATTGTTCTGTACAACTACCTATTCATACATGAACTATTAACATGCATGTCACAATACATGAATTAAGTGTGAAAAAGAGGCCACTATAGAATAGGGACCATATTTGTGTCAAAGTCATCATTTAATTATGATCAAAACATCACTTCAGAATGGGGAACATATTTAGAGCTTAATGACTTAATTCATGGCTAGTTGGACTTTCATTACACAAGAGTAGGCAAAATTTATTAAGGGCAAATAAGTCAAAACTACATTTCTTGTGCTGCTAATCCTTAACAACGCACTAATTACCAAAAGTTTATTGGAATCATAATTCATGTAAAAAAAATGTCTTAGTATCATAGTAATAAGCAGTAATAAGGAGTGTATTAATAGGAAAGTGTTTGTAAATGTCTAACTAACAGTAGAAGAAGCTTATGGGGAATTAGACATTAATAAGGGCTGAATAAATACTAATTAATGACAAATTAACCATCTACAACTATGCTGATTAGCAGGTAGTTAGAGGTTAATAAGTGTACCCTAAAATAAATTGTTACCCTTTTTCTGTATGTATGTAGTGCTGGCAATAATGCTGTCAACGAGTGGTCATATTGTCAGGCTTGATCTGAGTAGATACAAGAATGACAATTTCACCTTCAGTATGTGTCCACGCTTGAAATTCAGCTCTTCCTCTGATGCGGCATTAAGGTCAAAAGGAGCCATTGTTCCATTGTTCTTCAGAGTTGACCCACGCCCAGGATGATGTTATTTGAAGTCTTTTGGTCTCTTTCATTTTTGGCTGCTGCTTTGAGTTAACCCCACCCATTCCTTCCCATTGTACTCAGTTTTACAACAGGCTCAACTGGAAAGCTTCTCACTCTTCATTAACATGTAGACACCTCCTATCACCTCAGTTAGACCATCCACTATGAGACCTTCAGACCGATAATGAGAGGAAATACAATACTCACTTATTGTCAACCCAAGAGTGAAATATATTACTGTGAGCCGCTGGTATAATTAACTAGAGATTGAACAACATGTACTTTATTCATGGGTGATTTTAAAATGTTTTTCAGATCATTCTCAATTCACTTAAGGTAGTGTCCTGTTTGTTTTAAGTGGTCATATTAAGTTTTGTGTAGCAGTTTCCAATTGGCCAATGCAGAGCTCCACAAGCTTTAAAGAGACCATATTCATCTATTTTCTAATCTATGTTATAATGTTGTTTCCTCATCACAAACATACCTGGAGTTGTGTTTTGTTCCATTCACACATGTGCATCACAAAAGCCCTGCATATTTAGGCTGGGTTCTTCTCTCTCCACTGTGTGCTCCACTGTGTTTTTAAATTCCATACACTTTTACTAGTTTCATTTAGATAATTTCATCCCTGGAATTTCTAATTTCTACTGAACAAAAGGTAAAAGGTAGCTACTAACTTGAAAACTACCAATTCATGACATCACAAGGTGGAACAGAACATTTGAGCTTTGGAGAAGTAGACAGACTAACAATAGATTTACTCAAAAATGTGTGAATGAAACGTAACACCTCTAACAACATTATAAAATGGCTTAAAGCTCACAAGAGTCAGTTTTGTATAATATAGGACCTTTAAGATGATAATAAAATATAAAAATATCAGCCAAACAATGTATCAACCCACCAGATGAAAGCTATTGTCAAAAATACTTTGTTTTCTTGTACTGGCGTGAGCAGGGAACATGCTGAAATTGCATAACAGAACCAAACAAAGTGGTGAGGGCAGATACAATAATGCAGAGTTTGGACTGTGTGCTTAATGTGAATAAAAAGGTCATAAAACACTGGACATACTTAACCTTACCTGATCATGTGGCTAAACAGACTGGGCAGACCAGGTCAGTCAGGTGGAATGTGAAGTGGCTGTAGACCAGTTTTACTAAATGTTTTGGTCTCCAGTCCAGTACTCTGGACTGATGTTTCAGAGGCCTCTTTGCACAGCCTTCGGTCTTGTCTGGTGTAGTAAATCTAGGTGCAGTGTCGGAAAGTGATTGAATACCTGTACAGAAAATACATATTCAGAATAATTTTGAATTACTGTATTCTGGTTCAGTTACTTTTTCATTACAATTACTTTCCTAAATTAGTAGGAACACATGGTGGCACTTCAAACTGCACAGTATTAGTGGAAAAAAGAAAACACTGCTCTTGCAGGGTATGCATGCACAATTAAATGTTTGTCTATTTAGACATAAATTAAGGCAACAACAAATGAGTTTTGTTGTTTATAGTTATATGTTATGTTTTTTATCATTTAAATTTGACATAAATGTTTTCCAAGTATTCAAAATACATGACTCTGAATGGGCCATGTAACAGAATACATTACAAAATACATTTAAATTCAGGTATTTGGTATTCTGTTATTAAATACATTTTCTAAGTATTCTTCCCATCATTGTCTAGGCGTCTTGCTCTGGTGCTCGAGGCTCCTGGGCAGTTAAAATGAGTACCTCTGTGTAAAGAGGCACTTATCTCTCGCTGGATTCAGGTTGTCAACAAAATCTATAACATGGACATGCTGACCTTTTCATTGAGAGTTAATGCTGATAAAAGATATTGGAAGAAAAAGTCTCAAGTCTTTGACCTCTAGTCCGAGTCAAGTCCCAAGTCAAATACAGGCAAGTCCAAGTCAAGTCCAAGTCGTCTGCTTTGAGCTTCAAGTCATTTCAAGTCTTTAAACCAAAGTACCAAATATAGCTTAGATTTTTGCAATTTATATGAATTTTAAACTAAACTGTCCTTAAAAAGTCATAGTATATTTACAGTATTTATAGAGTATATGAGAGTTGTAGAAATGTTCATTTTTCCTTTTTAAATGTTTTGACAACATCTTAGTGTGAATCATTACGGTTAGTATAGAAAGAATTCAGATTTAAAAGTGCTTCACCAGTCTTCTCAAGTCACAGGCCTCAAGTCCTAGTCAAGTCCCAAGTCACTAACCTTCAAGTGCAAGTCGAGTCCAAAGTCTTCTTCCATTTTATCAAGTCAAGTCTCAAGTCCTAAAAATAGTGACTCATGTCTGACTTGAGTCCAATTCACGACTTGCAAGTGCCCACCTCTGAGTAGGCCTATATACTTTTCTGTACCTCCTTTTTTTTTTGAGCACAAACGTTTAAAATACCCATAAAATAAAGTTTTTCTATGAGAGCGATTATCTTAAGCCTTCTTTAACAAACCCTGCCGATGTCCTTGTTGACAAATTAGACTGTTTTACCAGGCATTAGTTATTATGGAGAAGATCGTGTGTGCGCCTGTTTCTCATCAGGCTGTGGGACATGCCGTGACTCCAAATAAGGCACAGTAAAGTCAAGCCCTCTAGCGGTAAAGGCGCGGGAGAGCGGGGAGAGCCGGGGAGCTGTCCATCCATGAGTGCTGAAATTGTTTGCCTCATTGTTTGGTCGTCTATCTTCACCCATAAGAACACCCGTATCGTTCCAGCGTGACTCGTTATTAGAGAGTAGAAGACTTAAACAGAGGCACACTGATAATAGTCATCATCATTTTAGCCCACTGGCTCCTGACTTTGACTCACGTGTCCTCGGGATTATCCGTGTTATAGCTGAAACTAAGGAGCTGTACCTGATCTTTACCTATTGGAGCCACTCAGCTGCGACATGACTCCGGCAGCGTCACAGAGACCAGGCGCGGAGTTGGGGAGAGTTGGCGCACGCACGCAGCTCAGTCTTGCCGCGGGAGAAGCCAGGAGCACATGTCACCAACCGGAGTAATCCCTTTGAGGACGAATGAGGAATTTGACATCAGTGAAAATGTATTTATTCTCGTAGGTTTGTAATATTTATATGTCTTTTTTTTTTTTTTTTTTTTTTTTTTGGATAACTTCGGACTTACTTTGGGTGTGAGTCATGGATTTTCTAAATGAGTCAGTGATTGGGAATGTCTCCGATGTTTATGGATACATGAACTCATCAACAACAGGTAAGCAGCTGATTCATGTTTCATCCAATTTATTTTATTTTTTTGTTAATTTATATTTTGTATTACTTTAAAAAATTGCCATCTGGGTTCAAAATGGTCAACTACAATCAATTTTGACAATATCACATGAGTAGGATTTTTTTTAAATGCTCATAATAAACGCAAGCTGATATTAAACACATTTTATGAGCAGATCCGATGAGGTGTTCATGACATTTAAACATGAGGTCGAGTTCTGCAATGTGACGCTCTCTCCTTCCTCCAAATGCTCATATACCAATAAAGAAGAAACAGAAATCAGTAACTAGATATTTCATGGCTCTAGAGAATGGTGCACAGCAGGAATAAAGCTTCTTCCACTTTATTTCTATAGCACATTTTATAAACAAAAACATAGAGACATGAAAAAAATCTACAATTTAATCCAATAAGAACATAATAATAATACAATAACAAAAAACTATAAAGACAATAGAGGAAAAAAGTAAATAATTATACAGTAAAATAGAACCGTAGGAATAAATAAATAAAATCAGTAGATCCTCATCTGCCCCATCATCAGGTGAATTTGTGAAATAGCCTGCATGGATTGAATTAATTTTACGCAACTAGCCTACAGGTATGTTAGTTAAGAATATTCTGCCTGCTGATCATAACTGACAATAATTTAATTCAGTATATGATGTGTTTTTTTTAATACAATCTTCTGACTAGTCTATTCCTCTGTGTGTATGCAGGGATTCACGGGGCTCTTCACTCCAGTGCCATCCTGCCTGTCATCTTTGGCATCATCTGTTTCCTGGGGATCATAGGGAATTGTATCGTCATTTACACCATAATGAAGAAGACCAAGCGTCGTTCCAAACAAACAGTGCCTGATATTTTCATCTTAAACCTGTCTGTTGTTGACCTCCTGTTCCTGCTTGGAATGCCTTTTTTAATCCATCAGTTGCTTGGCAATGGGACATGGCACTTTGGGGGGACCATGTGTACTGTTATCACTGCACTGGACTCAAACAGCCAGATTGTCAGCACTTATATCCTCACAGCCATGACTCTTGACCGCTACTTGGCGACGGTGCACCCTATCCGGTTTAACTACGTGCGTACTCAGTGTGTGGCCTCTTTAGTCATAGTGCTGGTCTGGGGGCTGTCTCTGCTGACCATTCTGCCCGTGTGGATGTACGCTGGACTAATGCCCCTCTCAGATGGACTAGTAGCCTGTGCACTGCTGCTGCCAAACCCAGTCTCTGACACTTTCTGGTTCACTTTATATCAGTTTTTTTTGGCTTTTGCTATACCCCTAGCCATCATCTGTCTAGTGTTCTTTAAGATCCTACAGCACATGTCCACGAGCGTTGCCCCCCTTCCTCCGCGCAGTCTCAGGGTGCGGACGAGGAAAGTGACCCGCATGGCTGTGGCGATCTGTCTGGCTTTCTTCATCTGCTGGGCTCCTTTCTACATCCTCCAGCTGGTCCACCTGGGAGTGCACAATCCCAGTGAAGCTTTCTCTTATGCCTACAACATCGCTATCAGCATGGGCTACGCTAACAGTCTCATCAACCCCTTCCTCTACATCATCCTGAGTGAAACATTCAAAAGACAGTTCCTCAGCGCCATTTGTCCCATTAGCAGGAAGTTTAGAGTGAACCCCCAGCACCACAGACGAAGGCGGCGTCAGCGTCCGGATGATCCCTGAAGGAGCACAGCAGGAGGCCGTTTGTGGGGAGCTCAACCTCCTCAATCATGTCCCACAATGAAAAGTGACAATGACCGTAACAAATGAGACAGGGGGCTTTACATGTGAGTGCCAAACCAAATGTGTTCATCAATAGAAAACCCCTCCTGGCTGTTAGTTCCTCTCAGAGGGTAACATCTTATCAATTCAGATGCTCTTCAGCTTTAAGTAAATGGAGTTTTGGTCAGTATTATCAGCTATAAAAACATAGTTGACCAAAGTGCTTCACAGGTTCAGCATTACAAAATAAAGTGCCCAGAGAAAACCCATCGAGACACAGGAAGAACATGAAAACTCTGCACAGAAATGCCCAAGCAATCCTGGTGGAACTCTCCATCAGAAGTTGTGCACATAGTGTCCCTTTAAATATCCATCCAAAAGTGACTCAGAGCTGTAGTGCACTCTGAGCACCTGCCTCTGCCAAATACCAAGTGATTCACAAATGGAATACATTTGCAGCCTTTTGAGAAACAAAGAGTAAAATAATGGACTTCATTTTGGGTTGTTTTTATTGCAGCGTGACTACTTTCTGAAGAAATCGAGAGGAAGTCAAGGGCAGGTGTTATATTTGTCAGTTGTTAGTTTGCAATCTAAAGAATTTTTTTCAAATGTCAGAACAATCCCCACACAAACTCCCCACACGACTGCCTAATGCAGATAGATAGACCTTGCCAATTATTTTTATTGTAAGCTGATGTCTATAGATTTTTTTGTATAATAACAGGAAGTCTGTTCTCATCAGCCACATGATAGCTTTCCAAACCGCACATCCAACAGAGACAGATAAACAGCATTTGACTCTAACTGTAACTATGAATTTAGTGATTTGATTTCCCCAGACACTTTCCAATTTGCTAATCTCTATAAAAAGACTTACTGATAGATAATTGGGTGGCTCTTGAATCCCTTGTGAATTATCCATGCACTTCTGTACTCACTTTAGAACCGCCTTTAGTATCTGTCTGTACATGTTTAACAAGCACAATGCATGTTCTGCTTTATAATGTCAAGTCTTGAGGTGTACTGTTATTAATGCCACTGCATGTAGAAGATCCTGTCACTGTGAATAGCTGTGGTGTCAGTTGTATTGTCCGATCTTCAATCACATGTCCTATATAATTAAAGTCCTACAGCCAGTCTGAAGATGAAAACATGAATTTAAGCTGGTGTCTGCCTGTTTTTGCTATTACCTTTCCAATTTGAGTGAAAAGTTAGTTTTTACATTTGGACATTAACAACTTGAGAATATTGTATCGTAAAACATATATGAACACATGCTGTAAACAGTGTAAATGAATTAATCAAACTGCAGTTGTTTATGAATAAATTATTTAGAGCGCTCACTGTTCCCAAATTATTTCAGTTAAATGGGGTTTTGTTGTGTTATCATCTATTTGGCCGCATTCATGCATATTTGAAGACGGAAGTGTGTTATTCAGTTGCATTGGCATTGAGCTAAAAACATTTTTCAGTTCCATTTGTCAAAAACCTTGATACCATAGCCTAAGAGTCTTTCATTTCCAGTTCTTATGTCGACGGGGACATTGATACGGTCTTTGATGGATGGATTTTCAATTGCAGAAAGTTCAGTGTGTCCAAGTTATTGATGCCCTGCAGGTAAAACCCTTCTCTAGAAAGTGACTAAACTTTCTTAAAGGTGCATTGTGTAACTTTCTGCTTGTTTGTATGGAGATGTCATTGCTCTGTTTGGGATGTTCCACAGTATGACATTAAACAGCTACTTTACATTTATTCAATTACAGGTGGTTTTCATAACTCAAAACTACCTGAAAAAAAACAAAAAAAACCTGTAACCTGGTTTGGTCTCCATGTAGATAGAAAGGTTTAAACATTCCAGACAAAGCAATAACATCTCCAAGTAGAAAAGCATTTGTCGGACTCTCTACTCGACTTTTAACTCCTCAAATTTATCATTACGCCTTAAATTATCACCTTATAATTACGATCCCTGACAGGTAAAGTGAATTCAAATGGTTTGGTCAGTTGGTCCATGTTGGTAAAGGTATTCTTAAACCTGCTGTCTCCCAACTTGAAACAGAAAAAGTGTGAGGGCTCTCAAAAGCTGCAGTTCTTTGCCGTTCCGTGTCTGGTCAGTATTTGAAAGATACAGCCCTAATGGGAGCAATCGTCAAGGAGAGAGGAGACTGGTGACAGACCATGGAGAGTGTGAAAACTGGCCCCTGCACTGATCCATCAGGCTGTAGTCCCAAGTTAAGTTAAGGCAGGTTTTGATCCAATGTGTCGAAGAACAGGCTCCTACAGTTAATTACAAATTGAGTTGCATGCAATCTAGGCAGTGATCGCACAACAGTGGCACAAGGTAATGTAAAGCACAAAAGTAAAAGTGCAATACTTAAGTAAAATTTTTAGGTATTTGCACTTTACTTAAGTACATTTTACAGTGGATACGTTTTATTTTACTACATTTGAGAGAAGGTATCTGTACATTCTACTCCACTACATTTTAAATTTGGACTGAAAAGTAAAAAAAACCCAAAACTTTTCTTTATGGTTTGAGACCTGCTGAAATGGCTGACACTTATTTTCAGCACATTTAATTTGAGCTATCCCAACTTTGAGTGAACCAAATACATAAAAACAAAAAACTAAAACTAAACTAAAACTAGAAAAAAAAAAAATAAAATAAAATAAATAAATTCAATCAACTAAATTCTTTATCAAAATCAGTACATTTGATTGTACTGATTTAATTGTTCTAAAAATCTCTGCAAAATACTTTTACTCTTAAGGTACATTTTTAAACTAGTACTTTAATACTTTTACTTAGATGGTTTCATGTGCTAGTTTTACTTTTACTTGAGTAATCTTTTGCCCTTGTATGTGTACTTTTACCTAAGTAACAAAACTGAGTTTTTCATCCACCACTGTAACACAAAATATGCACACTTGATCATACTATGCTGAAGGGAAAAATGTCTCTGAATAAAGATTCATCCATCATTTTATCCAACAGTTAAATTGACGACTGTCCACATCGCATTTTAGTGGAGAGTCTGTTGAATATGAGTTGTGTGCTGTTGTGTTGATGCCATTCACGGATGACTAATTAAGAATTAGCTTGGACATTAACTGCAAATTAATCTTTTTGTGGTTGGGTTCACACATGTCCTGGTTTGAGCTCAGTCTAGTCCTCATGGGGGCTTGGTATGGTTCTGTCTTGACATGGTTTAGTCCAAGCTAATGCCCAAATTTGATGTGCTCTTTGTGCAAATGTGAATGCAGAAAAGCAAAATAATGAAATAATTGTAGAAATAATAATAGTAGAAACAAAATTCAACAAAACAACTTCAAAATAACCATCCAACCGTTCACATCTGGTGCCTGTTAACAAATCTGAAATGTGAATCATACCAAACAGATAGGAGTGTCACAATACTTTTACCACAAATTTTATCTGTGTATTTTTTTGTTTGTGTTTTTATCGTGCCCTTTGTGCAAATGTGCATGCAGAAAAGTTCTTGCAAAAATAATTATATAATAGGAGCCTACTTTTTCGCTGGCTTTTCAAGACATAGACAATGACACAGTAATAATCTTGGAATTGCTGTACCCCATTTTCCAGTATATGGAGTATTACAGGCTTCTCCAAATCCAATCTTGTTCAGCTTGAGATATAGGAGGCTTCTTAATCTTACAGCGTGTAAGGTACGTAAGTGTATAGTGTTATTCCTCAGTAAAACCAATGCCATAAAGCGAAGGTATAACAGTGGTTTTAACCTGTTACCCTGGACACCCAAACTAGTATTTAGAAGATGGACATAGATCCAAAAGTAAAATGAACATGAGCACACAATTAAAGGGCCCATATTACACTATTTCCTGATCTATGTTATTCAATTCTCAAACAGAAAACACTCTGTTCCAATTTGTGATGTCTTGTGGTAATACAGGAAGTGCTCCACTGTATTTTTAAACTCCATACACCTTCACTTGAATCATTTAGATGATTTCAACCTTGGAATTTCCAAAATACTAGACAAAAGGTAAAAAGTAGCCAGTAACTTGAAAACTACCACTGCATGACATCACAAGGTGGAAAAGAGCATTTTGAGCTTTGGAGATGTAGACAGACTAATAATAAAGGATTATTCAAACTTGTGAATGAAACAAAACACAACTCCAGGTATGTTTTTGAGGAGGTAACATTATGATGTGGATTAAAGCGCAAAAGAATCAATATAGGACCTTTAACCCATTAGAAAGAACTAGAATGGAGCCAACTTTATATTGTATTGTAGTCAAATCTCAACTGATCAGTCAGGGATGTTCTCTCACCCAACACTCTTCAAATGAGGAGCATAATGAGAGTGATGAGTGTTTTCTTTATGCCAAAGTCCATTAGTGTCACTACTCTCCATAACGTGCCTAGACTAGTATTAGCCCTGCCCCCAATCATCTCTTTATCCTTGATGAAATACATGGAAAATGGTTTCTAATTGCTTTCAAAACTGCTATAATAATTCTGATTGAATAATAAAATAATGTAATCATTGGAAATCATAGGGGGAACTACAAGCAAATGTAATCTAATATTGGAGTACATCATCAACACTAGATTAACATGACTAACATAACATAACTCATTATCTTGATGTTGTTTATGAAATTAGATAAAATAAAAACAAAACAAATGTCAAAAACTAAATTTCAAGAAGAATTTTCAAGAAGATGTGCACTACTCAAGAATTAAAAGAAAAAAGAAAAAAAAAACTAAACAGAAACTTTGCCTTTGTTGCTGCTTTATTATGTCTGGACTGCCTGCTTTGCTGTTGCTGCACAAACGTACCTCAGTTTTACTTGTTTTATCTGATTGTGGTTCCTCTTTCTAGGGTGTCTTCTGTACATCTGGAAAAGGTCTGCAGATGGAAATCTAACTCTGCTAACTCTGGCATGTTATACAGTTGTACTGTTGGTCAATATGCACTGTTCTTGTTATAAATATAATACATAATAAATAAATAATATAAATATAAATAATAATAACAATAACATAAAAAATAAAAAATCATTACTGAGATGTGAAAAAGAGAAAAGCCCAGGGGCGGACTGGCAATCTGTGTATTCTGGAAAAGTCCAGAAGAGCCTTCTGGTCAACCGGCCACTAACAGCACAGGGCACTAATATGGTAAGTTGCCCATGTGGCAAGCATAAATTGCATATGCCGTAAAGGCGACAAAGAATAGTGGGTTTCTCGTTGGTTTCAACACATATCAAAAATGTCGAACAGAAAACCTAAGGAGAAAGGTGCCACAAATTACACTGTTTTACACTTTTGCCTTGAGAAAACATTTGACTAAAGCTGTGTGGTCTGTCAGAGCCTGTCTGAGGTTCCCAAAGGCAAATGCTGGCACTGTACAGTATGTGCAACAATAATTATTTAGATTAACAATATCTAAATTTTTATATTCACCATCTGTAGAATTTTGTGAGTTTGTGCATTGTTTAACAACATTTCTGTATTTAAATACTTATCAGTATTATTATCAAAGCTTTATTTTGAACACTTCTACCTGGTGTCACGTGCTTCTCACCCTGGAGATGGATAACGTTAATGCCTCACCCTGAAAACTGTTTTGGCAAAGCAATCTGTGGAGATAAGCAGAGGTTAGACACTTCACTAGAAATGTTATTCAGTGAACCTTTAAGCAGCTAGGTTAATTACAGCGAGATGAGATGTTGGATAAAGTATAAATTATTCTAGTGCTATAATGAAGGTTACGGAAAGCAGCTTGCACCTGCAGTAGCGTCTGACTTGCTCTGTTCAAAGATGAAGACAATTCACAAATGCCTCTAGTCCAGTCAGGACAGAGGTGATGTGTCTGGACCATGTGGCAGCGGTGGAGTGAGTGGGGGATTTAAATGTGTGGACAGCAATTTACTGACTTTAGATCATGTATGTATGTACACAAGTGCATGTGTTTGTCTGTACTTATACTTCTGTTTTACATTTACATTGTCAGACTCAGTGTCTGTATTATTTGTTTTCTTTTTTTACTATTTGGTATCATATTGTTATAGATCTTTATGAAGTTAGAGCCATAATGACCATGGTTATCAAAATGCAGCCAGGCAGTGTTTCATTGTTTGAAATACATTACATACAAAGAAAATGGCAACTACGTAATTACAAGTTCAAAAACTGCTTTCTATCTGAAAATGTCACTGTTCCCCCAGTTATTTCTGTAAACTGAACACTGCAAATAAAATAAAAAATATATAAATAAAATAAAAAAGTCAATACAAAGACTCACATCGACTTTATAGAATCAGATAGTCCAGTCCAAGCATAAGGCAAGATGTTAAGTGGATTTCTCTGTAAGTTTGTGAGTCACAAGCACAAGACAGATGAGAGTCTTTAAAAATAAGACACCAAAGCCAAATGAAATAACCCCATTTGTTTTTTATTACTTAAAAATAGAACAACATATACCGTCATTTACACAAGATGAATCAGGCAATAATGGTTCCTTCATTCTTAATTTGCATTTATAAATGTGCCCAAAAGGAAATAGTCCTTTTTAATTGTGCATCCTTCAACATACACAGTTTGTAAACTTGTGCAAAGTATCCATGTATTTGTATTAATAAAAATAGAAAATATACAAAAACATTATAAAAAATATTTTAACTCACACAAGTGCTCAGAGTGACAGGTGGTGAGTGGATAAGGACATAAAAAGTCAATAAAATGCATACTCTTGGTGAACAGAAAAAAAAAAAAATGTTAGTTACAAATTTAAGGTGAATAATAATCCATAATTCAAATCAAAGTAGAGATTTTTCTTTTCGCAAATTGGAAAATGCTGTTCCAAACAACTACACAAGAACGTGCTTAGATAAATAACAGGCCAATTTCATTTCAAAACCAAAAACTAGGTTCTGGTTGAAAGAAGACACCTGCAACTTTGGGTTATATTTTCAACATAGTGACAATCAAAGCAAAACAGTGATTTCTCATGTGGTTTTCATTGTAACAAGACAGGACAAACAAATAACTTCCAGTGTCTTGAGATAGAAAATGTATTTTAAAAACTCCAACTTTGTGATACCTGTACACCAGATCATCTCTGTAATTCGTAAGGGCACTTGTGAGAATGATGAACAATTATGTAAAAGGCCTTGGATGTTATTGCTTTTCTCTACAATGAATTGTTATGACACATTCCTGAGCCCCGTCTCTTCATAAGAATTACAAGAGCAGTCCTTTTATCAAAACAACTTACAAAAACACCATTCAACCAGGTTCACATCAGGTGCTTAACTCCTCAGCTCATTTCTGACAAGGTCTGTTAAAAAAGCTAATGTTATTCTTATCAAACAGATTGGTAGTAACATAAATCAAGGTGCACTGTGTAACTTTTCTGGTGAAGGGTCCATCAAATGCTTTGTTTGTTTGGAATGTTTCAAAGTATGTAATAAACTTTTCATATCCATGGAGATCAAACCAGACCAAGTTACAGGTCAAATCTGTGAAGAGGCGACCCCGCTCACAGTCAGAATGCATGTTTTTCTAGGTATTTCTGAGCTATAAAACCACATGGAACTGAATAAATGTAAGTTAGAGCTGTTTAATGTCATACTGTGGAACATTCCCAGCAGAGCAATGACTTATCTATAGAAACAAGCAGGTGATGAACCGTCTACCAGAAAAGTTACACAATGCTCCTATCAGATATATGGACTGGTGGGAGAACCCAGTGTAAAGAAAACAAACAAACAAACAAACAAAAAAAAAAGATAAATAAACTGTACTGAGTCAAAAATATCTGGAATTGCATAGAAAACCCTAATCTTAGTGCTACACCATCCAGGAGAAAACTGCATTTATTACATGATTTAAAGACCAAAAGCCAAATCTTCCTTCAAATCTCATACAATTTGGAGTGTGGTGTGAACGACGCCTTGATTCACTTGTTTTAACTTCACTGAACTGTCACATTATTGTGGACATAATGTAATTTACATTCACCAAACTTATAATGCACAAAGAAGAAAGCTGTAATTACTTTATTAGATCACTCCTCAATAAAACAAAATTATCCTGGGCACATTGCACAAAACATATTTTAATGTCTATTACTTTTTATAGTGAAATAAAAGTAGTAGGATGAATATTCATGGTGATGTTAAATTCCACTTTCTTGTGCAATCCCTTAGCTGAGTATCTTTAGTGATCTTTAGGGCTTTTTTTCCTGTGGGCCATAATATACAATGTACTGCACCATTTCATTACGACATAGACAAGAGGGAGTTACACGTGGAGCTATATTATCATTACGATGGAAACACTGATAAGTTAATTCACTTCATGTGGGTAAAATCCCATTAGAGTTGCTACATGATTGCAAAAGTCGGCCATAATGCAAACGGAAAAGAGCACCTCTGCAGTTTGAGATGCACCTGGAGCTAATGAAGGGCTCAGCACAGAGCCCTCAGCTCAGTAATTACCAATCGCGTGAAATAATAATAAAATATAATACATGTCATTACTCAGAGGATCATTTCAATTTGGTGCTGTGAGCTCAGGGGGAATTACTAATCCATTCTGAGAGTACAATCAGAGAGTGAGAGAAGGGGGGGGAGAGGGGGAGAGAGAGAAAGACAAAGGGGATGGACACAGAGACACGAGAGAGGGTGAAAAATTGAGAGAGTGTGAGAGAGAGAGATAGAAAGAGAGATGAGTGAGCACAGCACATAATCTGTTGACAGTGGATGATTTTTGTATGAGGTTAATCAATGGAACACGATGTAAGCACTTCCGGGTTTCATTTGGTTGTGTAACTAACTGAGCCGTCTGTAAAGAGACCGAGTCAAAATTTTCAGGTAAAGATGCACTGATCCGGCCTTTTCTGGTAAGATGCTGCTATCAATAATTTGGCTTAGAGTATGTATCAATATCTGAAAATAACACTTCTTTTCTAAAAACAAAAACAGACAGTCAAAGGTTTCCAATTGTGTTATGTAACTGTTCTTTATCTTCCAATTAACTATGGAACAGATTTGTATTAATTAAAAAAAATCACCTTCATTTATAGGCCCAAACAGAATATCCATGAGTTTTAGAATGATGAAAAGTTAGGACTGTTGCCATTGTAGTTAACAACACAACCGTCCTCAAAATGGCTCCATGTAATGAGAAACCGAAACCTGGATCGAAGCTGCTACCATCCCCATACCAGAATTATATTTGTAGCAATGTATTCCTACTGTCTGGTATGTTTTATAACCACACATCAAAGTACATTTTGCATTTCATTATAGGCCTGTGTATGACATGTTTTGGTGTTACTGTGAAGATATGAAGATGGTATTAGACAATTGTAATACATTTAAGTGTAGATTTAAATAATGCCACGCTCTAAAAAAACAAATAATGCTAATATTTATTTTTTAGAGCTGGATATCTTGTTCTTAGCTGTTCTTCTGTTCTTTAACTTTTTATATAAAAATAGAAAAGTAAATATGAGTATTCTACTATACATGTGGCTTACAGAGTGTAAAATGTGTGTTCTAGTGTTAGACAGGCCATTAGTCATTGGTCAAAAAGAATATAGTTCAGGCACTTTTACCCAGTGTGGGACAGGTACAGAGAAGGGATGGGACAAGATCTCATGCCACAAGATTTTTCACATTAGAATTATTATTATTTTTTTTTTCAGGTGCTGGTGAGTTGCACCTTTAGAGAAGCTCCAAATAGCTACACTGCTGGAATGACAACAAAATGAAATGGTAAAGTAAATACAAATTCTGAACTGAATTTGTGGGAAATAATTGCACTATGTACATTAGAAATTATGTAAAAAAACTCTTCTTTTCTCATTCTTGTGGATCCAATGTTGCTTTTCATCTTGTGGAAATTGTGCCTTGTCCCACCCCTATTAAAGAATCAATGTGTGAATAATGAACACTATAAAAAACAAAGAGAGATGGAATAACTTTTCCACTTAAATGTGCAGTTTTCATTGTTCTGTCTGCTCCATACTGTGGATCCCTGTGTTCTTCCTTCCAAAGTCCATGTAAAAAGGTGCACCTCTGCGCTCTATTGCTTTCACCTGTAGACAAGATGAAAAAAAGGCTATATGTGATCAAAGCTACGTTACTAAAAACTGGACTCTGGGACTGTCCTTTTTCTGCCCAGGGAGGTTGTGCTGTACCTAGCTCTCTGGAAGGTCCCGTATGAAGACTTGTCCGTGGTTTGGTTGCGGGAGGGGGCCAGACCACTGGATGTCATCCCGTTACGGTGCAGTGAAGCTGTCCTCCTCACACTCTGCTCTGCTTTAGTGGGAATGTTGGATGAGCTTTGGGAACGCTTGATCTCTGACGCCCTTCCTGGTTTTCCGTTTGCGAGCTCCCCTCCCACAGCACTGGAAGTATTTGGTCTGGATTTATCGACTGCCCCACCTCCAGGCGCTCCATTGGACAAAGACAATCTAGACGAAGTCCTTCTACCTCCTTCCTCTACCTTCCTCGAGTCTCCATCTTTGGACTTTTTCGGGTCTTTCTTTAAGAAGTTACCCTTGAGGAAAGACAGTAGCCCTTCTTGGTTCTTGGATGCATCTCCTTTCACTTTTGAGTGTCCTTCATTAACACTGCGCCTGTCTGACTTTTCACCTTTGCTCCGTCCCAAAGTGCCCTCGTGTAGGGTGGGAGTGCTGTAGCTCTGCTGTACCGCACTGCCCCTCCTGCTCTCAGTGTCTTTGGAGGAGCTGTATTTCTTTGAGTCCTTCCTTCTGGTCAGTGTGTTGCTACTATGACTACTGCTAATAGTGGTTGGCTCATCTCTGGGTGGATCCTTTTTGGAGCGTCTTAGACTTCCTGTTTTCTCAGAAGGCCTGCGCTGACCCTGGGGTACCTGTGGAGAATCAGACACTAAATCCTCTCTTGATTTAGCCAGACAGCTCATGCTCGCCACGCTGGAGGACCGGCCACCTGCCGCCTGCCCTTGAGCACCTTCTCTTGAATTGGGTGGTCCAGTCATCAGGGACTCTATGGGGTCTTTTGTGCATTTTGGGCGTCTCCCAGATTCTAGATACTGGACCAGCTCCACCGGTGCAGGGTCCTGGACTGCAGGGGGCGCCGGTTCAGGTTTTCGTCGGTCTTTGGAGCCCAGGGACCAGCGCAGAGGAAGAACTTTGCTCAACGTGTCCTTGGTTTTGCTCGGGGCTCTCATGCTTACACTTCGACCCTGGAGACCACGCACAAACGGTCTCTTCTCAAATCCACCTGCGGGATTTAAGAGAAACAAGTGTTAAACGTGCACTGTGTAACTTTTATGGTGGAGGGTCTGTCAAATGCTTTTCAATATAGCGATGTTATTGCTTTGTTAAACCTTTCTATCTTCATGGAAACCAAACTAGGCCAAGTTACAAGTCAGACACCTGACAGACACCCAACCAAAAAGTCACATAGTGCACCTTTAACTGACAGATAGAAACTAGAATATTAAAATATTTGTGATGATGGATACCTCTTTCTTCCTTGGAGCCACTGTCAGAGAAGACAGGAGACACAGGAGAGTCTGGTAAAGAAGATGGACAGGCAGTGGACGAGCGAGACACAAGACTCCCTCTCTTACTGTCCCCATTCAAACGGATCAGCCAGTGGTCGGACACGGAGGAACTTGTAGAGCCTTAAACATAGAAAAATATAATTAATAAAAGCATAATCATTTTTTTTATTTTACATATTTATTGCTATTTTATGGTTTTGCTTTTATTTCATTTTCTACTGGTTTTACTGTTTTGTTCAGCTGACAGGACACGTCACAGCAACAGCATCACGTAACTACTCTGAGGAAGACCACTAATGAGCAATCGAAACTGTCAGGTATGAAAACAAACTCTTGGTCTGAAAAAAACAAAAAAACAAAAAAAACAAAAAAACAAAACCTAATAACAAGTTTTTGTTGTTTTCTTTTTATAATCCTTGTGCGGCACTTTGGAAACTGCTTTGTTTGTATAAAGTGGATTTGAAAATGCATGTCTCCAGAATAGAGCCTTTAAAATAGTTTTCAAACCACAATTTCTTTCTTCTGTAGCTGTAGCTGGTGTAAACAGTTGATCTCTTATTGGAACCGCTGGTGAAAAGATGAGTGGCGACAGATATGTAAAAAAATATGTCCACTTGGCAGAATCAACCCTTTTTGCTAGTATGTAGATATCACCTTTTTACCTTTTTATTTATTTGTATTTTTGCTCCACTTTGATTTGACTAGTTTTATTGTCTTACCAAGGACTAGTGGACTTAAATGGACTTTTATTATATATCCCAAGTGTATTGTATTGTCTGTATTGTGCACCACTTTGGACACTGTTTTGTTTATGAAATGTGCTATATAAATTGGTTTGGATGTATAGTTTGAATAATATTCCCAGTCATCATCAATCTGCTTGCACATACAGAAGCTTTGCATTATGAAGTTTGTGGGGATGCACCAATCCTCAGATGTAGGGGCATAAATATTGATGTAATAAGACTTTTTACTGGTTGCAGTTGTAACAGAAATTGTATTTGTATAAAGCTGTTCTGTAGTTACATGCAGGATAAATAACAACTACATTACATATTTGAATCAGTTCTGTTTCACATTAGTCTTGTTTTAGGGAAATAAATAATATCTCTGCACTGGTATGGATTGATATCAGATATTGGCAGATACTTGAAATCATAGTATTGGAGTTTTCGGAACTGAAAAAGCCAAATTCGTCCATCCCTAAAAATGTTTGTACCCAAGTGGTTACCCTATAGCCATTCTTGAAGTCTTGAACATACATTATGATTGATTCTGGCTAAAATGTTACATTACAGCATAATTTCCAAGGGCTTACTAGACTGCAGAGGGAGGAGGAAAGAAGGATATTAAAGGATTTGTGAGGAGCTGCTATGGAAACAGGTCAAACACAAAGAAGGCAGTTATGAGGATGAGTGACTTTTATTGCCAGAAGCTCTTAAAAGATAGATCGGAAACTTAAGTAAATATATTTCAAATGCTTCTGGTGTCTCTCCAAGTATTGTGCCAGACTTCAGCAATATACAGGGCTGCTTATCTTTTGGTGGAACATAAAGGACCCATATTACACTATTTTCTGATTTAGGTTGATGTTGTTTCCTCATCAAAAACACACCTGGAGTTGTCCGTTGTTTCATTCACACATTTTAACACACACATTTTGCATATTTAGGCTATCTTCTCTCAAATGGAAAACACCCACCTCCACCTTGTGATGTCATGTGATAATAAATGAATGAATGAATGTTTATAGGAACACAACTCCAGGTATGTTTTTGAGGGGGAACAACATCATAAGATGTCTTAAAGCTCAAAGAGTCAGTTTTGCGTAATATAGGACCTTTAACTACTGCTGAACTATTAGTGACAATTAGAGCTGAACTCAAATCGAAATCACAATTTGAGTTGGCACATTTCAAATTGCAAAGGCTTAGATAATATAATGTACTTTGCAAACAACAAAACAAAAATTTGATTGTACTTATAGTTTAGACCTCTGCAAACATGGGATTCGTGCATTAGTCTACTAGGAAGTACGAGCACATAAGTCCTGTGCTCAGGTCTCTGCACTGGCTTCCTGTGGCTCAGAGAATAGACTTTAAAGCAGCTCTGCTTGTGCACAAGTCTCTCCATGGCCGAGCACCAAAGTCCATCTGTGACATGTTAGTGTCATATGAACCATCTCGCACTCTGAGGACCTCAGGGACCGGCCTCCTGCTTTATGATTATTTATGTTTTGATTTGTTTTTATTATGATTTTAATGTATTTCTTATTCTGTAAAGCACTTTGAATTACTTTGTGTATGAATTGTGCTATACAAATAAACTTGCCTTGCCTTGTTTACTTTTTAATCCTCTTTCAACGTTGTTCAACTCTAATAACAATATTGTCTGTTACATTGCTTGATTCTTTTATTCATTTCTAATCATCTATTACATTTTATTTCCATTATCTATGCAACATCTTCATGGTTATTTTTACATAGGAAAAAAGTTTAAATTCAGTCAACTGGACAGTTTTTAGACTGAATACATTTAGCTCTTATCTATGGTTTCTTCAGTTATTTTTATCCATCATCGATACTACTTCAGGGGTTTGCTTGCAGTGTTTTGCAGTTTCCCAGCAGACCACGCACAACATAAAGCTCGCCCATAAAGATTCAAGATACATTTCACTGGAGAAAACTTGACATTTCCAGTATGGAGGTTATTGAGCTCATATACTACTGCTAATGAATAATGTAGGCGCATGTACTGTACTAGTATGTGCATGGATGCCTGCTATCGTCTTTTTGTGTACAGTGATTGCGTTACATAACATTTGCTTATTCTTAAATCAATATTTCTGTCCAGCAAAAATAACGCAACAGTTGTGTTATACAACTGCACTTCTCAAAACTGTTCATAACTGCTCGTCCTTACTCCAATCTTATACAAGGAATCAATTAGATTTTAGATGAGGGATAACCTTCCACATATGTGTTGTGTAGTTCACTCAGACAAAATGATAAGATTGCTTTATATGACCATGGACCAATAACTAATATGGCTCTAATCGTTGACCATGGACCATGGTCAACGATTAGAGCCATATTAGTTATTTATAAACCGAAGTCCACATTGCACAGTCCCTTCAGCAGCACTTGTATTCCAGGAGAGAAAAGATGTACTAAGAAATAAATGCTTGTATTGTACTACCTCAGGGCTAATTACTGAATATAAAGTTGACAGCAAAGACAAATACTGGAAACTGCATATTGCTGCTTGCATGGAAGTTCACAATAACAGACAAGGGTTCCTGAGGCACGCTGTGAATGACAGACTAAAATGTTTTTCTATTGAGTTGTTGTACTTAAATGCCTAATTGGAGGTTCTCACCAAGTATAATGGACCGCCACCTGCACCTGCCCTTTTACTTTGAGATCTTTCAGAAAATAACACACCAGTCAGCCAGAGATTCAGAGAAAGTGACAATAAAAACAGAAGACATATTGTGCTGTCTGCTGTAGAGTTATAGTCTATGGCACCTGAGGAGCATTATGCTGCACATTTAAATCACTCTATAGTTCTGATATGACTTAAAAGAAACAATGCCACAAATTTCTGTGTTGAAAAACTGCAGTGCCCAAACGTAATCACAACAAAGAGCCACAAAGTTGTTGGCACCTCTGAAGGATAGCTGTACATCACACTAGAATGAAGCAGATTTTCTTTTTTTCATTTATACCAAAATGACCGATGCTGCTGATTCCGACATGCATCACTGATTAAGAAAACAGAGAATGAGGTTAAAAATTGCCCAAACATGCATAAATCACTCTAAATTGAAAAGGGAAATCAACTATGGCATGGTTAAAAGCTAATAATAAGATGCTTTAAATCTTGTGGGTCTAGCATGAATTTATTTTTTATGACCCACAGAAAAGTGAAATTACTTCTATGTTATAATGTTGTTTCCTCATCAAAAACTTATCTGGAGTTTTGCTATTCTTTTGCTGTGCTATTTTATCAAACCTGAAAACACTGTTCCACCTTATGATGTCATATGGTAATACAGGAAGTGCTCCACTGTGTTTTCAACTCCATACACCTCCACTGGAATCATTTGGATAATTTCAGACCTGGAATTGCCAATACCAGCTAAACAAAAGGTAAAGGGTAGCTGTTAACATGAAAATCAGCTCTACATGACATCACAAGATGGAACAGAGCATTTTGAGCTTTGGAGATGCAGACAGACTAACAATAAAGTATTACTCAAACATGTGTGAATTAAACAAAACTGAACTCCAGCTGATGAGTTTTTGATGACGTGGCTTAACGCTTGCAAGAGTAAATTTTTCGTAATATGTAATACATAATAATAAACAATATATACTGTACATAACTTGATGCCAACACCTACACAATACCAGCATATTGCTTTAACAAGAACAACAACAACAAAAACACTTGCCTTGCTAAACCTAAAGCACGTCTAAAGAGTGGACGTGAGAAAGTGTGCACTCTACATTATCTGGGTGATTTGTTTTGTGTTTAGTTTGGGCTTTTCAGACTCTTCAGTGTGCCGTGTGCTGCTTCAAAACTGTTACTTCCAACACTGTGGATTTGTGGTTTGGGGAGCAGTGATGGGTTTACTTGAGCTAGTAATGTAGAGCTGTGAGCGTAATGGAGAAGAGATCACAGGTAGGTGCTAACTTGGCATCTTGTAAATAAAGAGATTCTTGTAATAAAGCTGGTGTGCTTGGAGGGAGGAGGGGTCCAGCAGTTTAGACGGGTCAAAGTGGTGGGTGGGACAGGGACCTTTTGTGGGATTGCAGATGGCAGTGTAATAAAGAGTCCAATTTGTGAGTGTGGCGCTGGGTGCCATTTTATAAATGATGTCGCCCAAACCAAACATTGGCAGCAGATAATAACCAAAAATTGGCAGCAGTGATGAGAGAGAAATTTTTCTGTGATAAACCTCTAAAATAAAATAAAAAATATTTTAAAATAGTATTCAGTTTGTGTTACTCTGGTCACTGACACCTCGAATGGGAATAAACATGAACATCGAGCAGAGTTAGGAAAAATACTTTGAAAATAGTTTTGATCACAGTATATTGAATGCCTGCATTGAAATTGACTTTGTAACATATTCAGTCCAGTCAGATTACTGTATTGTGAATACTTTTCACATTTAGTTACTTTTTTAAACTTTACTATTATAGTGTAAAAAATGTGACACTTGATTAAACATTAAACATTATGTTGGTTTCAGTGTTTGTTATACATTTATTTATCACTGATTAAATATGATGACATTTTTTGATCTATGTTATGATGTAGTTTTCTCATCAAAAACATACCTAAAATTTTGTTTCATTCACAAACAAAATTTATATATATTTAGTTCTTCTCTCAAACAGAAGACACTCACTGTTCCACCTTGTGATGTCATGTGGCAATGCAGGAAGTGCTCCATTGTGTTTTTAAACTCCATACACCTTCCCTAGAATCATTTAGATGATTTCAGACCTGGAATTTGTCTCTACTGAACTAAAGGGTAGCTGTTAACTTGAAAACTATCACTACATGACATCACAATGTGGAAAAGGGCATTTTAAGCTTTTGAGTTGAGCTTTTAGACTAATAATAAAAGGATAATTATAAACATGTGTGGATGAAGCAAAACACAACTCCAGGTATGTTTTTGATAAGGTAACATCATTCTAAAATGGCTTAGAGTCAATTTTGAGTAATGAAGGACCTTTGAGGCATGAAACATTTCTGTGTACTCATCACCATAAAAGCTGTGTTTTCTATTTTTTTCCCCAGCTAATACCATGCAATTAAAAAAAAAAAAATCAAAATAACTATATTCTGAATGCCACCAAATGAAAGAGTAAGTTTAATGTTATACAGTTACTCAGAATCTGCATTTTGAATATATTTTGAGTACATGTATTTAATCATTTTCAAACTCTGCATATGAATCATTTACCTCTGACAGAGCTGCTCGCCGACCATGGAGGTATATTATTCCTTCTCTGGTAGAACAGGATGTAAGCTCCTCTCGTGCAAACTTCTTCTTCAGGGACCAGATCCACACTGCTGTCATCGTAGCTGTACCACTGCCCATCCACTGAGTTTCGACAGTACGCTGCGAACCAAATTAAGAAAAAATTGAAGTTGAAAAATTTAAATTCAGATCTTAACAGCAGCACATACATATAGGCCAGATAACTATTTTGAACTTTCCCTTGAATCCTCAATGTTTATTCCACATGGGATACTTCAGCAGTCACACAGCAGTTTCCTGACTTTAGCTTGAAAAGTTTTTTATTGCATCTAAGTGGTTTCTGTCTGACAGGATTTGTACCAAGATCTGTAAAGATTTGACTGAGAAAAATATCCTACATTTAATTGAATCCATCGCACTGAAAGCCAAAAGTTCACCACCACTGATATAACTTGCATCTCTGGATATAAATATGCATAAAAATGACATTCACAGATTCTGGCAAAGCAGAATGTTTGACTGTGTTGGAAAAAAAGAAAATAATTCCAATTTGAAGTTTTCTTGTTTTTCCCACCATCACTCGACAACAAGCTGTCAGTATGTCACCTCTGTTTCCACTTTATATGTCGCTGTGGCGAAGGATTTTTTACAAATTGGTTACAGAAACGGAATGACCTTGACTTGTGATGCTATGGTTTTTATTAGTGTTGTATACAATATTCAATTAAAGAGATCTAGGGGATTATTATAGGTAAATGTTATATAACTTGTTTGATGGGGGTTGTACTTACTGCTTATCTCCATGTTCAAAATATATATTAGGTTCAGTAGGTCTTCTGTTATGATTATGTTTTAGATTATTATGTACAGACCTCTTATTATTTCATAGTTTCATCTGTACTCTGCTGCTTTCTTCAGAAATGTAACACGCTGTGATTTTTCCTCTCTGTTCTGATTTAAACAGATTCTGTAATTCTGTATTTTCTCCTTGATCTTCTATTGATTTACACGCCATTTCTGCTGCCAATATAAAATCTTCAATTGGGATTTTAGTCAGGGAGAAGCATTCTTAAGACCGCGGTTAGTGAGAGCCTGGAGATGCACGCACATCCTGTTTGTTCCACTTCTGAGAAAGGCGACAGAGTGCAGCTGAAACTGTCATGTATGAAATAATAGACATCTGCACATAATATAAATATGAAATATAGGCCTTGTAACATCAAGTGCTTCTCTCCAGAGGCACATAAAAAATTACATTAATACCATCTCCATGGAGACAAAAGTTACATAGTGCACCTTAAAGTAATAAATTAATGCATTACAGTCCATGAAAATATTATAAACTACTCAAGAGCTCTGGGACGACACTTAAGTGCTATCACAGACCCCCTCGGCACCACTCAAAGAACACAAGTGCTGTCTGTGCTTGGTCTGAGGCTTTACACTGTGGTAATAATATCTGCTGTTTTTCAACTATGTTAATACACTCAGTGGTAAATTCTTACCTTTAAGGCGTTCAAAACTTAATATTAAAGAACTGGTCATCTATTCACTCACACATTCATACACCAGTGCACACAGACACAGACTAATCCTTTATTATTAGGCTGTCTACATCTCCAAAGCTCAAAATGCTGCCATAAACCTGTAGTTTTCAAGTCAATAGCTACTTTTAATCTTTTGTTTAGTAGAGGTTGGCAGTTCTAGTATTGATTATCCAAATTATTCTGTTGAAGGTATAACACAATGCAGTGAATCGTCTATGTACCATCACAAGGTGGAAGAGTGTTTTCCATTTGAGAGAAGAACTGAGCCTAAATAAGGAGGGTTTGTGTATTAAACATGTAAGAATTTAATGTTTTTAATGAGGAAACAACATTATAACATGGATCACAAAATAGGGTAAGACGGGCCCTTTAAAGTGTAAGAGTTGTTAATGGTTCTGTGGAGACAAATCACCGTGGAGACCTTACTTTACCCTGAGCAGTTTACCTTGAAGTCATCTGGGATCACTTGTTCAAACAGTGGACAAGACCTTGTTTACTTAATAGGTTTTCTTCACCTACGTATTGAACTGAGGCTGGTGTAACTGCATGTGTTTTATCTATACCCTGGACATAGGGACCTTTAAAAATTTCCAAAGTTTGGACAGCATGTGTAAACAGTATCAGCCAAGTGAGTGCTGACTCTTATAGACCCTCTTACGCTGCTCTACAAATCTCCCCAGACAGAAACAGAGCAAATGTAAGATTGTGGTCTAATAGTTTTTCTTAATTTGTTTTGCTTTTACCAAAATGCTTCAGCAGATTTATGCAGAGGTGGAAGAAGTAGCCCACAGTGTACAGCTGTGGCATAACTTAGTAGCAATTTATTCATCTAAATAATCACTTGAGAAAAAGAGCTCTTCTCTTTTTTACGGTTTTGTATCCAAGTGAGTGGTGTAGAGCAGACATTTGCATATTAATTTGCCTTAAGTTCAATGCCATATGCTTTTGAGAATGCTTGAAATTCTGAAAGTTCAACCAAAAGATCCTTCAAAAAGCTAATTGGGAATGGCAAACATGGTTCAGCTGAGCACAGACACAGGAGAGGTGTGAGTGATCCTGTAAGATTTGACCAGCTGATCCTAAAAGATTTGAGTCATTTGGTTTATTTGTGTGGAGTCTTCTCGTAGTCATGGTGATACATTTCTTTAAATGAATGATTGTAAGTAGCCTGCTGTTAAGTGAAAGGTTAACTGAACAATGAGCTTTTATACTCTGTTCTGCTTTAATAGTAGACTGAAGTGGTTTTCATTGTGAGAAACTTCAGCCTTTGCTTGTGTGCGGTGCCGAAATTGACTAATATTTTTTTTACATGGCCAACTGTTTAGAATCTGGAGGGACCGATATTGCTGCCGATACTTTTGAGTTTATATGTAGAGCCGATTTTGATTATTTTCCCCAAAATATGTAATTAAAAATTACTAAAAATTCCCTCCACAATTCTTTCCACCATACATTTTAAGAGAGCAGTGGTTTGAGTAATTTTCTCTTTAATTGTTAAAATAAAGCTTTGTGTCTAGATTTTAAGTAGTTTCACAACATTTATATTGCGTCTTCACAAAGACGCTTTATAGAGCATTATTCACTCACTCCATACCCAGTGGTGGTAAGCTAATATTGTAGCTACAGCTCCTCTGGGGCAGACTGACAGAAGCGTGGCTGCCAATCTGAGCCATCCGTCCCTCTGGCCACCACCATCACTCACACACACACCACTTTCATACTAGGCAATGTGGGTGAAGTGTCTTGCCTAAGGACACAACGACTGTATTGCAACTGGCGCCCCCCTGTGGCACCTGATTTTCCCAGCTGTCTCCCAGCCAAGTACTAACCAGTCCCGGCCATGCTTAACTTCTGAGATCTGACGGGATCAGGCTTTAACAAGCCAGTATGGCCAATTTTACAATTTTAGACAACACATTGCCCAAAACAAAATATCGACCTGTGCTGGAGATTTTTGGCTGGTATCTGCTGATAAGTCCATATTTTGATATATTGGGTAAACACTAGGGATGTAAGAATAACCGAAATATTGTGGTATTATATAGTCAAAAATCTCACAATAATAGTGTGGGGTGTCACGATATATCCAATCACAAGTTCCTTTGCTTAAATGCATGGTTTTACAGTAGCAATAGCTAATAAATATTGGGAACTACATATCTCATTTCAGCACAGACAACGTGAAGTAATATGTTTTTACTTGGGATTATTACAGTAATAATTCACACCAAATTCTTGTCAGGGTATTTTAAAAAGCGAAAATGCATCCTATCTACAATTATATTAGCCTCTCCAAAATATTGTGATAAATATCGTCCCATGAGAGGCATATCGTGATAATATCATATAGAGAGACTTGAAGATCATTACATCCCTAGTAATCAATATATCTATCTCAGTTGTAAATGTATATTACTTGTGCATGGGTAAAAATATTTCATCTGAAACTACACCAGTACTACAATGTTAAGTTTCTCAAGTAAATACAACCCCAAAAGTATGTGACAAACATACACACGTAGTCATGATAAATGTGACCATAGTAATAATGTAGCCTGGTTTGTTACCTGTGTAATGTCCCCCGTGCATGCCTCCATGGTGGTTGCACACGGCATACAGATCGTACAGGTAGTCGTGTGGCAGGGTCAGGTCGCTGGGCTGTTGGCTCTGTCTCCATGACGATGGCCAGGGTCCGCTGTTCAAGTTCTTCATGCTCTGACTCCTCTTGACCACGTGAGGAGCCATGTCCAGCCCACACAGGGGGAAGTGCACCTGGGTGGTCAGCTTGTTCCTCCTCTCTCCCACCTGCGGGATAAATTAATAGCTTGCTTAATTTTTGGATGTATAATTTTAAAGGTGCACTGTGTAATTTTTCTGGTGGATGGTGGATGGAATCTGGTGTCTCCCTGGTGATGATGATGTTATTGCTGTGTCTGGGATATTCCACAGTAGGGCATTAAATAAATATATCTAGTTTTTATTTCTCAAAACGACCGCAAAACATGCATTATTACTTTCAGCAGGTCACCTTCTCCACAGATCTGACCTGTAACTTGCCTGGGGATGTGGGCTGCTTGTCTCCATGGAGATATTTAAATTGAATGCCATACTGTAGAATATTTCACAAAACAAAAACAAAAAAAACAAAAAAACATGGAGTCAAGCATTGCTACCAGAATAATTACACAGTGCACCTTTAATAATAACTCATTTGCTGACACACGTTGGCTTTTGACACATGAATCGATTGTGTACAACTAGTATAAACAAAATAAGAAAGCACAAATCTTTTCACTCATTTTTGAGATAAACAAAGTGTTTGTGTTCGGTGGACTTAGTTGTAAAAAAACAATAATATCAATCCAACGTTTGTTCACTTTCATAATTGTTTAGAGTGGTGTTCAAAGAAACAATTTTTTAGTATATCTGTTTTTCCTTAATAATAAGAAAACCAGTTTGAGTTGCAATGGATTTTGTGCCTGACTGTGCAATATTGAAAAGGCTTTAATGAATAAACTACCAGGGATAACCTTAAATTTGACTATTACCTTTAACTTTTATCCATCTGATTTAATAATATGCCAAACAACTTGTGAAACTGGTCTCACTTATGAAATGAAAATACAGGTGCATGCGTCATTCAAACTGAAATATCTCCAGGGAGGATTAGGACCTGGCCAATCATTCAGATAAAAGGATTTCCTATTCATAAACATGGAGAAAATGTGAAAATTAAACACTGAGGCAAAGGAAATATTAAAAAATAGCGGACGTAAAATAAGTTCCTTGGAGAACAACTTCAGTTTCACTCATAGATGCATAAAGATGATGGACAGGCAATAGTGTATGATAACTAAACAAAGATACATGCATATACAGTGTTTAGTTACTAATTTAAATTGAGACAGGTGGGTGGTTCAGCAAAAATATTGCCAAATGTTTATTTTAGTTGCATAAAATAAATAAGTGAGTGATGCATACACATATTAAAAAAAACTCAAAACAAAACCAACTGAAAAATCCAGAACCAGGACCAAACTAGGACTAATGAACTAACAGTAATAGGGACCTGTACTTTGTCCAACGTTTGTGTCTACAAATCTGATTATTTTTTAAACATTAGTACAAGTCCAAGTGAATTGACAAGCTCAGAACTGTCAAAACTAAGTATATCTCTGCCATACATTTAGATAGTAATTGATTATAATGACTTGTACATCGTCACGTTAAAGAATAACGCTCACAGTTTGAGATTAGTAGTTGTAATTGTCTTAAGACGGGTGTGTGCTACATGATTTTTTTTTTTTCAACTGTGATGAAAGATTTCAGATCATGGAAAAAATCTTGAGTAGCAGCTAAAAATTGTGGGTCGTAGATTGCAGAGTGAGAAAGAGACAATGATTAAACTTAGAACCGGCCAAAGCCGAGCTGTGACTGATGTGAACTGTGTTTGATATTTTGTAATCTTGGCAGAGTGAGCCCACCTATCACTGTGTCTGCGAAGAATCTTTGTGGCCAAAAGTGAACACAGGCTCTCCTCAGAAACAGCAGAAGGGCCGTGAATGGGGCCCCCAAAGAAAGTGACGCATTATATACGTTAAAATGGTTACGGGTTCTGAATAAGAAAATAATGATCTCAGATTTCAGTAGCAGTAAGTAACTCATAACATGCTGACAAAACTGTTGGCCTTAGAAGATGTCTGTACTCTCAAAAACAGTGTTACACGTTTATCACACTGGGGTGATAATGTCTGTGTAGTTCCTGATTCACCTGGACACTGCACCCTCATACCAGCACTGAACAAGTTCATGTATGTGCAGTAAACAATATTGATTTTGTGTCTGTGGAAGTATTTTTGTGAACACTTGTGGGGGCCTCACCTGTCGGAAGCGTTTGAGATGAAGGATGAGGATGTCGGGCAGGGTCCACAGACTCATCTTCACCATGCCCTGCTGCAGCTGTTTACAGTGAGGACACTTCCACGCATCATCTGGTGCCAGCTGTCACACACACACACACAAACACATATTATCATATTTATTATTTAAGTCAACATCAACATTATTCTCCATTTTGTTCATTGTAAACTGCAATACTGATCTAAAATGACTTGGAAATATAGATAGATCAGTTGGCTTCATGTTCAAAACCAAATGGCATTATCAACAAAATGTACATTTAACTTAAATTATAAAAAAAATATAGTAACCCTCATAACATATTTACACCTTTATGAACAGTTTTACAACGATGAGGCATAAACAGAATATTGCAGAAGTGAAAAACTGTTGCGTTTTCCATTGAATAATTAATCGAAAGCAGTAAAAAGCAAAAAAACAGAAACAAGATGCACCACAAAAACTCTCAAACTAAACCTGCTAACCAGCTTGTTTTGATATGGGCAGACAATCCATGTTCCTGATTCTGAGTCAAAGTCTATTGTTTATACATGCCTTTTTAATTTTAATAAAGGTTCACTTTGTCCGTGGTGTGTCATCCTGGTAGAATCATTTGTCAAAAATTTTCAACTTGTCAAAATCTTTGTCCAGTTGACAGAATTTTCTTTTGCTAAAGGTGCACTATGTAACAGTTCTGTTACTTGCTTGTCTTTATGGAGGTACTATTTCATTGTCTGGACTGGACTGGATTGTCTTCAAACAAAATCCATCTTGCATTTTCTGACCTTTAAATTGGTGTGGAATATTTTATAATTATTATTCCTTGTTTAATCTTTCACCATATTGCTGAAACACATTTCTAGTTTGTGAATCTGTTCACTGAAAATAGCAAGATTTTTCTGTTGTGTTGTGGGAGCTGCTCTCAGATAAAAATGCAGGTATGACTCAACAGGTGGGCCTCTAAATATCCACACGATTTACAGATGGAGACAGATACCAGATACTTTTTAGAGAATTAAAAAAAAAAAATTTGCACTATGTAGCCACTATGCTGCTATGCATTGTGGTCCAAAGCAAAAAACGGAAGAAATTATCTCATGAAGGCTTTTTGCCAAAACGTAATCTAAAATTAGACCATCTGACTGTGCTATGGATTTTTATTTTTTTTAAATCTTTGAAGTTGTTGCTCCTTGCATTTGCACCTCTATTAAGATGTGCATGTTTTCTGTTTGATTTGATACTATGCACTCTGCCCACCATCTGCCAGGCCCTGTTTAGACGATTTATTGATTTGTGACTCTTGTATTTTGTTTAATGAATGTAGAATGCATAGCCACATACTCACACAAAATGATAGGCAAATGATGGTAAAGTGAATTACAAAAAAAAGCCCTGCATCATCAAAAGGCAAAATATAATTCTGCCAAGCATTGGGACTGGACCACTTTCTCTCAAACTTTTTGGGCACATGGCTAAATAGACTATAATGGTACCGGTGAGTTTAACGAGGAGAGCAGAGAGCTGTAGCTGCAGGTTAGACTCAGGTTTAGGTTTTCTTTTATTTCATTTCCTCATGGACAACTTTGGCTTGACATGACAAAAAACAAAAGAAAAACATGCACAAATTGCTCTATATCTATACCATTCTGACTCCACACATCTGCAGTCAGTCCATGTTGTTAATACATTTACAAACCTATTTTTGCACAAAGCAACCCTGTATCTCCTCCCAGACAGCAGAAGCTCAAACTGTGTGCTGAGCCGATGAGAGGGTAAAGTAAATATCTGTGACTTATATTTGTCGGGTTTCCAAACCAGCTGACTATTCCAAAGACAAACAAAATGTTACTGTGCCCCCCTCTGTGTCACCACAGGGGAGTGCTACAGGATGTTGTAGAAGAAGAAGAAGGCTGATCCCAAAGGTATTACCAATGCAAATGTGTGAGAGGCAGGGGACATTGGAAGTTACGAGTGGAAATCAGTGACGCTTTAGGTTTTAAATAATGTTGTTTTTGTTTAATCTGGGGAAATAGTTTTGGTTTTTTGATTTGTCTGTGTGTAAAAAGGATGAGCGGTCTCACACAGTGGTTGAGATGTAATTTTGAAAAGGAATATTATATTGTTATTTATATATTATAGTGATTATTTTGTGTGTTTTGTGTTACCTGTTCTTCTTTGGTGTAGAGCTGAAAGCATTCGTCCAGGGTACATGTGTGCTGGTGCAGATGCTGCTGTTGTTGGGCCCTCACACTCTCGGCATCCTTCACCACCTCCTCCTGAATACTCCCAAACAAACTGCACACAAAAACACATACAAACGACTCATTTCTTCTATCCTGCCTTCTTCTATCTGTCCTATCCTGATAATGTGCCAATGCTTATTACAGTGTGGTAAATTGAAATGGAAGCTTTTCCTGCACTGCTATGAAAACATAAAATGGCATCTCATTATCAGGAAATGACTTTTCCCAGAATGCTTCACCATTAAAAGAGTCCAGCTGACCACAGGCCTGAGTGGAGTGTTGGCGGCATACAAGGTTCTCAATAAAGTTTGCAAATTGTCAGCGCTCACTCTTTAAATTGTTCAGTTTACTGCAGGGTGTGTGGCATATTAGAAATGATTAGAGAAACACAATGACACTGTGCAATCATCACTACACTAGGCTCTTAATGATAGAAATATTTGAGATTTGGCCAGATTTAGGCAGCAGACATCACCTCTTCACATTTGCGCACCAAACCACATCTTTTTCACTTTAAATGCTAACAGAAATATTATAGTACTGTAAATAATGAGTTCTGAATTTTCCTAACTAAAAAGTTGTGTCGATTTTTTGACAGACAAAATAGTAGGAAAAAAACCCCACCAAGATCATGTAGAGTGAGTTAATACGACTATTATAAGACCAAAATGACAAGGCTCACAGCAGCAGCAGTTACAGAGAGAGGGGCGACAATATTCTAATGTAAGAAGGAGCTGGAAAAGCTGCATGTGAACTTCCCATTTGGAATGCGGTGGCTAGTGGGTTAACTATGCCCATTCATATATATATATGTGTGTGTGTGTGTGCGCGTGTGTGTGTGTATATGTATATATATATATATATATATATATATATATATATGTATATGTGTGTGTGTGTGTGTGTATATATGCTAGTCCTGAACTACTGCGACTTAATGCGCCAACATTATGGGATGGAGCACCCAAAGGAGACCCACGCAAACATGGGGAGAACATCCAGAGATAGAAAACTCCAAAGAGAACCTGCTGTGAGGTGAGAGTGTGCACCATCAAACTAAGACAACGTGCCTTCCACTTGAATAAGCATAAAAGCACACACTGTATAGGACTGTAAAATATAATTTTATGGACATCGTATTTCATAATTTGCTATACTTTTAGAAGAGATGTGTTCACAAAAAAACCTTTCCTGCTGTAACAAAGTGCAAGACATTTTCCTCTGCACGGAGCCTGAGCAAACTCATTTTATTTCATATTTTTACATTTCTTGTAGCACATCATTCATTTTTTGAGAACGGTGTGAGTCTCTCATGGGGGAGAACCAAGTCAAGCAGCTGATCAAAGTGCCTTTCAACTCTCGGACAGTGCTGTCAATGTGAACCTCCTAAAAAAATATGTTTTGAAGCACTGCTAACCGGGGGACATTTTTAAACAAACACCAGGTGAAAATCTCTGCATTCAAAGCTTACCATTCTTTAGTCTTGTAATCCCATTCGATGACAAGTTTCACATGGGGAGGTCCACCGGGGCCACAAAACTTCAGAGCTCTGCAACAACAAGAAAAAGTCATATTTCTATCATTTCTGAGTCTGAGCTTTCACAAAGTTTAATAAATATTCATTGCTCGTGTTGTATTACAGTTTATTCATATGAACTGAAGAAGTATGGTCTGACTGCAAAACAATGACTGTGCAAACAAAAGATAATTGAACTGCCGTCGCATTAGTTTGTCTACACCAGAATTAACTGGCTTAATAATAGTATATAATGTAATAATAATAATAATAATTATGATACGGAGTCAGGGCAAAGATGGCTTATTATGATTATGGATGTCAGCCTCCTTTGATTCAGAGCATGAGCCAAAAATGATTCAAGATTTTGGTTTGGAAAGGACCACAAATAAGTCAATATTAGTAAAAACTTAGACAAGGAGGAAGAGTGCATCAGTGGATCCTTTAAGTATAGAATCAGGTGCTTCTCTGGGATAAGTGAATATCATTAAAATACAAAATCAGCCTCTTACTATTGTAGCACAAAAATGTCTGTCACATGGGGCTTGGATAAAATGTCCGAGGCACACTGATTACAAAGATAAAAGTCCTTTATTAATAAGAATGGGATTCCAATGCTCAAGGTTTCATCACAACTTAAAAAGGTTTGGGTTTTAATTAATAAAAACCTACTGCTTCAGGTTGGCTTGTTTCAGATTTATTGAGGAACAATTCATTCAGTCATCAGAGATTCATCTACCTTCCCCATCTTCAAAAAGCCCTGAAAAACCAATCGGTTTAAAATTTTTTTGTTTGTTTGTTTGTTTTTTGTTTCTTCTGCTTGTCTTTGTTTGTCTCGTCATGTAAAGCGTCTTTGAGTATTATGTAGTATTATTATATTACTATAGCTTTTATTTCTATAAATATATTCAAAATACCTTTTACAACTAGGTCTGTACTCATGTTTACTATTACTACTTTTTCTTCAGCCACTACAACTACCATCTCTTTGGGATGACTGAAAGTTTGCCACTGCCTTGTGCAATCACCTTCACACCCATGCGAGATACACAGAAACTCAGATTAAATCCTCCCTGATCTCTGGAGATTAATATGAGGCTGTCACTATCCCACAGAGTGCAGAATGCACACTCCTGTGTAGAATATTTGTGAATCCAAAATCAAATTAAGAACTGAATAAAGTGACACTTAAAGCTGATGAAGAAGTCTGGAGGTGACAAAATACTTATTTTAAATGGTACAAAAATAAAAAATGAATGCTTCAGTTACATGGAAAAGTGCCTGTGACTAATATCTGAGTTTGAATTTTCAGAACACAGCACTAAGGTCGTCTTTATCAACTTTGATGATTAGTTTTTGGATGCATCAGCTTGGTAGTGTGGGTTTAATTACGATGTGAATGTGTGTAAATTGTAAAGGAGTGACTCAGTGCAGCACAGACACATAGGAAAACATAGCAGCAAACAACAGAGCTTTCGAAGAAGAAGTTTGTCCAGAGCAAATGAAGAAAGACGTGAAGAGAGCTGAAAATAAGACCATAAAGAGGACATTTTGGTGGTCCAAAAAAAAGGATATAATGTTTGATTAATAGTCAAAATGAAGGTGTGATATGTTTAGTACTATACTGAGGCTAACTTGTGCAAAATGAAAAACAAAAGCAGGTCGATGGAACAGCAGCAAAAAAACAACAATAATTTATCTCCCTGTGCAAGATATGGCTCAGACATTTCATTTTGCAGTTTCCTCATACTAATATTCCCTAATTTAAAAAATAAAGCAACCCCACATACATTCACATTCCAAAAATCAATGTAATCTTTTGCAACCTAAAGGCAGAAGGCTGAGTGGCTACTTGTGCGCATGTGTCCTCAATTTCTCTCTCTTAAATATTTAGAGGTTGGTCTGATCTTCGACTTCCACCAAATATTTTAAGCTGACAGAGAGCACGACCCAATGTTTATACTTTTCATTATAGATTTGGAGTCAGTGTAAATTCAGCCTGTGGGTAGGCCTGTCAAGATAATTAAGATAATTACTATACTGACTTATCATTCGCTACATGACAGATGGAACAATACTTTTTATGGATCAATATTTATCGTGGGTACTTTTTCTTTGTTTTAGTGGGAAAACTTGGGTTATTTTCCTGTTGTTTTCATCCTCTCATCGTCCTCTTCACTCTCCTCATCCTCTCATCATCCTCTTCATTCTCCTCATCCTCCCATCCTCCCTTAAACTTTCCGCATGCTCTACCATCTTTAGTATCCAGCCCCCGGGGGAAAGACATCTCCTAATTGTTATCTAACTGGCCATGTCCTTAATCGTAATATCTTCTGTTGAGGTCACCAAAAATAACTCTGGTGTACTAATACTTTTTTGTGTCTGTCTGGGTCTGTGTCTCTCCAGGTTGAAATGTTATAATGAGTTTAGTTCTGTATTCTGCTCTGTATTATCCATGTTATTTTTTGTTCCCGCATATGGACCTTCAGTTTTTCTTCACTCATATTATACTCACATACATAAATACTCAACATGTCTCAGACCTCATAACCTTAACTACAGACCATTTAACACTGCTTTTCTTGGCATCCATCATGTGTTTTTCATTGAATTCACATTAGAAAATTACCTGTCAACAGCTGGATGGAACAACGGCTTATTATCCTGTGGTGAAAGGTAGCTATAAGATGAAGATCCCCCCACAACTCTGATCTTAAACAGCAATCCAGCATTCTGAAAAGGAAGAAACAAAGGATGATGATCCCTATGCAATTACAGACCGGATATAAGAACCAGAATACAATAAACAATTATCTATTGAAAGACAAACAAACAAACAGAATGGAAAAACACTTGCCAAACCTTGAAAGCTGCACAAAGACTGCTTTTTCATAAATAAGAGAGTGTAAATCCTCGTCAATACCATATGCTCTTACTGCAACATGACTGTTGCACCTGTTGATTAAAACACGCTTGCCTTATCATCAAGATTGACCAAAGTAGAGATCGCAATCTATCACTTTTTCGTTTTCGTTTTCGCTCTAATTCTATTACATATATGTCTGGATTGCATAGCTTGGATCAGTCATGGTGAAATGAGGTTACTTTTTATGTTCCTTTTGGCCTATTTTTAAAAATGCTGAATGTACTTCAGTATTTTAAGTGTGATCTTAAGACGTGATCAAGTGGATTATTGCAGTCTGCCCTAGTTTTTGTGCAAACTAAGAAAGTTTGCAGTGCAAAAAAAAAAAAAAAAAGTCACAAATGAAGTGTGCCTCCTGTGGCCTCGGCAATTTCAAGTACTATGTGACATCACACATAATTACAGCCAAGTGTTACTGATTACAAACACCTGGCTGCAGGGGTGGACTTTGAAGTGGGGATACCTGTGTCATGTGTCCCCTCACTCTCCCCTTTGGTCCTGCAGACCCCGCCCCTCCACCCCCCTCACTCTCCCCTTTGGTCCTACAGACCTCACCCCTCCACCTTTGTTTTCTGGGGACATGTTCATGGAATTTAAAATCTACATCTTATGTAAACCAGACATGTAAACCATAGCCATAGTAGCTGTTTAATTGTAGGTTTGGACCAACACACTCTTGAAGCATACACCGTACGTACATGTATTCATTTTTTATAGACTCTGCAGAGTTCAAGTATTTGTAATGACTCCTGTTCACCACACAGGGGCAGTGTAGGCTTGGCTTTCATGAGCTGTTCAGATGTGTTTTTTCTGAAATCTGTGCTGCTCTTTGGTGACATCTTGTGGTGAGACACCTGGCCTACTGTATCTATACTTCAAGACACTTAACCCACCTTACCCCTAGTGTCTGCGTAAACTGGTGCGTGAACGAGTGAGTGTTTTTTTGTTGTTGTTTGAGTGCCTCGAAAGTGGCAAAGATCTGTACCTCACTATCCTCAGATGAGTGTTAAGTGGACGTCAGATAGTGCTGATAGTTTCTCTTTTCTGCAGTCTTCACAGAATGCCCATTTTGGATATCCACAAGTAGAAGGCATTCTGTTCATGTTGTTCTTCTTTCTCCTTTCCCTCTGGGCTTGTAGCAACCAATAGTTTGAGTTTGTGCTGCAGTGGGTGGTGTGAATAAAAAGCAGGTATTGGTCAGTGTGTGTGGGCTTCCTGAAGACCTCTACCTGGAGTCGCCGGTCTTCTCTTATATTTAATCTAAGAAGGCCAATGTGTCCTCTTTGGTCTCTTTCTGTGTGAACTTAATGTTTGGATCCATTGCATTAATATGTGCAGCAAAGGGTTCCAGGTCTTGAATTTAGATTTTAGCCCAGTTGTCATCCACGTAGGATCAATGTGTGGGTGGAGTGCCTGGAAAAGAAGCCAATGCGTTCTGTCCAAATTGTTCCATATATAATTTAGCAATAATGGGAGAGACCCATGAGCCCATGGCACCATAGATTTGCCTGTAGAAGTTTCCTCTGAACTGAAAACATGTGGTGTTTAAACAAATTTTTAGCAGTTGGCAGATTTGGTCATGTGAAAGTTCAGTTCTCTCTTCTAGCTTAGTATACTTCAGTAGTCTCCTCCTTGATGTCTCCAACGTTGCTGATGTAGTGATACAAATGAAAAGAGAAGTCACATCAAGGAAATCCATTGTCTTATCAGGATCAAACTGGAGATGCTTGACTTTCCTTACAATTTTGGCTTTGTTCTCAATATGATGCAACCAGAGGAGCCAGGATGGTCTTCAGGTGTTTGGTACACACAATGGGTCTGAGTGGTACTCCCTGTTTGTGGATTTTTGTGAGGCCAAAGATACAAGGAATGGAGTCACCAGGATAGAGTTGATCAGCGACTTGTTCCTTTACCAGTTTCTGTTAGCAGTCTAAGATCTTGTTGCACTGGTAGGGTTTCATTTTAGTAATTTGTAGGTTGTGTCAATTTAGCCTCAGAATCAGCTGAGTTCAGAATCACAGTGCATCTCCCTTTGTCAGCTGGCACGATGTTGATGCCGTGGTCCTTCTCTAGAGCAGAAACCGCCAAACCTTCACCCTCCAACGTAACATCAGAGGAAACAAAAGCTATTCAGGCTGAGTTCTTCTCTCAAACCCTGTTCCACCTTGTGATATCATGTAGTAATACAGGAAGTGCTCCACTGTGTTTTCTTTCTTTTTAATACACCTTCACTAGATCATGGAAGCAGTTACAGTGAACATTAGGAATAGAGATTGATTCATGGACAAAATACGAAAATAAAGTATACTAACATTAATACTAACATCTTAAGACCAAAATGACAAGTCTGACAGGAGCAGTTATGGAGGGAGGAGTAAATTTTTTTCAATACAAAGTAAATTGTAGCTGGAGTTGAACTGGTAACTAAGAGTACGCCCATGGTCACTTCCTGTTTGGAACGCAGTGGCGGGTCCGCTATGTCCATTTATATATACAGGATATGGGTGGAATAGAGCACTTTAAGTTTTGGTGTTGTAGACATGAGCGAAACAAAACACAGCTCCAGGTATTTTTTAGACATTGTAACATGACTTAAAGCTTACAAGAGTCATTTATTTGTTCTGCTTTAACCAGACCCTTTCTGATCAAATATCCTTCACTACATCTCTGCATAGTTTACTTTGATGCCAGCAGCTATTTTTTCAATAATTAAACAAAACTGTCTTGTCCTACATTACTCAATTTGACTCTGAATTCGAACAGAAATAAAGAAAATTGACACTTTGAACAAATACCGGTTGAACAAGCAGGTGCAGAACATAGAGGTTGGATTATAGGGCTGTGCCAAAAATCGAAAGATCGATAGATCACAATCTCTACTTTAGTCGATCTCGATGATACGGCATACGCATTTTAATCGACAGGTCTGCAGCCAAGCGTGTGGTAGTCAGGGATTTACGCTCTCTTGTTTAGGAAAAAGCAGCTTGAGCCACAGCGCATCCCTTTAACTGATGAGCCCAGGACAGAGGCCCATATTGTATTTATTGTATGTCTGACACTGCTGTATTGATTTTTGAAGAATAACTTACAGATAAATAGTTGAGGATTTACACAAGCCTGCATTCATTTAAACTTTAGGTAATATTTAATGGTAAGAGTACAGATCCACAATACTGAGAGCATTCCTTGATACAAAATGCTTGAGAGTGAATGTTGCAGTGTACCACTAAAACCACTTGATGGCGCTGATGCTTTTCATATCACAAATATGACTTTGCCATCAAAATAATTACAATGGAGTACAATCATATCAAAACGTGTTTTATATTTTTTCAAATCATGACAAAAAAGAACCTGATAAAGTATTTTTTTTAGTTGGGCATACATGTGGTGTTACTAATAACAGAGAGAGCATTAGGGCAGTGAATGAGAGCTCAGTATAAGGACACTATTTGGGATGTTTTAAGGTGAACCAGTGCAAACAGAAAAATATGTTGTTTTTTTTAAGGATCTAATAACTCCTAACACAACTTTTATACACTGCTTGCATTTTTCATACTGCAGTCTCATCATTATATTACAAATCTCTGCCTGACCCAAGAAACAAAAATATCCTATTATATATCTGTTATTACGATATGATAGGTTTGGTACAGGTTTTGTGTAATGCCTTTTAATTTCTCCAGAGATATGGCTATATGACTACAAGGAGTATATGAATTTTTAAACAAGCAGTGAAGAAAATGAAAGAAAAGACGACCTCTAACTTAATTACAACTTACAAGCTTAAACCATAATAAATCATAAATTAAATAAATATTGTGGTCTAATTTGCTAAGTTGGCCTTTGAAGAGGAGTTTTTTAACACATTCTAAATATTTAATTGGACCTCGTAACACTATTCGCATGGAAATGACCTGTTTTACTTTAGATTAATCTTAGCTGCTTACTGCTAAATCACTGTGGGGCCTGGATCTAAAGTGCAGGAGGTGTCAAGGGAGGAGGATAAAGTGGGTGACATTTGTAGGGTCCACTTTAGTTGTGGCATTACCTGCGCCTGGGACCCGTTCAGCATCAGATAATACAGCTTGCTCAGAATGCTCTGCTGCAGCTGCTCCCACGAGATGCTCCTGTCCTCCCTCATGAGAAACGGAGGGCCAAACCTGCAGGAACAAAGTGTCATCATATTAAAGGTCCTATGTTACACAAAATGGATTCCTGAGAACTTTTAGTCATGTTATAATGTTGTTACCTTCTCAAAAACCTATCTGGAGTTGTGTTTTGTTTCATTCACACATGTTTATTAGCCTGTCTACAGCTCCAAAGCTCAAAATGCTTTGTTCCATCTTGTGATGTCACGAAGCGGTAGTTTTCAAGTTAAAGACTACCTTTTACCTTTAGTTCAGTAGAGTTTGGTAATTCCAGAGCTGAAATTATCCAAATGATTCCAATGAAGGTGTGTGGAATTTAAAAATAAGAAGTGAAGTGCTTCCTGTATTTCGACATGACATCACAAGGTGGAACCGAGAGTCTCCAGTTTGAGAGAAGAACTAGATTGCAGAGTTTGTGTGTTAAATGTATGAATGAAATAAAACACAACTCCACGTATGTTTTTGATGAGGAAACAACATTACTGTCTAACATAGATAAGAAAATAGTGTAATATAGGTAATATACTGTAGTCATTAATGGGGCTTAGTGGTGTTGTTGTGATGCTAAATTATCACTTCATATTTATACCATGAAAAAGGCGTGATACATATGTTCACACCACAATGATAACAAGATAACTTACATAATAGAAGTGTAATATTCGACAAAAAGATAGTAGTTTCTTTAATATTGTCTTGTTCCAGGTGAAGACCAGGAAAGGTCCAGTTTTATCCTACTTATGTAATTTTTTTCTTTAAAATATGTATTTTTATTGTTCAAATTAGTATCTAATTTATATACTAGTCAGAGTATGTCTGATTTTATTGTATTTTTTGGACAACTCTACTTCTTCATACATTGATGTGTGATATAACTGGACGTATTGGAGTTATTCACATGCCCTTCCCATTGTAATCTATCACAGTATACACTGGAGCAGGTGCAGGAGGCTTGAACTGCAACACCCTGCTCCACTGCTGCCAAAATGTAAAAAAAATACTGTATAAATAATCCATAAATCAAGAAAAATGAAACTGCAAAATTAAAGAAAATATCCTTTTCCCTTATACACATAGCCTTTATTAAAGCATCACAAAGGTAAAATAAAATCATAGTTCAGAGCAAGAAAAAAAAAAACGGAATTTCCAGTAGGGAAAGTATCTGTATCAAACCTTCTGGTTTGAAGTAGTCACCTTCAACATTGCTTTGCACATATTATAATAGATCAGGACGGGTGATGAATCATGAATGGAGGTAATGCAGGACTCATAGGCGTTCTTTCTTTGCTGTGGGTCAGAGGAGGACACCTGCAGAGATACTCAAGTGTTTGTTGCAGTCCTGAGGCATGGAGCCAAATGACTTGTAAATGTCAAACTGTGATATTCTGGGTCGTTTCAAAGCAACACCTTCACTCTGGTCCACTCTCGTATGAAAACATCAAATACTACACTTCAAAGTTTTTTCAACTCACTTTGTTATTTGTGGAAAAAAGGTTTTGTCTCACTTGTTACATGTTTTAAATTCTTGCAGTATTGTATAAATGCACCGATCCAGCTCTTGCAGTTCTGATACCAATATTGATACTTTTGAGCATTTGCCGATAATGGAAACAGATATTAAATAATATCAGTGTAGGGACAGAAAATGGCACTTATTTCCTTAAAACACAGTTAGCTCCTTACACAAGAGATCCAGTTGTGTTATGCTACTTTTATTTATCCTCCAAATGACTACTGAACAGCTCTGTATGAACAAAAGTTAAAACATGAAATATTTTCAGTTAAAATCGGCCTGAAAATGGTCTTATTACGTCCAATTAAAGGCTCAACTAGGATATCGGCTTAACCTATATCATCCAACAAATACTTAATGCAGCAAATTTTTCGGTATCATTAATTCTGATAATTCCAGTACTGATATCAGTGCATCTCTAGTACAGTATTTGTATTGTTAACTTAGAAACCTCTCATCTTTGCATGTCTCAATCATCATTCACAAGCATTACTCCTGCTTGAATGACTTTTAAAACTTGATCTGACCTGTCTCTACAAAGTCGACTTCCTGCTAAAGTTGGATCAGCATGAGAAAAACTAGTCCAAAAAGCGTGTGTGAGAAGTTTGGAGGTCAAAACAGCAGAAGTCACTGAAGTCAGTGTGAGGTTCATGTAAAAAGTGGACTCACCTGATGGCCTGCTGTCCAGATCCAGCTGTGTTACAGATCAGCAGCAGGACTTTACTGGATGAACTGTGGTTTAGATATTCAGAAGATACAGCTCCAGATGAAGGAAACCTCTGTCCATCGGAGCCAGAAGAATAAGGAGAGGAGGGGAGGCTATGGTGGTACCCTGGGAAAATCAGAAAAAAAAAGAAAGATGGGGAAATGCATTTAACTTTAATGTATTAATTCAACAATTAACAACCAATCTTCATTCATTTAAATTATACATGTCTATATAGCGCCCAAACACATGAAAATATTGACATACACTGTAGCATTTTTAAATTTAAAGAAGTTTGTTGGTAAAAGTGCAGAAACCATTTCAGTTATGCATCCAATTTATTTAGTTGTTTGTACTTTAACTGCAACTAGAAGAATAGTTATTACATTACAATAATTATTTTTAAATTTATGAGCCTTAAAGCAAACTACAATGTGGTTATAAGAGTAAATCTGCACTTAGTTTATGTACATATGTAAAAATATACTACAAATCAAAAGGTTTCATTCACTGTTTATGTTTATCACTTTCTACTTTTCAGATACCTACAGAAGACATCAAATTTATGGTGCCAGACATATGGAATTATGTAGCAAAGGAAAATAATTAAAGGTGCACTGAGAAACTTTTTTTGTGGAGGGTTCCCCATCTGTTTGTCTCCATGGAGATGTTGTTACTTTGTCCGAAATGTCCCGTTATGGTATTAAATGTGTCCATCATGCATTTGCTCAGTAATATCTTTTTTTCATTTACTTGCATTTTTACTGTAAGTGGGCTTGCCTCTCCAAAGATCTGATGTGTAACTTCGCCCTATGGTGTCACCTGCCATTTCTGTAGAGTCAAATAAGCATAATGCCATACTGTGGAACATACCAAGCAACATCTCCATGAAGAGAAGCAGGTGAAGGACCCCACACCAGGATAGTTTCACAGTGCACCTTTAAACAACTCAACTCTCATTTTTTTATATTTAAAATTCAAATCCTCAAAGTAGTCACATTTTGCTTTGTTCACGGCACTGCAAACCTTGTCTAACAAAAAAGGTGCAACTTTGTACTGCCGGCATGTATCTGCACTGAAAGCTTTATCAAAATAATTATCATATTCTGCTTTATACAAAAAAGTGGTTATTTCGTGTTTGTTGATCATTAATGCATAAAAAAGAGCAAGCCGTGCACAAATTTAAATGGGCCGAGAGGAGGCTGGCTGCATACTGATCAGGAACAACAAATCCTCTGTGGCCCATATCAAATGAGTGACCCCTGCCAGAGCTGCGCCGCCACCTGACTAAAAATACCCAGAAGGCAATGGGAGAAAGACCCGGGTCTGAGCACCAAATGGATGAAAAAATAGAGGAACAAAAGCCCCAGACAAGGACCAAGCACCTGAGCTTCCTGCCAAAAGCTCAGAGATAGAGATTAGGTAAACAACTAGAGAAAAGCCATGCACCTGATGCTCCCAGCACTTTCTGCACAAAAAACATACTGCGCCAATACAAGGTTTTCTAGTTTTTTCTTTTGTTGTCAATATAAATAATATATTCCATACAAATGTGTAGTTCCCTGCTATTATGTGTTATTCTTAAAAGGCCTTGAGAATGAGACTTGTTAGGAGATGAGTTTTACTTAGAGAAATACTCATGAAAGACTCAAATGGTATATAATTATGCTTATTATGTAAAACTGAGTCTTGTGAGCTTTAAGCCATGTTATAATGTTGTTATCTCCTCAAAAATGTATTTGGAGATGTGTTTTGTTTCATTCACACCTTTGAGTAATCCTTTGTTATTAGCAGAGGTGGGACCAAGCGTTTGTTTTGCAAGTCTCAAGTAAGTCTCAAGTCTTTGACCTCAAGTCCGAGTCAAGGCCCAAATCAAATACAGGCAAGTCCAAGTCGAGTCACTGGCCCATAAGTCCAAGTCAAGTCCAAGTCATCTGCTTTGAGCTTTAAGTCATTTCAAGTCTTTAAACCAAAAGCCTAAAGTTTTGCTGTTTGTATGAATTTTAAGATAAATTATACTTTAAAAAATCATAGTATATTTATATGTGAGTATTTATATGTATGTAAGACTTGTAGAAATGCAAATATTTCCTTTTTAAATATCTTAAAAAGGCCATAGTGTGACGGTCAGAACAGAAGGAATTCAAATTTAAAAGTGCTTCTCAAGTCTTCTCAAGTCACAGGCCTCAAGTCCGAGTCAAGTCCCAAGTCATTGACCTTCAAGTCTAAGTCAAGTCCCAAGTCTTGGTTCATTTTGTCAAGTCTCAAGTCCTAAAAATAGTGACTCAAGTCTGACTCGAGTCCAAGTCACAACTTGCAAGTCTTCACCTCTGGTTATTAGTCTGTCTACATCTCCAAAGCTCAGGATGCTCTGTTGCACCTTGTGATGTCATTTAGTGATAGTTTTCAAGTCAACAATTACCTTTCAGCTTTTGTTCAGTAGAGACTGGCAATTGCACTGCTAAAATTATCCACGTATGGAGTTTAAAAACACAGAGGAGAACGTCTTGTACAGTATTACCACATGACAGCACAAGATGGAGTGTTTAAAGTTTGAGAGAAGAACTCTGCCTAAATATGTGGTATGTGTATGTTAAAAATGTGTGAAAGACAAAAACACAAAACACAACTGAAGGTATGTTTTTGATGAGGAAACAACATTAACAGAGTAGAAAATAGTGTAATATGGGCTCTTTTAACAGTATGGTTAGATCTGACTACAATGTGGAACCTACGCACTAAACAATAAATAACATACGGTAAGTCACTGTAAAATACTCTGTGATGGTTTCAATGCTGACTCTGGGGTGATTCTTGTAGTGTTGCTGTTCTGGTAGTAGAACTGTAATAATAAAAATCCACTCTCAAATTTCACCTTGAAATGTGTTTTGAGTGTAGAGAGAAGTGTGGGGAGTTTAAGCTTTTTTTGGTCTATTTTTGTTATTGTTATAAAAAATGTCCAAATTGTAAAAAAAGAAAAAAAAAATCACCTTGAAAAATCTATCCAGTTCTGTACTACTTGGTGAACTTTCTCAAATAACTGTTCCACCAAACAGCCAGGTGGATTGACAATTGTGTTGCCTTATTACCGTATGCTAATTGAACACACAATCTCAACAGTGTAGCGTCTAGAAATCATTATGGTATTTGACAGTTGACTTTATGTTTGCTCCTCGTCAGTTCAACAAACAAATGACTACTTAATATTCATTGCTTCATCTCTGTCTTGTTTTGAACACACACTTTGATAATGTAATGCGGAGGGTTCATTAAAGGTCCCAAAATTAACTCTTGTGAGCTTTACGCCATGTTACAATGTTGTTACCTCATCAATAATATACCTGGAGTTGTATTTTGCTTCATTCACACATGTTTGAGTAATCCATTGTTACATCTCCAAAGCTCAAAATGCTCTGTTACACCTTGTGATGTTTGTCATGAAGTGGTACTTTTCAAGCTAATGGCTCATTTCACCTTTAGTTCAGTAGAGATTGGCAATTCCAGGGATGAAATTATTCATATGATTCTGCTGAAGGTGTATGGAGTTTAAAAACACTGTGGAGCTTTTCTTCCTGTATTACTAATGTATTACTCCTGTTTCAAAAGAACTCAATCTAAATATGTAGGGTTTGTGTTGTGTATGTGTGTTTGTTGAAAAAATATAGACTAATGAGACTAATCAGACCGAGGCGTCAAGTTGTCCAGTTTACATGCAAATACACTTTGCAGGACGTCCTCGATGCACGTCCACATACACTGTGGACGTGTGTCTAGGGCGTACTGCCTTTTTGCTTCAGGCGTCACTGCAGCACAAATCTGGTATCCGAAAGAAGAAGAAGAAAGAGAAAGACCCGGGAACTGGGGCGGGGAGCCACTAACACCAGGACAAGATATATACACCAGGACTGGGCCAGGACTAAACCAGGACTAAACCGGAACTGAACCAGACCTGGACCAGGACTAAACCAGGACTTAACCAGGTCTAGACCAGGACTAAACCAGTGTCATGAGTGGAGTTTAAATATATACATAATGCAGCAGCTGAGCCAATCACCTCTGCTGATGGTTTTATGTAATAAATAAACTAAAGTCACTTTCTCAACCTGGTTTGCCACGGTTCCGGGAAAAGACCGGAAAATGGCACTTGTTTCCAGGGCAACGGACACCCTGGACACTTGTCAAGTATTTTTCTCCCATTCGTCCATGGGGTCCAAAACGCACGTCAGGGGTGCGTCAACTCTGGACGCCTCTAGTTGAGTAGTTGAGCCTAGTCAACTACAACATGAAGAAATAAAGTTTACAAAAAGAGAATCCTTGAAAATTACAGCTTTTTGGATACAACAGACTTTTTTTTTTTTGCATCAGCAGCTTCTTGCCTCCTTCACCTTAAGGACAAAAATAGCACTTTATTTTAGAGCGTCCTTGCTACTTTGCACATTCGCACCAAACACATCATCTTCATAGCAAATACTTGTTGTCATCAGCTTAGTGTATTGCATTGGCTGAAATCAAACATGCCTTATTAATTGGTGTTTAAAGTGTTCCTTTCATTTTTCTGAGCAGTATATAAATGGACAGAAAAAGCTAACCTGCCAGCCACCCCATTCCAATTAGAAAGTGAGCACAGGGGGCACTCCATCGACTCTGGCTCCAATCGACTTTACATTGGTCTAAAAATGTTTGTATTAACCCGCCCTACATGGTGTTTTTATTTAGCTAGTTTGTTTGTAAATAAATTCCTATTCCTAATATATAATGGTTCCAAACTTACTCCTATAACTGCTAGACTCATAAGCGTCATTTGACTGGAGTTGAGCGCTATGGGTGACGTCACACTCCCTTCTTTATACGGTCTATGTTTTTATTACCTTATTTATTTACTTTCTGTTTGCTAGCTACTGATTGCATTCAGAGTATACAGCAGTATAAAGAGGATGATTGACTATTGTACCATGCTTTATTAAAATCTATTAAAAACAGGTTACAGTTGCATAAAATACTGTCCCCCATTCATCTTGTTATTGCCTTGACTGTTGCAGTGTGTAAATTCACGCTGGGCTCCATAAAACTTGACATAAATCCCTGGGAAAGAAGTTATGATCTCCTGGAATCTGGCTCTCTCTAATCCGCAAATTATTCTGAAGAGAGAGACATTAATCATTCGTACCAGATCGGTCACATAAAGCAAGACGCATTTGTCAGGCTCCGCTTAAGTGTGATTCATTGCATTTCTATGTAAACTACGTGTCTCTCTCTCTTTCTTTCTCTCTTATTTAGTATAATATTTCCCATAAGGCTTTGCTGTAGTGTAATGCACAATTCTAATAGATTAATTGCCTACTTGACATACAGTGGGGGAGTGTATTTTATCTCATCATGCTGTGAACATGCAAAGCCATTACATTTTTAAAGGGCCCATATTACGCTACTTTATACTGTGTTATAATGTTGTTTCCTCATCACAAACACATCTGGAGTTGTGTTTTGTTTCATTCGTACATGTTTAACACACAAACCCTGAATACAGGCTGTGTTCTTCTCTCCAACGGAAAACACTGTTCCATCTTGTGATGTCATGTGGTAGTACAGGACATGCTCCATTGTGTTTTTAAACTCCGTACACTTTCACTAGAATTGTTTGGATAATTTCCTGCCAATCTCTACTGAACTAAAGATAAAAGATAGCTGTTTTCTTGAAAAGTATCACTTCATGACATAAGAAGGTGGAGCATTTTGAGCTTTGGAAATGTAGACAGACTAGTAATAAAGAGTTATTCAAACATGAGTGTATGAAACCAAACAGAACTCCATCCAGGTACGTTTCTGACGAGGGAACATTATAACACAGGTTAAAGCTCAAAAGAGAGAATTTTGTGTAATATAGGACCTTTAAAAGTTTCAAAAGTATCAAAAAGATCTTTGTGTAGAGAAAGTGGCTTGGTTTGATTATTTATGAACCTCATTGAGCACAAATATGAATTATTAATGTTATTCTACTGGAGGGGCAGAAAAGATCGTATCAGCTTCGTTAACAGGTTGCTCTGGGACAGAACTGACCACAGCTTTCCTTGAGCATGTGTTATGATATCTCTCAAATAGTGTCTGTGAGGCAGAAATTTTACTTAAGAGATAATGATCGGAGAAACCTTTAAAAAGCTCTAAGCAGTCCACCTGGTAGAGACCGTGCAGGAAATAAGATAAACCTGAAATCTTCATGTTCTCTTAAAGGTTATCGATGTCACTTTTTGATAGAAATTCTGTGACCTGCTTGTCTCCATGTTGATGTTATTGCTTTAACTGGAACGTTCTACACTATAGCATTAAACTTTCTACTACTACCAATACTACTACTTTGTTTCTACTTGAAGGCAAACAGGTGAAGTTACAGGCTTGATCTGTGGAGAAGTGAGCCTGCTTACAGTAAGAATATATGTTTCTAAGGGTATCACTTTATCAATAAAAACACAGGTAATTAGATAAATGCTACAACAGTAAGTTTAATATTCAGTCAAATATTCCAGGCAAAACAATAACAAATAATGGAGACGGGCAGGTGGCAGACCCTCTACTAAAAAGTTACAGAGTCTACCTTTCAGAGTTTTGACATAAACGTACATTAATATCATGTAGGAAGAATACCTGAGACTGATGTGGAGCCAGAGCGGTTATAAATGGGAGGAGCCTGAAAGGCATAGACCACATCACTGTCAGCGATGGCTGTCAGGTCATCGTCATCTGAGAAGGAGCGCTGGAACCCAGTGGAGTACAGCTCAGACAGGATCACCTGCAAAACAATTTAACAGTCATATATTAAAACATACAAACAAACAGCACAACAGAGGAAAAAACATAATTTTTGTTTATTACTCAAACCAGCAGAACGCTCTATAATTGCCACTGGTAACTATTAGAAAACAATATCTGCTGGTAGTTATAGTGACGTGCTTTTATGCTGGTGACAACTACAACTAATGTGACCTGCTGCTTCTACAGCGGGCCTCTGTGTTTTAACAAGAATCCTTCAAAAGGCTGGTTTCAAGAAATGTTGGTCAGATCAGATGAAACAACTGTCACATGCAGTGTAGGCATGAGGCACAATAATAAGATGATAAACCCCACACACACATACAGGAGATTTAACAAACAAAATAAATGATATATTTTTATCTTAAGATCAAATTCACACATTTAAGCTCAACTTAACAGTGGGATTTTTCTTTGACAGGGTGTGGTGCTGTTCATTGTTCACTGCTTCTCCTGACCTACAGCTGAAAAGGAGGAAAGGCACTGGAGCACACAAAGGGCTGGACAACCTTTTCTCATCTCCTGCTGCTGACATTTGAACAGGACACACATCATAGGGTATTTTACAATACCACAACTTTATTGATTCCAATTATTTTATTAAAACAACAACAATAATCATTTCTTTACTTTTATTATGCTTTACTGGTTGATCAAAAACTGTGACAGTGCAACACTGTAGTAACCATTTTAATTCACTCGATACTTAGTGGCAGTAAGCTTCCTCTGTAGCCACAGCTGCCCTTGGCTGAACTGAAGACGACTGTCAATAATTGGCTCCTCTGACCACAATTCATTCACACATGCAATCACACTACATAACCCTAACAACAGTGTGCATTGTTTGGAGAGGGATTCTAACTCACCTTCGGGTTGGCGAGAGTGCTCTAACTACAAGTTGATTTATAAAATAGCAGCATGTCTATGATATGACCAAAATACATCACATAACATTAACATTTAAACTGGTGTCTATGATCTAAACTAGTGTGTATGACTTTGTACCTGATCTGGTGAGAGGTTGCCCTCCTCAGCCACCATGCTCCTCAGGCAGGAGATGGACCCAAACAAAGGCACGGCCAGCCCCACACGCACATACCTCTGACCCTTTGTGCTGAAGACAAGGGTGACACACAGTGGCCTGTAAGAGACATAACCAGATCAGGAGGTCATTTGAGGTTAGAAACAACAAGGAAACAGAAAACTATTTGCTCATTCACTGGGCTCGCCACATCTCTATCTCTCAGTCTTATTCAGAAAGCAATTACTCATATAGTATTCTCTGTGAATCCTGATCTCTCTTGGGGAGGTCTGAGTCATCCTGGACTTGGACACACTGTTCACCACTGCAGAGGCCTAAACTACAGCCTGTATGTCTGGTCATGTGTTTAATATTCATGTGTAGAATGTGGTAAAGATAGCAGAGGTGTATTTATACAAGTAGTTGAGCAGCAGCACTAGTTGTAGTAGAAGCCTAATACTATTGCTATTGCTGTGTAGTTCATAGAGGATAAAGTATCAAAACAGATTTAATAAGACGGGACTTTGAAATGCACTGCTGAGCGGAGTGATGTGATGCCTAATAATATGGAGATAGTCCTCTGACAATAGCAGGGTGATGAAATCTAATGTGATGGGTTTAAACAGATCTGATCTGATCTATCAAACAGTCGTATCTTTGTTTTAATGATATTGTTTTGTATTGTCTTGGTCTCCCTTGTGGGACATCAGTCTACATGGGACACTAAATCTGATAACAATATGAAAAGGTCCCATCTTTCGTTACTGTGTGTTGGTACATATTATATCTCGCACATCAGGCTTCTCACTGCATGTAGCAATCATAAAATATTGATATATACAAAATGTTAATTTGTTTAATACAAAGTTAAAAATATGTATTGACTGTATGGTTGAAATTGTGTGTGAAGAGAGGAGTGGGGCGTGACAGGGTTTTATTTTATTATTATTATTTTATTTTATATTTTTTTGTTTTGTTAAATATTAAAATAGAGAGAGTTTTTATCTCTTTATTCATCTTTTCTATAGATTAATTTATCTAATTTATTTACCATATTAGTGGGCGAACCATTCCTGAAACAACATTTTATCCAGACCGCTACAAAGATGATTCTAGCGTGTGACTCAATGGATAGATTTGTATTATGAACTTTTATCTATAACAACATGAATATTTTGTCGTCTGTTCTGAACAATTAACAGTTAAAAGGTACATGATTCTGATGGAGAGTAAAGTTCTTGCTTGCTTCTGTGGAAATGTTATTGTTTTGCCTGGAATGTTTCACAGTATGGCATTAAACTATAACTCCATGGAGGCAAACGGGGATGACAGCAGGGTCAGATCTGTGGAGCTGCTCACTGTTAGCAATAAATAATAATAAAAGCAATACATTCTAGTTGAAAAAAGATAGCTATATCAGATTCCAGATAGTTAGCAGAAGAAAAAAAAGATAATTATGTCACAGATAATCTCAAGACTAGAGCCCAACCGATATATCGGCTTGCTGATAGAGGCCGATATTTCACGTGGGCATGTGATATGTCGTTAAAAATCTTAGACTCTCTACATTCTGTTCATTTAATGCAATTTATAGACAGATAAATGTCCTAATGTGTGGCTCCACATCAGTATTTATCTGCGGAGTCATTTGTCTGTGTGTGTGTCCGTACTGTCCCTGAACACACCACAGAGTCGCGTCACTCACGTGTGTTTGTTTACACTCGCAGACACAGATCCAAACACTGAGATTATATTCTTTTTACGGACAATCGATTTGAGTCTGGATTAAAAGGACATTTATTAGTGCAGATTTGTGATGTGAGGAGGAGCCTGTATGAGCGGTGAGTGTTGGAAATATGTCGACTCTGAAGCTAGTTTTGGTCATTTGTTATGGGTTAGCTGCTGTAGCTCTCGCACATAAACAGGCTGTTTTCTATTGGTCTATTGTAAATTGACTACATTGGCTGTATATTTGTTTCTGGCCCTGCATTGATATGTAAATAAACGTGTGAATTATTACATTTGCGCATATAATTAATTACCGCGGCGTGCACATATTTATGGCTAAAGGCTAATAGCGCTAGTTTCCTTATGGGTCAGTCGCGAACGAAATGGCTCTTAGATCTGGCTCTTTGAAGCGAACGACGGGAGCCTGCTCCTTATTGGGAGCCGTGTTTTCTCTTTTTCTCACTTTTTTTCTCTTCACGCCGCGTGCAGACAGGTGGTAGTTTGACAGCGGCAGCGGCTGAAAACAAAACTTTGAGAAATTTGCTTGTACATAGGCAAAAATAAATAAATTTGCATATTTGGCTGTAGTTTAGCATAAAATAAATAAACTAGGACTAATCTTGGGCACAAGATAGAGACCGAGTCCCGACACTCAGTCCTGGTTCAGTTTTGGTTTAGTCCTGTTTTACACGTGGTCTAGATCTGTTTTAGTCCTTGGTTTAGTCCTTTTTCAGTCCTGGTTTAGACCTGGTTCAGTTCTGATTCAGTCCTGCTTTAGACGTGCTTTAGACCTGCTTGCAACAAAACAATCTGAAGAGCCGTTTGGGAGCCGAAAGAACCAGCAGCTTTTAGTGAGCCGAGCCAAAAGAGCCGGTTCTCAAAAAGAACTGGAATACCCATCACTAGTGTGTAGAAAGTGATGCAAAAATGTCATTAGGCCGACCTACTGTCCGTAAATATGATGTAAAGAGGCAGAATAACAATAAATGTTGCCTAAATAAACCCAATTTAAAATCCACCAGAGCCAAACCTAAGTTTTTTAAACATTTTTACATCACTAAATATATCGGTAGCTCCAACTCCCATTATATCGGTTCCATATCAGCCACAGTAAAATCCATATTGGTCGGGCTCTACTCAAGACCCAACTGTCAGCTTAGTTTTGTGGGGGGAGGGAAGGGGGAAGGAAATGTGGGATTGTTTTTAATCACTGTAAAGAGCTTTGTGTTGCATTTTTTGTATGAAAAGCGCTCTATAAATAAAGTTTGCTTGATTGATTGTTTAATAGTGGTCACATTTTTATTTCCCACTTTCAAGGCACTCTTAACGCTTTACATCAAGGAGGCACTCACCCATTCACACACACATTCATACACCAGTGTATGCAGACACTGGGGAAGAGGTGGGTGAAGTGTCTTGCCCAAGGACACAACCACAGCATTTCAGTCAAGACTGCGATTCTCTAACCTTCAGATCAATGGACAAACATTCTACCAACTTCTCCTAGTAAGTTTAATGCCATACTGTGGAACATCTGTTAGTACAAAGGTCTTTAGTTTAAGGTCAGGGCTGCACATTCAAACTAAAGCTCTTTGTGTTATGTCCTTTATAATATATTATTCAGGCAGGTAATGTGTGAGCTGTTATGACAGGGCACACAGCGCTGGATCTGAGCAGCAGCGTTTCATGTTGTTCAAGATGAGACGCTGATATGAGGCGGGCTGGATGACACTTGAGTGGAAAAGGAAATAGGTATGTCATCTTCAAAAAGCATATTTCCTGCTGCAGCTTTGGAGCGTGTCAATTTAACTTCAACAGAAAGAGCTCATGTTTTCCACATATAGGGTCATAAATGCACATAGCTTATTATTACAATGTATCAAAATACATATGTTAAAAATAGGCTTTGACTAGTGTGATGCTCTGGCATACAGTCTTATGTACATTTATTTTAATTTGGTTAATTAAAGGATTCAAAGAGAGATTTCTCCTTCCCAGAGTTCAAACTCACAGCTCTGGTAGAGGAGGAACAATTGATTGAAATCTGTCAATTATATTAAGATGTATTAAATATTCATTTACAGAGAAACACACATTCACCTTGAGGTCCACATATTGCTGAAAAACAGATGTATTTCAGAGTATAGAAATGTTAAAAAATTCAGGCATGTAGAGGAAAATTGTCAATGGCAATAGTGTTATTTTTCTATACAGTCAGAGCTATCATTAATAAAACAAGTTTGATTGAAATTTTGAAATGAAATTGTGTTTTTATTTCAAAAAATCTGTGTTACATGTTTTGTGTTCAAGCATTTGATTTATGCTTCTTTTAAACTTTTCTGGGGGAGGGTCTGACACTTATTTGTCACATGGAGATGTTATAACTTTGCCCAGAATGTTCCATAGTATCTAATGTAATGTAAGTTCTTTATCTCTTGCATTGATTCAAATATAGATATTTTTATTGCTCATAAATACCCTAAAGCATACATTTTTACTGTGAGTGGACTTGCCTCTCCGCAGATCTGACCTGTAACTTGGCCTGGTGGTGTCATATTTGTCTTTAGATATCTAGATAGATAAGTTTGATGCCATAATGTGGAAAATTCTGATGCAGAGAACATGTGGCAGACCCACCACCAGAAAACATACACAGTTTACCTTCACTCTAAGAGTGATAACAAACAGTGTGTGGTCAGGCCTGTGTGATTTTGAGCCTTTAACACTGTGATACGACTGTGCCAATAACAGTTAACACGTCCATGTGTTTGCTGAGGTGTGACACTATGAGGTCATATTAGCAGTGCATCTGTTTTTGTACAGTGGAAAACTTGTTCTGCTAAGTCATTGGGAAGGCATTAATTGTTATTTACAATATTATTTATCAAAATAATTTAATTAAATGCCTAATATCATATTCATTCTGTTATTGTTTTTTTGTTTTTTTTTTAGTACTTTTTCATTCCCATAAGAAAATTGTGCTCTGCATTTCACCCATCCTTTCAGGAACAGTGGGCAGCACATTAGGCGCCCGAGGACCCATCTCCATGATCTTGTTGCTGGGCTTGGTCAGGACTACCTAAGCTAGAGGATTTTTGTAGATGGGGGGAAACTGGAGTGCCCAGAGGAAACCCACTCAGACACGGGGAGGGGATTTGCCTGTCCAAATAATAAACTATAATGATATAACCATATTAGGGTATTTCACGTTTGGCTTGTACTTTTGAGACATTTTAACATGTCCTGTAGTGTGACCTGTCACCCTGCTGGATATTCACTATAAATCTGCCATATCAAGACATAAATACATAAATTACTTAATATGTCTATACATACCTTAAAGAATATATTTTAAAAAATTAGAATGACATTTTTCTTATAAAACACAGTTGTCACACCACAACTGGTTTTAAAGCGACAACATCTTTTACAATATTGTGTGTAATATGAACATAGCTCACCTGGTCTGGCGCAGCGGGATGGGCAGAGAGATACAGAGGAACGGGTCAAAGGTGTTACTCTGCTTAAGGCAATGAGGGCACGTCAGAGAGGACCTGAAGACACACACGGACAAATACTTAGCATCTGTAAAATAATACACCTCACATGGGATGAACATAATAATTACTAAGAAATTAATCTGGTGCAAACACTTCTTCATGTGCCAGATGCTTGTTTAATCCGAAGCTTGCACTGTTGGTGCCAGCTGAGCAGATTCCTGTATTGACACAATGGAAATCCTACAAAACTCTGGCAGTAACTCCAGTATTGAGAGCCATGGCTTCTAATAACCCACATGTGTACTTGGTAACACTGACATGAACATGCACCAAACCTGTGAAAAGCTCGCCCAATGCTCGCTGTGTTTCCACTTTAGTAGAGAAAGTAATGAAAAGAGTGTCCCTGTTCAAGTGAGAAGCCCAGAAACCACCCGTCAGTACTTTGGACGGATTCTACACCACTGCACCCGGTCCAGGAAGTAGTGCTGTTCCAAACAACATCTCTCCATCTGTGCTCCATTGTGAGAAAATGTTCACTATGCAAGGTGTATGTTATTTATTTTGAATGTATTATTTCCAGTTACATTTTGCTGTTGGTTATTATAATATATTGTGATGTATGAGCTCCTGTGTTCACATAATTTCCCTTGTGAATTGATGAAGTTTGTCTAAGGCCAGGGACACACTACACATGCATTTCACCCTTCGCAAGTGTAAAAACTGTGCCCGTATGGAGCAGCACATCCTGCGCGTGTAGATTTCGGAAAATAGAATGCAACTTATTGGAGCATAAATGTGTATGCCCATCAAAATACAAAGAAAACATGCATCTGATATTGTATTACCATCAGCACAATGTATTGCTGGGGAAGTTATGTATTGTTTGAAGCAGCCCAGACGCAGAAGCACTGTTAATTTGTGCTTTGAAATTTACTGTGGAAACCTTGGCGTTTGTTGTGACCAACCTGTGCAGACGTTAAAAACAAGCCTATTCAGTCTATTCAGTTGTTTTTGCTATAGACCTGTTAAAGTGGCTAAACGCACCCAGTCAGGTTTGATCGTCTTGCTCATTGGCGTGCGCGTACATCCTGCTGGAGCTCCTGGTGTGGCCGTCCATGCGTTGACGCCTGGTTGTGGTTTCACGAGGTTACGCACATAAGCGCTGTCACGTGTTGTGTGTTTAGGGCCTAAGTCTAAGTTAGAGGGCTTTAAATTACAATGAACCTAAGTCAAGTATAATATGTATTTGTCTTTAAATGCCTTTGCTTTGGTCATAATTATATCTGTAACTCTTTAAAAAAATATATAATGAAAGGTTAATTTGCAAATGAAAAGTTACTTTGATTATGTTTTGCAATTCTAGACGCAGTCCAGTGGAGTAACCTTTATTCTAATTTATTTCTTTAGAGAAGGCCATGGTCCCTGCTGTTCGGGGAAATTACTTCAACTGTTACAACTCACTTTCAATCAAAACAATCCCACAATTTGAAGGAATTTTAATAAAACATCATAAGAGCACATATTTTTTATTAACTTAATTATACACACATCTAATAGATACTTGTTTCCTTGTTCAGAAAAAAACGTGGTATCTACTTACAACTTTTGTATTTGAAAAACAAAAAAGAAAAAAAAAAGAGATCAAAGAAGAGCTTGTGCTTGATAATAGCCCGCACAAACTGGCTAGCACCCACTTCAAAGTGCGCCGGGCTGCCGGGGAGTGGGTGCTGGCCCTGGAGACTGCACAGTGGGTGGTTGAAAGCATCCAAATCAAAGTAAGAGAGGTCACAGTCTGGACATATTTCTAACAGCTACTCAGAGGCAATGTGCTATGACCAACAAGGAGCTCAAGCTGATCCCAAACCTGGTTCTGTTCCTCTGTGGGGAGGCACGGGGCCCCACCGAGCACCTTTGAAGATGTGAGAAAGTTTTACTTTGTGGTTCAGAATAAAGATTAAGAAAAGTAAAAACTAAAGCCGGTTGTAAAAAGTACTCTTCTAAATGCATACCATCAAAAAGTAAATGAATAAATTAACAACACCATGTCAATTTGTACAACTAAAAGTAGAAAAATGTCCTCTAATGAGAAGCCATACCCAAATTCATTCTTAGAACTTGGGATAAAACTTGGCTTGAATTACATTATAACGTCTACACAGAAGTTAGCCCAGATGCACTGAGTCTCACAGGCCAATAAAAAATAAATGGCACAGACTTGTAAAGTCAGGAAGAGGAAGCCGAGGGGAGGGCTTCACTGTGACAAAAGCACTTTTAAACATCGTACACACAGTTAGAGTGACAGTACCCAAAGCCGACCGCCTGCACACTAATCACAGACACTTATTCAGATCAGACACAACTCCAGCTCTGCACCTCAGAGGAGAGAGACTGCAAAACGCCACAGAAACAACCAAATAAAGTGATGGAGAGTCAGTACACGAGCGATATTAGATACTGTTTACATATTTGTTTCCTATAGTTCTACAAAGAGTAAAATAAGGCTGCACTCACACTCTTGTTTAATCACTGTTTAGTCCTAATATAGACCTGGTTTAGGCCTAATCTAGTCTATGTTAAGTTCCGGTTTCAGTTTTGATGTGTGTATGCAAGCACGCACTAAGATGGAAAAGACTAACTAACTCACAACGGTGGAAAAAGATTATAATAACAATTGTGTAGGTCATAATGTTATGTTTATTTTGTATTGTTTGTATTTTTACAATTCAAGGTCCTATATTACACAAAACGGATTCTAGTGAGCTTTAAGCCACGTTATAATGTTGTTGCCTCCTCAAAAACATACCTCAGGGTTCCCACTCTTTTTCACAGATAAAATTTCAAAACTTTTCCATGACTTTTTTATGACCTAAAGTGAATTTTCCATGACTTTATGGCACCCTACCTGTATAGAATTGATCATACTTTTAGGGCTAAATATGAATTGTTAGCCATTTCCACTCACCTTATGGTTTGGTATTATAGTTTTTTACTGTCAGTGCATTTATTCTTGTCTCTTTTAAACATACGTTCCTACCTGCATACATTCGGAAATAATCAAAATAGCCTAATGACAACTTAACAGAATGCTGCAGTTGCGTGAAAGAGATACTAAAATTCCATGACTTTTCTGAAACTTTAATTGCATTTACAAAATTCCATGACATTTCTAGGTCTGGAAAATGACATTTTCAATTTTCATGATTTTTCCAGGATTTCCATGACCGTGGGAACTCTGCAAAAAGAAAGGTATTTACAAAATGTGAAGGGCCCATATTACGTTATTTTTGCATATTTAGGTTGTTCTTCACTCAAAAAATAAATAAAATAAATAAATAAATAAAAAATTCCAAACAAAAAAAATCCCACTTTGTTCCACCTTGTGATGTCAATGTTAATACTGGAAGTGCTCCAGTTGTGTTTTTAAATGCCATACACCTTCACTAGAATAATTTGGATAATTTCAGTCCTGGAATTTCCAATCTCTACTGAACTAAAAGGTGCCAAGGTGCCTATTAATTTGAAAACAACCACTACATGACATCACAAGGTGGATCAGAGCATTTTGATACCTACAGTTGTGCTTTGTTTCATTCATACATGTTGTGTAATTCTTTACTATTAGTCTGTCTCCATAGCTCAAAATGCTCTGTTTCAGCTTGTGATTTCATAAAGTGGCAGTTTTCAAGTTAACAGCTCCTTTTACCTTTACCTGTTTAGTAAAGTCCTGCGCTGAAATCATCCAAATGATTCAAATGATCCAAAGTGAAGGTCTATAGAGTTCAAAAACACAGTGAACAAGGTGCAACAGGGTGTATTCAGTTTCAGAGAAGAACTCAGATTAAAGATGCAGGATTTGTGTGTCAAACATGTGTGGATGAAACAAAACACAACTCCAGGTAGGTTTCTGACGAGTAAACAACGAGTTCAAAAAATACCATAATATAGACCCTTTAATTGCCACACTTACAGACAAAGACCCTCTATCACTGCTATCAGTTTTGCACATGTTTGCTCTGTTCTTTTAACCATGTGTATAGACCACATTATGCAACACTCCAGCATTACACAGCACGCCGAGGAACTCCCATCTAAATATAGCTGTGATTGTTCCCCATAAAGAGAATAGGGATGAGAGAGAAAGAGAAAGATAGAAAGAGGGTGCGGGGTATCGATGTTGGATCAGATACGGTCGTGGGTGTGGAAAAACAACAACAAACACTAAAGGGTCACTTTGTTCAGAGTTATGTGTGCGTGGGTGGCTGTTTAAGGATAAGGTTTCCAAACACAATTTCCCATATGTGGATTACATTCTGTACAAGTGAGAGTTTAATCAAATATGAATCACAGTCATTATGGATTAATACCACAACTCTAGGTCTGGCTAATAATTAGAAGATGCATCTTTTTAAATTCCATACATCTTTACTGGAATCATGTGGATTATTTCAGACACGGAATTGCTCTCTATTTAGCTAAACGTAAAATAGCTGTTAATTTAAAAACTACCACACATAACATCACACGGTGGAACAGACCATTTTGAGCTTCAGAAATATAAACAGACTAATAATAAAGTCTTAAACACATATTTGACTGAAACAAAACACAACTTGGGTATGTTTGAGGATTATAGCATGTCTTAAAGGTCACAAAAATCCATATTGCGTAATATAAAACTTTTAATTGTTATTGGATCTCTATGCAAAGGCACCAAATTTGCATGTATTAAATAGAAACCACTATTTTAGCTATTACTTGATGGGTCCAGGTGATGTCGTCTGATGTGCAGTATGGTTTGACTCTGGTACTACTAAATGAATCCAAACTACAGTGGTAATTCCAGATAAGACACCATAAAACTGCTTGTGTGGCTGCAGTGAATGGGGCAGAGCTGTCCAAAAAGCAGTACCTCCAGATAAATCTGCTCAATCCTCCAGTTAGTCTGACCTAGTTTCTGCAGCCCCTGACTCTTATCCACAGGAGAGAAAATGCCTTCTCACCTGGACAACAACCCCAGAGGCTCTGGCGCTTGGAGGATGTCTCCTATGTATAACTTAAAGGCATGTAATGGAGTTTAGAGGCAAGCCACATCCAGGCAATATGTACTGTACAAATGACATCTGTAGGGATACTTTGAAGTAAAAGTTTTTGGTTTCGCTGGGGCTGCAATAACTGATCAACTAATCTTGATTATTCTGTAAAAATAATCATAGTTATATTTTGAAAATCTAAATAATCATTTTGACTTTACAGAATCTAAAACATATAGGGAATTTTTATTTATTTATATATCTTTTTTACAAAGACAGTGGCATTATTAAATCTAAATGTCTAAAACAAATAGACAATTCTGATCTTCATCAATAACACACTTTGTTCGTAAATATTCATTATTTAGAAGCCTTCAGTCTCCATAAGTCAACATTTATTTGGCTGATAACTTAACAAATTTAAAAAGTACTATAAGAATAAAAAAGTATTGCTGACTAGTCGACTACTGTAATAGTTGTTAGCTGCAGCTCTTCTTTGCTCAGTATCTCAGTGACATTGACAGTGTGTGTGTGTGTGTGTGTGTGTGTGTGTAACTCACCTGTACTGGGCCTGGAAGTGTTCTTGGACAAAACTGTGGCGTCCCCTCGGCTGCTGAGGAAGGGACTCCTCCAACGAACTGGGCCCCTGCAGTGAACACAAAAAGACAATAAATCACTCAAATAAGAAATTAATTCATTAATTTAGTTAGTTCAGCACACACACATGATTGAGGATACATATCCAAGAAATTATCTGTCAATGTAGTCAAAATGTTCTCAATACCCACGGACTGTAGGTGGTAAAAAGAAGTGGAATAAGGGAGTGTGACGTCACCCATGGCGTTTGGCTCCAGTCAGATGAGGCTCACTGAGGCCTGTGGTTATGGTTGAATTTGGAGCCGAGTTCCATATTAGGGATAGGAACTGATTTACAGACAAAACAGCAAAAAAAAAACAAAAAACCCGGATCAGCATATTTGTATGAACATTTTAAGACCAAAATGAGGAGCCTGCAGGTGTTACAGAGAGAGAGGGGGGTGACTTTTTTTTCAGTACAGTAGTAAAGTAAATTAGCACCGGAATCATGTGCATGTTCACTTCCTATTTGGAACGCAGCGGCTTGGAGGTTTGCTATGTCCATTGATATACAGTCTACATTAAAAAATATTTACCATGTTTTCTTTTTGGGTTTACCATCATTAGATCATAATACATGAAAAAAACTGAGTGGGTTGACAAATAAGTTGACATAGCTCTGTGTAAGTTGGAGGGTGCCATGTGTCTGTCACTGAGGGAGGAGAGAGGAATTGGTCCATCCTGGGACATGTTTGAGAAACATTTGAGGCGCCCCACTGTGAACATCAACACACAGCAGAACAGTCAGAGTGAGGAGGAGGAGGAGGAGATGGGGAGGGGAGGGCTTCAAAGATAAACACAGCAATGACAGACAGCCATGGACAAGAGTGAAGGGCCAGAGACTCAAAAGCACTTCTCAAGCCTGGATTCACTATAGTGTGAATCCCAATGTACTGTAAATAGGAAGAGCTGCAACGATTAATAGGAATAATCGTACTAGTCAACTATTAAAGTAATCCTGTAATCTTGTATTTTGATAAATGTAATTGTTAACTATATGGACTTAAACATTCCTATACAAAGACCCTTTATAACAAAGAAGGCAGCATTACTAAATAAAACAATCTGAATATTATCAATAATGCACTTTATGCACATATATTCTATTAATATATTCTCTATCTAGAATCCTTCAGTCAGCATAATCCAACCTTTATTTGATTAAAAATGCATTCACAAATCTTGATGTTGTCTTGGAGTTAGAAATAGATCAATTAAGACTGATCTCTCCAATTGAAGAATGGTTGTTTCTAGAACTTAACTCTTACCAGTGATTGATTTATCATAAAGCTGTATGTTTATGTATGAATGTATTTTACGGCAGCTTATATTACAGTATTATTGCTATTTCCTTTAGTGTATTTGCTGACAAAACTACTAACACATTTTTGTTGTGTTTGTAGTTAGTCACACATTCCTCTGTGCCACTGCGTCCCCATTTCTGTGTCTCTCTTTTGCTTGAAGACAATGAGGACCAAGTCTCAGACCCTCAGAGACAGACCAGGTTACACTGTCACCATGGCAACGTTGGCCACTGTCCCCCAAATCAACATGTGGGAAATGGGAATGGACAACTTTGTTCATCAGTTACACGTGGCCTAAATAAAGACAAACAGACCCACACTCTTCATCTACTGACGTAAACCAGTTCTTCAGTATGAGCATTATAGCTACTGACATGTTGTACAGGTCTGCAGAGTTATGGCTTTCAGTATTCCATAAATCAATCCAGCAGAAATGTGTTAAACCTGTATTTTAAGAGGTGTACTACGTGTGTTTTCTGGTGGATATTGCTTTGCCTGAAAAAATCTAGTATAGTATAAACTACCAAAAAATTTTGTGTTTGCGTACCAAAAGTTTTTGCGTTTTCACCTGCTCGTCTTCAGTGAAATTGCAAAGTTTTGTGCCATTCTGTGGAACGTTTGAAGATTAAATAACATCTCCACAAAAACAACCTGTAATTACCCCTCCAAAAAGTGCAGAAATATCACCTTATACCCTTATTCTTATTAGGAAGTTTACAACAGAATAAGCGCTAATTCTTAATCAGCTCTTTTTGCAGCATTTTTATAATGAATTTGATACTTGAATTTTGCATATATTCAAAGCAACATTCATAACACTGTCAGCATTGCATTAGTGGTTAATAATGACTAAAATGTAAATAAGTGGCAATCAACAGCCTGTGTATACATTTTTTGAGAATACTTTTACCTCCCTCTCCTGAGGAAAACTGAATACAGCTAAATCAAAGGGAAGCATGGTTGTGAACAGCTAATACAAAAGGCTTTTTAATAGACCCTTGAGAAAAAACTAGAATAATAAAACCAGGTCAACCAGCTCTCAGGCAGACCAACCACAGTGGGCAGAGGAATCCGCAGAGGAATAGTGAACTCCACACAATCCTATTTACATCATTGAGTGAGTATTATTTTAGTACATGCAGATAGGCAGGCAGAGGTAGTACTAAGTGTACCAGGGCCTTTGTTTAGTGCTCAGGGAATAATGAATAGCACCACAGCCTGGCTTTTTCAGCTCTGCTATCATATGCCAAAAATAGACCCAAGGCCAGTCACCACAATAGCAGGAGAATACTAATATTATCAGGCTCCTGCTATAAGTTTGACACACAAACATAGTTAAGTTGTGCAATTCAAAACAAGTTTAATCAAATCATGATAAAATTCTTTGTAGATTAATATTTGGCAGTAAAAGGAAGTGGGAAGAAGCAAAGTTCAGATTATGGAATGTGTGTTTATGTGTTTGTGTGTGTGTGTGTGCGTGTGCGTGTGTGTGTGTGGGGGTGTGTGTGTGTGTATGTGTATGTGTATGTGTGTGTGTGTTGTGTGTGTGTGTGTGGTGTGGGTGTGTGTGTGTGTGTATGTGTATGTGTGTGTGTGTGTGTGTGTGTGTGTGTGTGTGTGTGTGTGTGTGTGTGTGTGTGTGGGGGGTGTGTGTGTGTATGTGTATGTGTGTGTGTGTGTGTGCGTGTGGGTGTGTGTGTGTGTATGTGTGTGTATAGGTGTGTGTGAATATGTGTGTATGTGTGCGTGTGCGTGTATATGTGTAAGTGTATATGTGTGTATGTGTGTATGTGGATGTGTGTGTGCGTGAACCTTAATATTAAAAACTGTAATTAGTTTTAATAATAACATTAAAATTAAATCATAAATTAAAGATGATCAAAAAATAAACACATTTGTTACAGATTTCTTTGCCAGACCAGATTAAATGTATTATACCAGATTAAATGTATTATCTTTTAATAATGTAAAATAAAACATTATGGTTTTGTAAATGAGAAAACAACACAGCCTGGTTAGCTTTGTTACAAATGCTTTTATTTTACAGCATTCAGATCTTGTTGATGTTTTATTCCTAAATTTAAAAAATAAATTCCTGAATATATCAATGAAATGCAGTATTGTAACCTAGCAACCAACTGGATTTTAACAAACAAAATATCAAATTTACAACATAAAAGTGACACTAAATACTGACACAGTCAATTGCAGAATCGAGTCAAGGACCAAAACACTCTACTACATTTTGTTCTTGTGATGTGAATATTACAATAATACTAAACCGATAAAACTTTGTATAGTTAGACACATACGTTTCTGTGTAATTGACTGTCAGATTTACATCGGAGCGCGCACGCTGGCTCACAGCTCAGCATGACGCAGCAGTAATGGTCTCCTAATGACTCCACCAGAGATGCTCTCACACAAATGAAGAGGTGGAGGAGTTTTGAAAAGTGACAGGTGCAGAGAGAGGAGAAGAGGAGATTAGGGGAGACATTTAGGAGGCTCCTGATTGGCCTTTTCTGCACACTCAAACACTATTTAGTTTAGTGTGTTGTGCTCTGAGCGGAGCAGACAGGTGTAAGCTCATTACAGCTCCCAAATTAAGTTATTATGTTTACAAAAGCCATATGAAGAGATTCTATTTATATTCTGCTATTCACAAACACTGCAACCTGAAACTTCTCCTATGGGTACTCTGTAAAAGTACTGAGGAAAAAGTAGTACTTTATTAGCACAATATGGACTTAAACTTTTCTGCAAACTTTGTTCATCCACAAGGGAAATTATTTGGACACAGTAGCTCACACATCACAATACACTAACAAAGATAACATATAAATGGTAAAAATACATTCTAAATAAGTAGCAAAAATATTAAGAGACATGTGTCAAATAAGGCATAACTATATAAATGTATATGTACAAGTAAAAATATAAAAATATCAGTTGCTCGGAAAACAGTGCAAAAATGATATAATTGGATATTTTTACTTTAAAGATGCTCTAAACTTTCTGGAGGGTTTGTCACCTGCTTTTCTCCATTCATATTTTATTGTTTTCCCTGGAATGTCCCATACTAAGACTTATCTATCTCCATGGAGACAATCAGGTGATACCAAGTTACAGGTCAGGCAGGTTGGTGACTTGACCCCACTCACAGTATGAATTCATGTTTCACAATGTTTTTAAAAGCAATACAATACCCATAACTGTATAAATAAAACTTAGTATAAGTTTAATGTCATAATATGGAACACTCCTGGCAAAGCAATGACATCTCCATAGAGACAACCAAGTAGCTGACCCCATCCGAAAAGTTACATAGTTAAATATAAAGTTGTGGTTTATCCCATTTCCCTCCACTGTTGCTCCACTGTGTTTTTAAACTTCATATAATTTCAGCCCTGGAACTGTCAATCTGTACTGAACAAAAGGTAGAAGATATATTAAAAAAAATACTACTTCATAACATCACAAGGTGGAACAGAGTATTTTAAGCTTTGGAGATTTGGAGAGAATAAAGGATTACTCAAACAACTGAAACAAAACACAACTCTTCAACATTATAACATGACTTAAAGCTCACAAAAATCCATCTAGTGTAACACAGGACCTTTAAGTACTTCCCCTGTGTTTCTGGAGTTGTTGTCAGGTCAGGAAGGTTATATCAGAACAGCTAAAGAACAATGGAGTATTTCCTTCA